GCCCCCTTCAGCCGACCAGTCTGCTCCCGTTGCACGTTAATGGGCCCCATTTTCAGGCCCCTCACCGTGTGTCGTTTTTGTATCATGTTCGCCGCCCATAAAGCTGAAGCTGAAGCTCTAGTAAGGCCGTGAAGCTCGTTTCGCCACACGTTTCTACGGTTGAGAAGCGGAGGGGCTCAAGGCCCTATTCACATCGGCCGTAAAGTTAGGTTTAGGGTCTATTGAGGCCGTGTAGCTCGCTTCGCCGCCTGTATCTATGGGTGAGAAGCGGTAGAGCTCGTTGCCCTGTTCACACCGCCTGAATATAGCTTAAGTTAAAGCTCTAGTATGGCCGTGTAGCTCGCTTCGTCCCCCGTATCTATGGGTAAGAAGCAGATGAGCTCGTCCAATCGATCTTCGGCTGGGTCTGGAGCTAATTAGTCGTACCGTCTGTAATCGCCGCCGTGAAATGTAAGGTTTTCGGGCTCTCTTTGGCTTCCCGTGAAGCGTTGTAGCGAGTCGGTGTTGGTCTCACAGGCTGTAAAGCTAAAGCTAAGGCTCTAGCAGGGCCGTGAAGTTTGTTTCGTCCACCTTTTTTACGTGTGAAAAAACCCAAGTTTCGGCTGGGACAGGAGCTAAGAAGGCGAAGGAGAAATCTTCGTCAATGTCGGCCTTTTCTGCTACCGCTCGGGCGGAGCTTTGGGGCGTTTTCACAAACAACTACTGTTTTGCCGGGTCCAGTCAGTGTCGGGCTGTGTTCATCCACCATTCAGTTTTCAGTTTCAGTTTATTTAGGGGTGTCGCCATGGATACAAAGACTGTTACAAGCCATGCTGTCTTGTCCGGATCGGCCAGCTTTGTAGGAGGCGTGGGCCTCGCAGACTGTGAGTACGGTAGTTGTTTTGCAACCATCCGTGCCGTGAGGCGCGGAATCGACCCTGGTTTTACGTAGGGTAGGACCCTGGTTTTGACGTAGGGTAGGAAGCGTTTGTGTTCGGATGTTGATTCTCCATTTTGGCTTCGGCTGAGAAGTCCATCGGCCGCTGGTGGGGGCTTTGCCCCTGCCCCCGGGGTATCTTGACTGGACTCAATTGCACTTTTCTGGTGTTTCCGGGTCCCGGTTTGTTTAGGGATCCATCTTGCTAAAGCTCGGCTTCTGAGAAGCTCTGTGCTGTGCTGTGCTAAGTCTTTTTCGGGGGCTTTGCCCGTTGTTGGTGACAGGACTCCTACCATCCACTACCCTTGCTACTCCTCCGTGAGACGAGTCGGTAGGTGGATCGGTTTTTCTCCTTGTCCCTCTGGGGTTTTTGGTTTTTCCTTGATAGCGTTCAGCTGTTTCGTATCACGCGGGAGCAAATCTCACCTGCCTCGAAGGGATCTTAATCCTCTGGATGGATTGTTGAGGCGGTTTAAACTGCGGGTCCCGAGGCTCTCTCGGAGGGTGTGCGTCCTCGTGCGCATGATACCAGGGGTTTTGGTACCTCCTGGGTTTTTCAGTGGGGTAGCGCTTCATGTCATTATGAAGGCTGCTTTCTGATTTTGGCCTGACACCTTCCTTTCGTGTTATCATAAGGACATTCCTGCGAGTGAGGAGTGTTAATTGCTACGGTGTCTTTGGGGTCAGCATCTTTTTGCCTTTTGTTTGGACATGCCCCCCCCCCCCCCCCCCCCCCCCCCCCCCCGCTTTCATCTGTGTTGGTCTAAGCAGAGATGCCAACTGTTCCGTTTTTGCCGTATTTGTTCCGTTTTTTCGCTATGAATAAGGCAGTACGTTTTTTGGTATGTTTTATTACGTTTTTTTAATTTATTTTCAGGTGGGCTGTATCTAATACAGACCACCTTATATTTTTGTTAAAATTGCCTTTATTATTATTTATTTATTATTTATCAGGTGGTCTGTATATCGTACAGACCACCTTATAATTTCGTTAGAATTGCCTTTATTATTTATTTATTTATTAAATATTTTTCTTATTTCTAACCACTTTTTTGTTAGCAAGAGTTGAAAATGGCTTGATCAAATGCCTTGAAATTTGGCACACATATGTAAAGGCATATGTACAACGCACAATAACGTTTTCAACATTGACCTTCACTGATGACGTCATCTAGGCGCCATTTTGTAAAATTTTACGAAAATCAACTCATGATCATATCTTCATAACCAAAAGCTATTTCTCATTCATATTTATCATGATCCGTCAATATCCGTCCGGTCAATTTCAGGTCAAATAACGCGCGCTTGCGCGTACGTCCGCGCGTCGATGCGCGCGCAAATTTTTCAAATGCTCAAAATCGTCTCAAAATCATTTTGCATACGTTTTAGGCCAATCTAAGCATTTTATAAAAAATCGCGTACACGCGCATGCGCGCGCGTTTTTTGCGCGTATAACTATTACACAACATAGAATCGCCATTTTTTTTTCTTTCATAATATTTCAAATATTTTTACAAACAAATTAATACCATGTTTGACTTGTTTGTCTCTTTATGACTATTAATAACGGAATGATCGACCGTTTAACAAAAATTTCCGCGCGTGCGAGCTCTTGTAATACATCGCATATATGGGCAAAAACATGCCTATATAAAATCCATTGTAGCTCTTTAGGATGCAAGGCGACCCCAATTTGTTTTCATATTTTAATAGAGTATGAATTGGAGATATTTTTTCATGTCTCATTTGACCCTCAATTAACTCATGACGTCATCATAATGGCCTCCGAACTCAAAATTCCAATTTGCATATTATGACGTCAGCATATTTATGGAAAATTGATTGTGTCTCTGTAAATATTGATCGATTTTCTTCCAAATTTTGATATGTTCTAGCTGAGACAATTCACTACAAATGCAGTCCCTATTATCCTTCATTTTGACAAAGGCATCATGGCGTATTTTTGCGATTAAAGGAGGCATGTCAATTTTTCACATTTTGCATGTATTCTCTATGGGACATGACTTTTTCTCAAATGTTGTAGCCAAGACAATTCTTTACAAGCTCAGACAGCATTATTTTTCATTTTGATGACGTCATCATAGTTAAAATTACAATTAAAGGACACATGTCAGAAATTTCTTAATTTGCGTGTTATGCGTATGGAAGGTAAATTTCGTTCACGTCATGAATCTACATGACATTGTTTTTTAAGCATTTTTAAGCAGTATCTCCCTTATTTTTGCTCTATTTTGTCTCAAATAAGTTTGAACAGCCCACCTATACTTGTTCCAAACAAGTATTACATGTCTAGTTTATTTATTTATTTAAAGGTAAAGACCAGTTATGGTCATGCGATTGCATTGTGAAAGAAACGTGAAATCGATCAGAAAAGGTTGATCATTTAGCATCTAGCATCTGCAAGGTTCTGGAATCATCAAAATGATAAGAAATTTGGCCCATTCTTCGTAAATTTACAGGCATTATACACAGAAAGATGTATATGGGACTACCCTATATCTCTCACAGTCCATGAGAGAAACAAATTTACCAAATATATGAATTAGTAGGCGGTTTCCCGGCAAATTTTTTATCATCATGTATTAGTCAAAACATATTCTGTCACATGATTGGTAATGAGGGCTTCCATTTCATTTTTTGAAATTGGGGCGTTTCCAATACTGGTCTTTACCTTTAAAAAAAATAATTTTTTTTAGTGACATTTTTCTTAATTTCTGATCATGGGCTTTGTGTCGTAAGTGTATTATGCACCTACATCTTCAAACGATGCACGCAGGATGGTGATACGGGCCCCAAACTGCGCACATTGCGAACAACCCACGTGTAATGTATGCACGTCGCGCTCCGATCCGGGTACGTATACGTGGTACTGCCGGGTTTTTTAAGCTGCTCGATTGGGCGATATGTTGAGTTGAGAGATTTTTTCAAAAATACTGTTTTTTGCTCTTAAGAATACTTTTTGTTGTTGAAGAAGGTTGGCATCTCTGTCTAAGCAATAATAGGTAAATATGATTTATTGTGGTAAATTAGTTAAATCACAACTGGTTTTATTATTTACTTTATAAATCTATGTATCTACCTATATCCCTCCCTTCGTCCCCTCTCCTTGTTGGCAACATGTCCCTGGTTGTATCTGGGACTGCTTAAAGAGAGGAAGTTGCATGCGGGCGTGGTATGCATGTGACAGGTGGTATAGCGCGGTCTAGGGGTGGGGTATGCACAACAGTGACTTTTTTTATTTTGATGACTGCTTTGTCTGGAGGACTAAGCAATAATAGGTAGATGCATAGATTTATATAGTAAATAATAAAATCGGTTTTGATTTAACTAGTTTTTGCCATCATAGTTACTTTTTTTTTTTTGCACAAGGTTGGTATAGGTCTGTATATACATAGAAAGAAAGATCGAGACAGAGAGAATTCAACTTTTATCATAATTATGATTGATAGAGCTTGATCCCATTTACGAAATAGCTGGTAGGAGTGTATACATGTAGGCCTATAAATGGGTATGTTTTATAAACCACATTCACAGTTTTTCCTTCATTTTACAATAATTAATATGTTTCAACATTTAAATTTTATCTTGTTTCTTGTCAATAGGTTACAAACATCAGTTAACCAGCAGCTTGATTCCTAGACGAATCCAAGATGCCTGTTTCACTTAGTGAATGGCGGGTGCGGATAGGAAGATTCGTACATTTGGTCAAGGAGTACGTCATAAGAGAGCGAAAAGAAAAGCTATTGAAGGAGAGAATCCGGCGACTTAAGTTATTGCGAAAGAGGCTCCTTGAAAAGAAGGAAAGATCAGAAGATGAATGCGAATCCAAGCAAAACGACTTGAGTGTGAAAGTGGACAATGCCCCAGATGAATCTAATAATAACGACACCACGAATGATTCTCACAAAGAGGACAGCAGTAGAAGCTCTACAATTAAAGAAAACACCACTCAAACGGAATCTACAACACATAAGAGCAATGGAACTGACTATACATTCCCTTTTATCTTCACCCTGTTGCTGTTGTTGTTCTCTTTATTGTTATCCTTGATCTTTCTCTTCATCTTTCTCTTCATCTTTAATTTTTCAAATATGCTAGAGAGTTACAAGCCTTTTTTGAACTGGAGTGGTGAATCTTCTTGGAGGAGTACATGTCTTGTGATAATAATCGTGTGTAGCAGTTTGGCCTACAGTGTTTTGTCATACATGTACGTAATAAAAAACAATGCGGACATCCAAGATAGTCTGGTGCTTATTGGTGATGAGAACGCAAAAGGTGAATCTACCACCAAAGTGTACAACACTACAACTGGAACTACCATCAGATCGAACAACTCTCCAACTGAATCGAACATTAAGGAAAAAAACACCCGAAGTGAATCTACAATCAAAGAACTAAATCTAACTAAATCTGCCATCAAAGTCAACAATACTCAGACCGAATCTATCATTGAAAACAACAACAACACTCTAACTGAATCCAGATTCAAAGAGAAGAATGCTACAACTGAATCCACTAAAGAATGCAACAACATTCCAACGAATGCTACCATAAAAAAAAAAAATACATCAGACTACATGACAGACAAACCATCGAAGAGAAAACCATCAAAGAGAAATCCATCAAGGAGAAAACCATCAAAGAGAAATCCATCAAGGAGAAAACCATCAAAGAGAAATCCATCAAGGAGAAAACCATCAAAGAGAAAAACTACCAAAAAGAAAATGACTGCGACTGAATCTGCCTACAAATCAAACAATACTATAACTGAAACTACCATCAAAGCAAACAACTCTCCATCAGAATCTATAATCACAGATAGCAACACTCCCAATGGATCTGCCATCAAATGCAACAACTCAACAAGTGAATCTACTATTAAAGACACTACAAATAAATCTGCTACTAAAGAGAACAACACGTTATCTAGACCTCCTACTGAAGAGAACAGCAATCAATCCATGGAAGTGAACATCGTGCAGGCAGATTATACCATAAGATCCGGGTTCCAAAAGGTATGTATCCATTTTCACAAGGTAATATTCTTCTACTTGGATTTCAATCAGAAGTCTTGAGATACATGTAGGTGTACAACTAACAAAAACATCCATATCACCCAATGCTGTGCATATAAATGTTTGCAGGCAAAAAAACAAATAAATATATGTAGAAATGCATGTACACAATTTTCAACTTCTACACTTTATATATTCTAGACTTTCTAGTACTGAGATCAGATCAGACAAACTTTCGTTTTCTACTTCAAAAATTCAATATTTCGTTTTTGTCGCCTGCGTAGCAAAAAGCTAGACATAGGCGCCGCTTTTCCAGTGGCGGCGTCAACATTAAAAATTTAACCTGAATTGTTAATATAATTTTGAAAGTACAAGTTCTTATTCAATGAAACTTTGACTAGAGGAGTATCAAGTACCCCCAATCATGTGAAAAGACTTTCAAGTCACAAAGTAAAGGTCAAAGGTCATTTCAGGTCAACAAACTTGGCCTATGTTGTGGCATCAACATCTAAAACGTAACCAAAGGATAAGATTTTGAATTAACCAAATTTTGAAAGTACCGTAAATCTCTGTGTATAAGACGCACATAAGGCGCACCCCAATTAGGGGGGCAAAATTGTTGTTGTTTTGTTGCCAAAAGCCCACGCAGGGAAGGGCTTTCATTTAATATCGAGGTGCAGTTGAAGGCGCTGATTTGTGCTTGTGAACTTAACACAAATAATAGTAACAATGTCGTTTTTAGAAGAATGTGTAAGTCAGATCGTAAATTGAAAACAGTAGAGTACCTAGGATAGAACCTTGTGGTACGCCATGTGTACCGGTAATAGAAGAAAAAAATTGAGGAATTATTATAAACTACATATTGAGATCTATTAGAAAGATTACTTTCAAACCAAGATGACAGACAAATTTGAGTGTTGTTGTAGTTTCCGAGTGGTGAGTCAACACACAGATTATTGAGCTGGGAGACATTGCCAGGCATAGCGCTGGGTGGAGGGGCATAAATCGAAACTACCCGTGTATAAGACGCACCCCCGACTTTCAATTTTTTCAGCAGCAAAAAAGTGTGCCTTATACCAAGAGATTTACGGTATACATTCCTATTCCATGAAACTTGAACATAGGGGTTAGAAGGTATCCCTTATCATGTGAGTAGAATTTCAGGTCACAAAGTCAAGGTCGAAGGTCATTTCAGGTCAACAAACTTATACTATGTTTTGGCATCAACATCAAAACCTAACCAGAGGGTAAGATTTTGAATTTTTAACATAATATTGAAAGTATACATTCCTATTCCATGAAACTTGAACATAGGGTTATTTTGTGATTGGTAGTCTTTTAGGTGACAAAGTCAAGGTCAAATGTAATTTAAGGTCTGCAAATTTAGAATTTGTTGTGGCATCATTCCGCATCAACATCAAGATTTTTTTCTTCAAATTCCATGAAACCTGTACCCAAAGGTTATCAAGTATTACATATATGTATTGTAATTTGCAGGTTTACTTGCATTTTTAGTTTTGTTTAAGATGTAATTGTATATCAGTCTATTTTGTGTGTTATAGCGCCTTGAGACTTCGGTGGTAAGCGCTTTATAAATAACGTTTTTATTATTATTATTATTATTATTATTATTATTATTTATTAAACCATATGACACAAATTCCAGGTCACAAGTCAAGGTCTAAGGTAAATTTAGGTCAGTAGACTTGGATTATATTTTCACAACTTAATGAGAATTCATAAATGAATTTTTGATATTTGTTCATATTTCATTAAAGTTACCAATCATGGTACAAATAATAGTAAATAATTCTTCTGATGATTATTAGTCAATATTCACTTCAAAATGCTGATTAAATTAAGAGGATATCATTTTTGGGGGGCCTGCTAATGGGCCACCCTGCCTATAAATAATGTTTTAACCTCAATTTTTCATCATATTGAATTGCGTAATACAGGAGAGACCGCCAAGTGCGTATCCCTTGTTCTATATATATATATATTTCTATATATTCATATTTAGTTTGTTCAGTTACGATTGATGTATGTGCAAATATTCATTGTAGATTCATTCAGCCTTTCCACGAATTTGTATACTGTAGGTACTATCAGATGGAAAATACATTTCGAGTCGGATTCCAAGCAGCCTGAAAGGAACCACTGAAGATCCTGTTGTGCAAGAAAGCACCTGCCTCCCTGAGATGATCCTGGTAAAGGCTGGAGATGTAGAGCAAAATCCAGGTCCATTCGATAGGTAGACATCTTGCTCTTCTTTTTTTTTTTTGGGGGGGGGGCAGTACTCAAGACATCTAATAGACTTTTTTTTAGGTTACCATTTCTCTTGGTGATCTACCACAATCCGAAGAAGGTTTATGTTAACCATGCACAAATGTACAATCACTGTGGAATACCAGTTTGTTTACATATGAACAGTGATTCTTTACTGACTTTACATTTTACTAGATCAATTTAAACATAACGTCAAACAAATGTTCATCGATGAGAAAGAAAAGGAAAAGACGTATCTCTCAAAACCTTCATAAAATGTGCCAAAGCTCTCTTCTCTTAGTAACATAATTGTAAAGCGTCATTGAACATGTACATGAAGAAGGAAAATTTTCTATATAAATACATTGTTGGCATTAGTATTATCCTTAAAATCCAGCCAACAGCACCATTATTCTGTCTTTCAACCGTGCCAAATTGCTGTATAAATTTTTTATTTATTTTATTTATTTATTGTGGTATAAAAAAAACATTTTACATGGCAGCCTTGAGTGCAATTTACATAAGTAATAACACAAGGATATATACTGCACAAAATACAATAGTATTAAAAAGTCATTAAAAGTAGTACATTCATAGCAAACAATTATAGGTACACCTTAGATCAAAAGATATTGATGGTGGGATAACGGAAGTGGGTAATGGATGTGGAAAAATAGATGTTTTATGATATGACTTAAGCAAATTCATAGGAAGAATACAACAGTTGAATAAATTATGATCAGTGCTAAGAAAAATAATCTGTTTTGCATGCTTCAAAGTAGGCCTATTGCACCCATATGACAATAGGCCTACTTTGAAGCATGCAAAACAGATTATTTTTCTTAGCACTGATCATAATTTAGTCAACTGTTGTATTCTTCCTATGAATTTGCTTAAGTCATATCATAAAACATCATAAATTCAAAAATGTGTTAAGAATGGAACACTTTAAGGTAGAAAACACTGCACTAAAAGACCAAAATGGATCTTACTTTGACTCGCAGAAAAGATCATTAAAGGTTCCAGAGATGATTCCCACTTCTATATTATAAAAGTAACTACCGGTATTGATAGCAGAGTGAAATGCCGCTTCATGTATGTTAATTCTTCCATGTGTTTATTTTTCAAGAGTACTTATCGTTAGGTTTCTTTTTTACTCAGGTCAGCAGACATACAAGAAAAAGAACTGTTAAAACTGGCGCACGATGTATCTCCATCAAAATATACTGAGTTGTGCATTGAGCTTGGTGAATCGTACTCTCAGAGCCAGGGTACTCTTGACAGACGTCTCATGAATTTCGCAGATTCACTTATGGAGATCTTCTGTAAGTGGAAAAACAAACAGAGGGATGGCACAGATAGTCGTAAATGCCTTGCTCAGGCGCTCTGTGATGTTGACCTAGAGACACAGGGTGACAAAATTTCCAGAGGTAAAGTTATTCTTTATTCGAAATGGACTTTAAATACTTTTGTATTGACATTTAATTTAATTTTATCTAATTTTATTCATGTACATCATATCCATGCATTATTGTTATTTCCTTGGGGGGGGGGGGGGAGGAGGATGTGACAAATAGTATAAATCTGAAAGGTAACTATTACAAACCGAAATACAAGCATTAGACACTGCAGGTGTCTTCAACAAATCCTCAGGAAAAGAGGAAAATTCAAAGGCATAATAAAGACACAACTACCCATGAATTTCGCTTCATTTTTTAGATTTACAAATTCCTACTAATCTTGATATTATCTTTTTTCAACATGAATCATACGATTAACCAATTTTTTTGTTTGATAGAAAGGTTAAGGAAGTTTTCCTTTCAGGGTGCTGTTCGTAACTTTACAATAAGCACTGTCGCTTAACAATCTGGCTTGTGGTACATGTATGTAGGCCGATAACAATTCTATATAAATAATCTCACATCTTCTTATAACAAATCCAATCCAACTTCCCAGAAACAACAAGAATTAATATGTGACTTGATATGCATTACTAAAACCTAAGATCAACATAAAGAACACTTTAAATCTGGGTAAAAAGAACTAAAATCATGAAAGAAAATAGATACACCAATATTTACAATAAAAAATATGCAAGATGTATGGCGTTCTGGTGAGAGTGGAATATACAGTAACAGCATTGTCGTACATGTACATGTATGTATCATGCTTACATTACAGACCAATTTTACTTTGTGTGTCTCGTGAAGAGATTAATTAAAAGCCTGCTTTGCACATGTGCACTCGTTATCGCTTCGTTGCCATTTTGAAAGAGTAAATCTTTCATCCACTTATAAAAAATTTGTGGAATATCAAATCTTTGTTCTCTGGGAATTTTGTGCTTTCAGGCGAATTACTTCAATAAACTGTAAACTTTTTACGTTTGTTTCCTTTGGAAACATCTTCGGAGTTTTTATGGTCCTTTTTGGAGAAATTATCTACTATTTTTTCATGGCCTCAGCCACTCCAAAACATGCGGAGTTAGCGGGGAGACAACTCGGAGCGTCAGAGGGGGGGGGGGGGGGGGGGGGGGGGGGGGGGTTGATTCGCATCATGGGTCCAAGTACCCCGCGACTGCCTCACACCCGCCTCATGAACCCAAGGGTTCCGCAGCTGGGGAGTTCAATCGAGTTCAAGCAACAAATCTGACACGGCCTGCTATGGTGCAAACGTAGGCTCCGAAACCACCGGCACTAGCTTAGAAGTAGGCTAAGAGTCTACGTCCGCGGAGTGCAAGTTATGATTATGAGCCCCCATCATGCGATTTGCAGGGGTAGATGAGGACATTACATGTGTTTATGGTGGTGATGAGTCGGTGCTTGAGGATGAAATTGGCATTATTGCATGCTGACTCTGACACAGTTATCCCTGCTTTTGCAATGTAATTTGCAGCACAGATAGGTGCACATGTGGGTACACCACTAGTAGCTAGTTCCACTTGTATGTTAAATCACAAACTCGAGGAAAAAGTTCTTGAAGAAACGACGGCTAATTACTTGCCCCCAAGCAACTGTTCCATCCTCGATGTACCAAAAGTTAACCCGATCATTTGGGAAAAATTGTCCACGTTTACTCAAAGTCGTGACCTAAAACTGACCAGAGTCCAAAAGCTCCTTACGAGGGGCTTAAAGGGCAAGTCCAATGAAAAAAACAATTACTTCCAATAGAAGCAGAAAAATCTGACAAAACGATCAAAAAAAGTTATGAGCAAAATCAGATACCCGGTAACTAATAAGAAAGTTATGAATTTTTAATGGCAATGAAAAACTTTGAAAATCACAAGACAAATTGGCAACTCACTCATTAGTCTGTGACGTCATTGCCTCACTATCCACTAATTGTTTTCTTTATTGATAATATATTTTTCCAATATTCCTCCTTAGAAGCTTATTTCCTCACACCAGCACCCATGTTATATTGATAGTAATAAGTTTTTGTGTGGATGCACTAAACATAGAGTAAATTTTTTCTCCAGTTAAATCATGAAAATTGTGAACTTTGATAAACTATTTATATACAAATCAATGATTATGAATACCTATACATGTAGAATATTCAGAAAGTAGTATCAATTCTTAAACGTTCCTAAAATTGTTTGTGAAATGCCATGCACGCAATATGATACAAATTATATAACCTGGGCAAACGCATTGGGAAATCAAGTTTTGGGGGATAAAACTATATAAAGCAATTGATAAATAGTGAGGCAATGACTTCGCAAACTGATAACCCAAATTGGCAATTTGTGTAGTGATTATGATCAATACTGTAAACATGACTTTCAATGACCTTTCAGTATCAGCGAACACATTTTGTGGCTACAAACAATGAGTGCACATGTGAAGCGGGCTCTCAAATAATCTCTTCCCTCTACTCCTTCATAAAATTACACTCAAAATTCAAACAGGTAAGTAATTGGATTGAGCTTTCAATTATGTATTACAACTAGAGTGCTAGACTAATGATTTCAATTAAAATTTCCTTCCCATTTCATATATTTTCCTAATAAATATGGGGGGAAAAAGTATTCACTGAATTGGTGTGAAGATTGTTCATGGACATCATCAAATAAAAAATAGTTAATTTGAGAAAAAAAAAATCCATGTGATTTTACCATTTTTTTTCCAACAGGTGGCTATCTCCCGCAAGAAGCAGCTCCAACTGGTAAGCAGTTAAGTACTATGTCGTTAAGGCCTTTGAAAATGTCACTTTCAATATCTAAAAACTCTAAAGTGTTGGGTTGCATTAATTGTATATACATGTATGCTGACAGTTTCTTGTTAATTATAGTTTGCTGCACTATAATTCTGATCAGTGTTAATTAAATTCATGATGAACCTTTTTCGGTTTCACAGAAGTACATAAAGGCTGAGAACTGGACCAGTGTGTCATTTGTATTTAATCGCTGGATGTACAGGAGTCTATTTATGTAATCACATAGGCCCGAATTCACAAAGGAGGTTTGTCGACAAACCTTGGTTTTTGTACGTCATATGACGCGTTTTACGCGTTTTTTACAAACCTGGTTTGTAAAGAACAAAAGGAGGTTTGGTGAAACAAAAGGAGGTTAATTTGAGCTCAAACCTTGGTCTGAGCTCAAACCTTGCTTTGTGAATTCGGGCCATAAAGTTTGCACATAGAATTTACTTCATTGATAACTTCATTCTGCCTTTGTTCTACCAATAGAACACAAGATATTCAAACCATCATACAATTTTTTTTGCAATTAGACCATTATAAAACAAAATTACATCACAAAAACAAATTGTCGCTTTGCACTCTGAAAATGTTAATGATTTGAGAGAACTTTTAGAGCATATTCATGTTTTTTCTTTACACCCTTTCTTTACACCCTATATTATCCTAATTCGAAGAGAATATATTGGAAATTGGAAGTTAAAAAAAAAAAAATCTTTGATCAGCTGTACACTATTGAAACAATAAGAAATATGTAAATAAGAAGCACCCTAAACATACTAAATGTTGTTTGGGGGATATAGTATAGTCAAATTACGCGTCATTTACAAGATTATTCTAATTTTCTTTTCGTTTTATTTTCTTTTCTTAACGTCCATCCCCAACGAAAAAGATTCTCTCACAACTGAACAGGTTACCCGTTGTGCCGATGACTTCAAAGATTTCTACCGAAAACAGTTATGCAAGATCCAGACAGACCCACTTGACTTCAGCTTAGTTTTAGAATTCGATAGGATTTACACTGACCTAGTTCTCCTCAGAAACGAACGGGGAGCGGCAAAGAAGACACCCTTAGAATACAAGGAACTTCTCAAAATGAAGATACATGGGGAATTACCAAAACGTCTCATGGTTGAAGGCGAAGGAGGAGCAGGTAAAACTACATTTTGTTCCAAGATGGCATGGGACTGGACTAATGAAGCTGATGAATTTAGAGAGTTTGACTGGGTTCTTGTTATTCCACTGCGTGACATCGAAGGAAACCAAACAGTAGGGGATATCGCAAAAACATATCTCTCAGATAGTAACTCGGTTCAACCACACCAGATCGACGCATACATTTTGGCTAATCCCTTGAAGGTATTCATTATATTTGATGGACTGGATGAGTACGACGGTGATCTAGTCAAACAAGAGAACGATATTGCTAAGATAATCAGGTCGGAAAATTTCAAGGAATGCAGGGTCCTTGTTACAACACGACCTTGGAAAGCAGACCAAATCAAATCAAATTTCATATTCATGAGAACATATGCTTTCATTGCAGTGGCCGGATTTGATGAGAAACACATTTCAATTTACATTGAAAAATATTTTTCGGATGACCCTCAGGCAAGTAAAGATTTGATCAAACTCTTGGAAGGCAATGATGTAATTAAAGATAATATGGCCTACTTTCCAATTTACATTGCAATGCTTTGTATTTTATGGCAGGATTCTGATAGCGAGAAACGAGAAATAATTCGCAGACTAAAGACATTTTCTCAACTGTTCGAGGAAATCATTACAATGCTGAAAGAGCACTACGTGTCCAAGTGCTCCACAGAGCTCAATGAGGAAATTGTTACCAAACATTATAAACAGCTCGGCTTGGCTTTCACAAAAATTGGGGAAATTGCATTATCTGGAGTTGTGGACAAGAAATTGGGAAAGGCCAAATGTGATTTTAGCTCGTGTAAAGAAGCAATGGAGACATGTTGTAAAGTTGGAGTACTGAGTAGAGAAAAACAATTAATTCCTAAACGTGATAGACATAAAAGCAAGACACCTTCTGTGACCGAAAATGTCTTCTTCCCTCACAAGTTATTCCAGGAATACCTTGCCGGTATGTATCTTGCCTCTCTTTTTGAGTCTGATCACAAGCAGTATGAAAAGGCGATGAATGATGTGATTCAGAGAGTAAAAGAGTTCCGCTACCTTCTATACTTCACTGCATGTCAATCGAAGAAAGTCGCTTTTGATGTCACTAAAAGGCTAATTGATATTGGACATTATAAACATATTCTAGTTGATGTCACCTTCGAAGCGTATGATGAAGACGCGGCAAAAGTGGTTGGAAAGCACCTCTTTGCAAAAGAAACGTCACTAGAAATCGACGACGAGATGTCGGCGCATACTGTGTCTGGATATATTTTCATCATGGAAAAGTTAACAATGGTGAGAATAGTTGAATAGTTGCTGAAAAAAGCCACAACTTAAAAAAAAAGTAATGTATCATGAAATGATAAAACATCACATATTAATGTATAAATGAATCATTTACCGGGATCAGTTCTTTGGGGAAGAGTTTTGTTATAAGCAACTTATTTTGGTTGTATATATATGCTTTTGGAATGTTCACCGGGAACGATCAAGGAAATGCAACAAGCACTTTTTAATTCATATCAATCAATCAATGTGACGGTTATTTTACATGACTGCTAAGAATGCATAAATGCTTGTAAGAATTAAAGCAACCAGACGGCCGACAGCTTTAGGTCCTCTCCGAGGAACCTGGTAGTAAGGATTAATGCCTTAACAAATTGCTCTAGTGCATCGCCTTGGTTTCGAACCCGGGTCACCGGATTACGAGACCACTGCTCTACCGACTGAGCTATCGCGCTTCCTGGAACTGTAATTATTTCTCTTTCATTGAAGAAGTGAATTTTTTTCAGCCAACTATTGCAAATCAATTCAGATTACACACAAGTTATATTAGCATGTTTCCTTTCATTCATAGGAAACTCTGATACTGAGTAGAAGATCATGTGGTCCGACGGTTTCCCGTGACCTAGCAGATGTCATCTGCTCATCTACAGCGTTAACAGCATTGAAATTCAATGGCACAGCACTCCATGACGACTTCTATGGCTTCCTGGAGGGTAAAGTCAAGACGTCAAAGGTATGGGGAATCCTCACAGAGAGTATGAATGAGGCAAAGTTGGGCAGACTGAGGATTATATGATGGGAGGGGGGGGGGGCAGAGATATTTATATATATATATATATTATTTTTTCCAAAAACATACATGTAGATACCAATGGCCCTCAATCTCCAGACATTCTTACAATGAATTGGTTGGCCAAATCTTTACAATATCTTTTTCTTTTATTATGCGCATTTGACAAATAAGGTGGCTGTAATATGAAATAGTGCAGTATGTAACTTCAGTTATTGATGTTCATCTTGATCTGAACCTTTCTTGAAACAAAAATTGCTTTTCTTTACAAAAGGGAATGTTATTAAAGCATTATGTTTTAAATCTCTATTTTTTAAGTTTATTGTTATTGTTAATGATAATAGTTTTGCTTTTCAAGTGGAATTCTTCTGTTTTTTTGCATGTGTGTGTAAATATGAGAGTTATTGGAAAAAAAATTGTTTGATATGTGATCATCACCATTATAGGTTGAACGACTATCACTTATATCGATGGAAATATCTGAGGAGCATGCATCGCGTAATCTGGCTAGATTCTTGAATAACCTCCCTAGACTGAAGGATTTGACTCTCCAAGACAATCGCTTTGATGGGGGGTTTTACACAGAGCTAGCCTCTGGAGCCTGCTCTGTGGAGGTGAGCCATTTTATTTAAAGGACAATCCAACCCTTGTAATAAGTTTATTTGAATAAAAGCAGTCAACGCACGAGCAACGCTAATTTATTGTCTGACGATCAAATACGAAATGAAACAGGTCCCTTTACTATGTGATTCATACATTCTTTTGTGTAAAAATATAAGACCAGAGGAATAAGTGTAAATTTATTCTGTGCTTTTCATAATATCTTTAGTTTTGATGTACTATTTTTAAATCATCGTCGTGAAATCAAGTCTGTGTGGTAATGTCACAGTGCCACGGTGGTATTAAGCTATCGATATTGATATATCGGGCTCTTAATTTCATCAGCTCTTGACTGCTCTAAACACTTACACTAACACCCAACTTGAAATCACTCATTGTATGTAGTATATAATAAATTAAGGCTATAGAACACTTTACATTCAGCCTCTCAGGAGTGACAAACCATGAAAAGTTTCACTGCTTAAAGACTCGCAATTTGTACAACATAGTTAAGGTACATCACGGCCCCAGGGGTCATTGATTTTAATATATAGCTTGGGAATAATTTTGGTATTTCTCGTGTTATATTTTGAAAACTATAGAGGCGTGAATTTTATGGCATATTTGCCCTGTGGTAGAATTTTAAAAGAATGTCCACTTTTTGGAGCGAGATATGGTCAAATAAGCGTGCCATAGCTAGCGTAAATATACTTCAAGGATTCATTGGGCTAAAAGACTACAAATGTATCTAATAGATACCCAACACAAGTTTGGGCACTTTAGTCTAAAAGAAGGATGAGAATTGAAAATTCTAAAAAATAATCTATTTTGTATGACATGTGATCATCACCATTATAGGTTGAACAACTATCACTTATATCGATGGAAATATCTGAGGAGTATGCATCACATAATCTGGCTAGATTCTTGAATAACCTCCCTAGACTGAAGGATTTGACTCTCCAAGACAATCGCTTTGATGGGGGGTTTTACACAGAGCTAGCCTCTGGAGCCTGCTCTGTGGAGGTGAGCCATTTTATTTAAAGGACAATCCAACCCTTGTAATAAGTTTATTTGAATGAAAGCACGAAGATCAGAACAAAAGAATGTTCAAAGTTTCAAATGAATCGGACCAATAATTAAAAAGTTATAAATGTTTGAAATAAGAAATCACGCGACGGCTATGCCAATCTCAAATTGACAACTTTGTCAGTGGATTGTGATGTGGTGACGGATACCTATCCTGTTTTTTTCCTGTACAAAAATATCACTCATTTCTATTTTTCTCTATTTTTCTGGGGCACTAGCTACTCCAAATATATTATAGATATAAACAAAGTTGACAAAAGACTTAACTCTGTTTCGTTGACGATCAGCCATGCATCAAGTCTTTCGTCTTATTTGTGCATGGCTGATCATCAACAAAAACCAGTGGCAGCCAGTGAAAATGAACTCGATCAAATTATGGAAATGCAAGCATTACTTTAAACAAACGGAACTTGTTAGTCCTGGCTCATTTTTCCTGATTGAGGTGTCATATCTAAGGGCAGAAATTGAACTTTCTAGAAATGTTATTTTCTCTTTGAAATTCAGATACCGCCCGCTCTGGTTTCCTCTCTTCAAATTGTTTTTAATCACTCATGCATGAAATATTCATCATATGAGTTGCACCAAATGAAATAAGAGGATCTAAGCTCTACAAATAGGTGTCATGTATTAATTACAATTGTGATTAAGTTATGATAAAACATTGATAATTCTTGGTTTCGTTTTTTACGGGACGCACTGTAGAATATTATATTACATTATATTACATTGTATGACATTTTATCATACATAATCCATTAAAAAAATAAAGTTGGGGTTTGCAGAGCAGCAAAAAATGTCAACTAACTAAATTTTAAATTGCACTAGAAACTAATAAATAAATCAAACAAATAAATCAAATGAAAAACAAGGAAATGTCAATGATCATTCAGTAACGTTTTAATGTATTAATCTCAAGATCCTTTCATATATAATCATTTAATGGCATGTTCATTTTGTTAATTCATTTGATATCACACATTTAGGAAATTGCAGAGACTGTGATTATGATTCTCACACTCTAATAATTTGTAAGAAGATTTTGTTGATTCGGTTTGGATCTACAAGATTGTAATTCCATAACTAATATCCTTGACTTTAAATATAATTGTTTTATCCTATTTTCACATAGGTTGGATTGTCATGTCATTCGATACGTAAACTTCACCTAGATCATCAAAGCAACAACGACATATTGCAGTATGGCATCACTGTGGATAGGTTGTTTCCAATGTTGGAGCATCTGTATTTCGCTACTTTGCAAACAGTGTCCCCTAACATTCTAGGATCCTTTGCTCATTCTGGGCTTAAAGAGTTGTCATTCGCCGCAGAAAACAGACATGGACTAACTAAAGAGGATGAAGAATGTCATGTTCCCCTAATCGGAGATCCCTCCTCTCTCGAACAAGTTTTCCTGAACTCATTTCCACTACTTACCAATCTCACATTCAACAACCTTGTGATTGGAAACAATCGTTGTGAAACAATACTGGGCTCTCTCAAACAACATCAACACCTCGAAAACTTATGGTAAGACATTACCTACGTAAAATTCCAAAGTCAATTTAACATTTTGAAGATGGGTGTTTTATTAAAAGTAGCATAGTGTCGTGACTGAATATCATAAGAAATGCGTTGCTTCAGCTCGCCACATTTGAAAATTTGTTACATATATTGAACATCTCCGTTTTGGTAGACTTAGTAGTATTATTGGTCATACTGGTAGCATGGGGCGAAGATTTAATGCCACAACCAGTACAAAATGCAAGGAACATCCCTTTATTTTATTGTATAATATTTTGTATAATTATATGGTTAAATCCTCACCACAGCATTAATTGGCTTTTGCAAGGCTATATACATCAACAACGCCAGGATGATGCACACAATTCTTTTTTCTTTTTAGGGAATTCTTTCCTACTTCCTATAAAACTGGTAAAAGGCCGCACTAGAAGTGATTTCTTGTTAATTACTTAAATGTACCTATTTTTGCAATAACCTTTTGATCATATTTGCGCAGTGTCGTACGCTGTTACACTGATGAGGAGCTCGACCCCATCGCGTCAGCTATCAACAAGGAAAAGGGGATGCAGGTTAACATTCAACATGACCAGGTATATTTGTATGATATATATATTTGTGGCATTGATACAATGTGAATACACTAAGGATCACATTGCAACTGAATTAAGGTCAATTTACATAGGTATTAAGCCCAGTAATTTGACCTCGGGGCTTATGCAATTTCAAAGTTAAACATCATGAGCAATAACAGAAAGTGTCCCAGTGATACAAATTGAAGAAAGAGCTAGATATTGTTGACATAACCACAAAGGGAATAAATTTGTTTCTCAATTGTTAATAGCACCATAATATGCAGATCCAATATGATCTGTTGAGGTTAGGTACTATGAATCGATGCAATACAGGACGATTGCATTAGAATTAAATTTTATCTGAACTCATTTATACCTCGGTCACTCTGCCAAACCGACTGAATTTCGCCATGGGGAAAATGTACAGTAATTGTTTTGTCAGTTGTTGGTCTGATGTTGGTCTCGTTGGTGTGACCGGGGTATTAACTTTCATTTCTGAACAATTAAGTTATGTATCATTTGTAACAGACCCAGAAACGTCTCGAATGCATGAAAATGTCATCAGGCTTAGTCGATGCTCTGAGCCATCGGACATCCATCCAGGAGTTGATTTTGACGCATGAAACAATATTCTCCAATGCTTGGTGTTCAGAGGAAAACCAAAGAACGATGAACTTGAAGGTAATAATAAGTGCGTCATTATAGAAGCCACGTCCCAATTCTTTTAATTGAGTTATTAAATGTTCCTAGATATGTTGAAATTTGAATAGTAACCCATAATTTATGATCAAAATTGTGCAATTTGTTAACATGTTTAATACTTTCATATCATCTTTGTAACATTAATTTGTCTCAAATTTGTGAACCTTTGCCGTGGCAGAGAACCCGAGTACCAAAATGTCTTCCAAATTAAGTGACCCTTAAACAAAACCATATCCAGAATATAGATAATGGGATTACTGTATATAATTTTCTTATGTGTGCAATTATATTCAATTACACAAATATGTTTGGAAATATAAGATTATATCATAATCCTTTGAAATCATCACCCTCTGTTCAAGTAGCATTTACTGCCTACAATGACACAAATTAATATCTGTTTTGTCTAGATTAAATTCAACCACGAGCTTGTTTAAAGGTGGCAATTTGTCCCCCCCCCCCCTTTCACCATTTTAGATTTCCAATTAAGAAAAAGAAATAATGTCTTACATTCAAGTTAGAAAATTATTTCATGGAAACCATGAATAATCATCACAAATATGCACTTAACAATTCGTAAATTACTGATGTTTTCCCCGAGGTTTTTAATTCAGTTAACGCAACCTTGTTTTAAAAATGTTATCTTGAGCATAACTTTTGATTAGAAGTCAAAATAATATATTAGGAATTAATGAAGAAGAGTGGACATTGGGGCACGTATCATTACACTGAAGGAACCAACACACCAAAGTTTAATATACATCATCTTATAAAACCTGAAATCAATAGATGTATAACTACACTGTAGTAATGAAAACTGCCAATTGAAGAAAAAAATTATTATCAAGCATATAGTTGGTATTATATTCCACATACTAAGAATCTTGCTCTACAATTGGTCAAAAGTAAATCACGTGATGAAAGATAGTTCGCCCATCATTGATGGGAGGAGAAAAGTTTGTTACAATGTGTAGAGAGTACTACTATCTTCAGTGAAAGTGCATTGCACTCGGTAGACAGTATTATATCTACACAATGCAACGCACTTTAATTGTATACGTTGCGTATTGCTCTCCTCTTTAATGGGATTGTTTACAATGTTAAATCTGAGATGCACGGCCCTACGTACGTGTTATCAATGTCTGTGATATGGTGTTATATTGAAGCCCTAAAAAAATTGTGCTTCAAAATGATCAAGAAGTGCCTCAAAAAAGTAAAAACCTTTGAGTGACCGGTTTTCCCAAATAGACTGTAGTGTTGTGAAAACTGTGTGGCAAACGCAAAATTTGATGTAGATTTTCAATCATAAATATCTTGATAATCAGACAGGCGATCGGCTTGTAAAAGTCTTGGGGTCCCTGACTGACCTATAAGGTTTATAATTATCATAGCAGCATGAGCTAAATCAAGGATTTTTTTAAAGGATCTAAGACAAAGTTACCGGATCCCTTTAAGCGCGTTTAGTGTTGGTACGCAAACTTTGGTCACGTGCGAACTATCGGTATAGCCACAATCAGGGTGCAACTATTCTACCTACAGTGTTACGCATCTCTCCTGGAAACACAAAGTCATTTAATCAAATGTCTTGTGGCCTGAAATGTTGGACCATATGAGTTTTTCATCAGGCAGCAACTTTTGTTTGAATTTCATTTGAGTTGGCTGTGTGAGAAGGGTAATATAGGGCCAAAAATACCACTTTTTGGCTGTTACCCATTTGCACTTTGAAAATGTGTCTTCTTTCATAAGGTGTTACTATGGAATTACACAAGATATGCCATATCTTTTCATGCCATCTTGTAGTCCTTTTTTATCTCCACTCAGTATTTTTTTAAGGCTTGAGAATTGACCCAAGAATAATTGCGAAACAGTGGTTATTTCTGTGAAGAGAGACAATTGAACTCTTTTTTAAACACTTCGTCGGCGAGGGGATATAGAACGCTGCCGTCCGTCCGTAACAACTTTGGTTTCCGATAAACTTCATAAACGTTTGACAAATTTTAATGAAATTTGATATGAAGGTACATGGTATCAAAACACAGCCTAATTTCAATTTCCGAGTATGTAGGTCAAAGGTCACAGCTCATTAAATATCCGAATCTGGTTTCTGATCCATAACTTTAGTATTGTTTGACGGATTTTAATGAAATTTGATATGAAGGTTCATGGTATCAAAACACAACCTAAGTTTGATTTCGGAGTATGTAGGTCAAAGGCCATAGCTCATTAAATATGCGAATCTGGTTTCCATTCGATAACTTGAGTAATGTTTGACGAATTTTAATGAAATTTAATATGAAGGTACCGTACATGCGGTATCAAAATACATGTACACATATACATGTGGTTAACTTCTTTGCCTAGTAATATAATAGTATAGTCCAATGGAGGTAACTTGTTCTGACGTATATAGGTCATTTGTACCCTGCGAGGGGATGCTACGCTTTGTGTTGACTTGTTTGTTACTTGTTTCAACAGATTAAAAAATTATCAATAGATATTTTGGGTACTGCAATGAATGATCAAACAGCATCACGTGACCTAGCCAGGTTTCTCTGTCTTCAGCCTTGTCTCACCGACTTGACGATAAATGGGTCAAATCTACATGATGATTTCTACCAAGAACTTTCTCGTCTTGCTACTTCCTCAAAGGTGACTTTTAATGTTTGTTACTTTTTATCAAAGTAAATCTTGCCATTGATAATTTGATTGATGAAATTGCAAATTGACATTTTCTAGTACACAAAGAAGAAAAGATCAAAACCTTAACACAGGGAAAAAAAATCTAAATTGATTTATGCAAGTTTTCGCTATAATTCTTGGATATTTGTACTATTGAAGATATTCTATATTATTCATTACTTCTTTCTAACTTGCCTACAAGAATTGAAAAGTTGAAGATGATAAGTAATGACGTAGACACATATTCATTGTATTTACATGGGCTAATAAATTAATAATTGTCACTTACAAAAGCCAAATATACGTGTACGTACTGTACACCTGTGATAATGTCCATTGTGAAAAAGATCCTAAGCAATCATATTTCACCTCCTGAAAATATTTGTAAGCTTAGCATTATTAAAATTGGTTTTCAATTTCGGGGTGAAAAAACATCCTTGCCATCATCCTGATCGGGGGGGGGGGGGGGGGGGTGGTGACTGGACTCATTGTAACATTAATTGGTTATCTAGCCTGTCTATGTACCTAAAGAGATCTGAGTACAATTTATTTTTTAACAGTCCTAATTTTTCTCCAGGGAATGTTTGTAAGTGTTTGTAGCATTATCATTATTGTAATTATTAATAATTTCATTTCCATCATCATTTTTCACTTTTCAACAGGTTCAAAATCTATCCATACGAGCTTATAATCTAAAAGAAATCAATCCCTTTGCATTACGTGACCTAGCCAAGTTTCTCTGTCTTCAGCCTTGTCTCGTCGACCTGATGATACACGACGTAGATTGGGGATACGGCACAAAACGGCTACATGATGAATTCTACCACGAACTTGCTCGTCTTGCTTCCTCCTCAAAGGTGATTTAAAATTATTTTTTTTTAAGTTTGTTACTTTTTATCTAAGTGAATCTTGTTATGATAATTTGATTGATGAAATCGCAAGTTGATATTTTAGGACATTATAATATAAATTGATTTATGCTTCTTTATGGTAATTTCATAGATACATGCATTAATTCTGTTAATCATATTTTATATTATTCATTACTTTCTAACTTGCATAAAAGAATTAATAAGTTGAAGATGATGTAGACATGTATTCATTGTATATTCACATGGGCTGGTAAATTAATAATTAACTCTCCTACAAAAGATAAATATGGTTCCTTTGTAAATTCATCTTAAAAGCAATCATTTATCAGCTTCTTAATGAATTAATTAATATTTAGGGATTGAAGTAAAAAAAAATATATATTTTCCAGCGCATGTTAAAAAAGTTAAATACAAACGAGAAGTGGCTGATTATGTTCTTTGTCTCGATCGTACTGTAACATTTACATTTATTTGAAGAAACCTATTGCCATTATTATTATTATTATTATCATTAGAAAAAGTATAATTATATTAGTAGTATCATTATCATAATTACAGTATGCCGGAGGATACATTGGATTCAGCAGTGTTACGCATCCGCTGCGTCATCACGCATCCGCTGCGTCATATTCTTGTGTGTGCTCTAACTGCCACATTTCGTTACAGATTTCTTTCAAATTGTGTAAGGAAAAATCTACACACCTGTAATTTGTATGCCTCCGTTACGAAGGAGCCGGAGGCATTGGCCCGAATTCACAAAGGAGGTTTGTTGACAAACCTTGTTTTATATTTTGGTAATGGTTCTACTGTAGAAGTCATGATACGGAGGCTTGGAGGTTAATGTTTACAGGTGTCTTTATTAGAACCAAACTGCGTCATGATTCAATGTCATGAGCCATGTTGAGAACTGTAGTCTATTGTCAAGACTTACATAATATCAGCACACCTTGGTTTTTGTGCGTCAAATGACGCGTTTCAACGCGTTTTTACAAACCAGGTTTGTAAAAAACGTGTCAAAACGTGTCATATGACGTACATAAACCTCCTTTGTGAATTCGGGCCATTATGTTTTCGGGTTGTCCGTCTGTCCGTCCGTACGTACGTTCCGTTCTCGTGATCGCATTATCTCAAGAACCGATTGATGGATTCCTGCCAAACTTAGGTCATGTATGTATCTTGCAGAGCCGATGACTTGATTAGATTTTGGGGTCACGAGGTCAAATGTCACAGTGCTCATTATGTATGCAAAAATAGCTTGTGATTCGCGTTATCTCAAGAACCAATTGATGGATTCCTGCCTAACTTAGGTCATATATGTATCTTGCAGAGCCAATAAATTGATTAGATTTTGGGGTCACAAGGTCAAAGGTCACAGGGCTCATTATGTATGCATAAATAGCTGATGATCACATCATTAGAACCGATGGACAGATTACCATTACCACTCAAGACATGTATGCATCTTGCAAAGCCAATGAACTGATTATTAGATTTTAGGGTCATGAGGTCAAAGATTAAAGGGTCATACATGTATATGAAAAATAGCTCGTAATCACGATATTCTGAGAACCTCTGGATTACTATTAAACTTGAAACTTGAAATCGCTCTTTGGCGGAGGCATCATTTTTTACTGCGCGCAGTCAAAATTCCATCTAGTTGTTGATGCTGCCCCCAGTCACCAGTGTTCTGTCTTAATAGGGTAAAAGGCCATAGAAGCCGGAGGCATTATGTTTTTGGGTAGTCCATACGTCTGTTCGTCCCGTTCTCGTGATCGCGTTATCCCAAGTGTTGATTGATGGATTCTCGCTAAACCAAGGTCATGTATGCAAAAATAGCTTGTGATCACATTATCATCAGAACCGACTGATGGATTACCATCAAACTCAAAACATGTATGTATCTGGCTGAGCCAATGAACTGATCAGATTTTGGGGTCATGAGGTCAAAGGTTATCGGGCTCTTAACGCATTAACATTAGAACCGACAGATGAATTACTATCGAACTCAAGACATGCATGTATCTAGCAGAGCCAATGATTAAATTTTAAGGTCATGATCGAGGTCAAAGAACAAAGGGTCATACATATATAAAATATAAAATAAAATATTGTAATCACATTATTCTGAGAACCTGTAAATGGATTACAATCAAACTTAAATTTTAAAAATTGCTTCTGTTTTGGTTTGTAAAATGGCTCTATGGTGGAGGCGTCATTTTTGACTGCGCGCAATCAACGTTCTATCTAGTTGTGGATGGTTTGAGTGCGCTCTAGCTATTGGCCACATTTCTCATGGGATTTTGAACGAAGGTGTATCTTGGTATAATCTACAAGCCTTTAGAATTAGGTGAAGCTGCCTCCAGTGTTCCGTCTTATATAGGGTCAAAGGTCATATTTTGATAGATGTCTTGTATGCACCCTAATGCAGTCTAACTGCAATATTTCGTGACAGATTTCTTTCAAATTGTGTATGGAAGTATATGTTGGTAAAATCTATGCATCTATAGCTTTTGGTGATGGTGCCACAAGTGTCCCATGTTTTATAGGGTCAAAGGTCATATTTTGCAGGATATGGCGCGAGTGCACTCTGCAGATCCCATTTCTTGATGGATTTCTTTCAAATTTTGTATGGAGGTGTATCTTGGTCAAATCTACACATCTTTAGTGTTTGGTGATGCTGCCACCTGTGTTCGTCTATTATAGGGTCACAGGTCATATTTGGGCGGTTGTCTTCTGTGAGCTCTAACTGCACATTTCTTGACAGATTTCTTTCAAATTTTGTATGGAGGTGTATCGTGGTAACATCTGCACATCTACACATCTGGGCGATGCTGCCCTCATAGTTCGGTCCTTTATAAGGTCAAAGGTCATATGTCTTTTATGCGCTCTCACTGCCAAATTTCTTGACAGATTTATTTCAAATTTTGTATGGAGTTGCATCTAAGTAAAATCTACACATCAATACGTGTTTGGTGATGTTGCCACCTGTGTTCCGTCTGTCATAGGGTCGGTGGCTGTCTTCTGAGAGCTCTAACTGCCACATTTCTTGACAGATTTTTTTCAAATTTTGTATGGAGGTGTATTGTAAAATCTACACGCCTCTTGTTTTTGGTGATGCCGCCACCAGTGCCCATCTTTTATAGGGTCAGGTCATATTTTGGTGGAAGTGTATGCTCTGCAGGCCACATTTCTTGACACATTTCTTTAATCTACACACATGATGTTTTGGTGATACTGTCCCTAGTCTTAACAATAGTCCGAGCCTCTAGTGGCAATCTCTACGTCATCCTTTTGTTCCAGAGAGGGGAGAGGGGAGAGGGGATCTTTGTTTCGAACATAAGGATGATTAAAAATCGCTGCGACTGCCAGGGGAAAAACGCAGATCCAGGGGGGGGGGGAAGCGGGCCTTGGCCCCCCCCCCCCCCCACCCAAAAAAAAAAGAAAGAAGGGAAAGGGAAAGAAAGAATAAAAGAAAAAGGGGGAAAAGAAGGAGATCGGGGGGGATAGTGACCTGCCAGTGTCACAAAATAATGAGGTATCAAAAATATGCTCATCTGAGACCGTGGAAAAATGCCTAAGACCCCTGTGCTTCCGGGGGCTCTGCCCCCTGCATTCCACCTAGGGCCCTAAGGCAAGCCCCTGGATGCTGATCTGACGTAATTCAATGCTAAAACCCCTGAGCTCAGTAGTTTTAGGCTTTTAATTACGGTCAGACTTTTTGGGAAAAAGTATATAAAAGAGAAATAGAAAGAATTAAGAAAGAATAGTGACCTGCAAGTGTCACAAAATAATGAGGTACCAGAATATGCTCAACTGACCGTAATTTAACCCTATATGGTCCGGGCTATTTTGAAACTGCATAGCCAGGGGGGGGGGGGGGGCTTCTAAGGCCCCCCCTATGATCTCGGCCGTGAAACGACCTATCTCCGCAAAAAATTGCATGCATGTCAAGAAAAGTGTATAGAATACTATGGTAATTTCAATTTTTTTCTGAAAAATTCACTCATTCGCATATTTATGGTAATAACAATCACATTTTTATCCATAAATCATATATTCTTCATATTTAGACATTAATTTTCACTACATATATTTTTTAGAGCATTTGGGATAATAATACAGCCAAAAAAATTGGAAGAGCCAGGTTATTCCTTATCTTGTCTATTGTTTTGATGATTTCTTATGTATTTCTTCTGTTTATTTAACTCATGTATTTTATTGTTTTTGTTGTTTTATTTCATTTCCAACTATAATTCAACTATTTTGACCCCAAAATAAACACCTAAACTATAAACAAGGCCAAATAACAAATGTTTTATCTCTTTATTTCCATATGTTTTGTACACAAATCACAAAAATGAGTGATTTTCGGGCTGACATGCAAAGACAAAAGGACACATGACTTTGTAATGGTAGGGCCGATTTTCGAAAAATTTCTTTCAAAAGACGTGCAAGACTCTAAAGAAAAAAGTCACAAAATTTCATTGCAAGATTTTCTTGCGTTAAAAAATTATCGCAAAAAATGTCAAGGGGGGGGGGGGGGGCTTCTACTAGATAGGGTTAAGTCCTAAAACCCCTGAGCTTCCGGGGGCTCTGCCCCCTCAACCCCACCATGGGGCCTAAGGCGGGCCCCTGAATGCTTATATCTGACCGTTATAAAATGCCTCAAATCCCTGAGTTTCAGGGGGATCAGGCCCCTGGACCCCACGCTACTTATGACCTGCCAATGCCATGAACAAGGTATCAAAATATGCTCAACTGGCCGTTATTAAATGCCCATACCCCCTGAGCTTCTGAGGGCTCTGCCCTTGACCCCCGCCAGTGCTTTGCCCTTAGAACTCCCACCAATTTAACGCTACGCTTTACCTGATCGTAATTACTTTAGCCTCCCCCCCACCCACTTTGAGAAACGTTCAATGGGGTTCTGCATGTAAAAGCGGGGTGGTGCAGATTGTTTGTCTCCCCCCCCCCCCAAACGTTTTGCTTATTATGCCACTGCTGGTCACCATTACGTATCAAGATTTGGCTCGCATAATTTCAAATATGGGCTCCCCCCCCCCCCTATTAAATCATGGATCCGTTTCTGCCGGAGATACATTTGAATTGCGCGGCAATACAGACTGCAAAATTTCTAGTTATTAACAGTATCTTTACCATCATCATTTTTCACTTTTCAACAGGTTCAAAAGTTATCCTTAGAGGATAAGAATTCAGAAAGGAATGATCCATCAGCATCACGTGACCTAGCCACGTTTCTCTGTCTTCAGCCTTGTCTCACAGACTTGACGATAAATCGGTTTAATGGATATATACATGATGATTTCTACCACGAACTTGCTCGTCTTGCTCCTTCCTCAAAGGTGATTTCTAACGTTTGTTACCTTTAATAGAAGTATATCTTGCCACTGATACTTTGATGAAATCGCAAACTGATATTGTCTAGTACCCGAAGAAGGAAAAGAAAATTAACACAGAACATAATATGAATTTATTTATGCTTCTTTGTGTTTATCTCATAGATACAAGTAATAAATATGTTAATCATATTCTATACTGCTCATTAAATCTCTTTAACATGCCTGAACGCATTTAGAAAGTGTAGATGATATTCTCGAACACACATATTTGCCTTGCCTAGTAATATAATAGTATAGTCTAATGGAGGTAACTTGTTCTGACGTATATAGGCCATTTGTACCCTGCAAGGGGATGCTACGCTTTGCGATGACTTGTTATGAATTACAATGAGGTTGTAAGATCCTTAGTTGTAGGACAAATACAAGGACATTCCTGCAATGACATATTTTCCTTTTTTCGAGAGATGGAGCTTAGCAAGCTTGAGATCTGTGAAAATGGATGGTTATATTATCTTTTTTTGGTCAATGTAGAGATTTTCTAAAAAAAATTAGGCTGGAATATTAATAAGAAGAGGTGTATTCATATTTTGAAAGGTTAAGTTAGTTGGGTTAAAGGAGCCCTTTAATATTTAATCAAGCATGTCTATATACCCTTAGGGATCAGTGTAAATTTGATTTTTATTTTTGACAGTCCTAAATATTTCCCAACATATGTTTGTAAGTGACAGAAAGTCAAATAAAAAATAGAATTAGAAAGGAATTAATTTTTCCCTGCCTTTTACTGTAACATTTACTACGTAGCAGAAACATATGGCCATTATTTGTAGTAGTAGTAGCTAGTAGTAGTAGTAGTAGTAGTAGTAGTAGTATCATTATCATAATTACATTCATTATTTATCTTTACCATCGTCAAATTTCACTTTTTAACAGGTTGCAAAGTTATCCGTAGGAGGTTGTAATCTAGAAAAGAATAATCGCACAGCATCACGTAACCTAGCCAAGTTTCTACGCCTTCTGCCTCGTCTCATTGACCTGTCGCTAGAGACCTCTGGCAATGAATACAAACATCTTTACCTTCATGATGATTTCTACCAGGAACTGGTTTTTCGGGCCTCATCCTCAAAGGTGATTTACAATGTGCTTTAATGTTATAAGAAATACGAGACATTGATCACACTGTTGCCTTAAATAATGAATAATGAAAATGTCAATTACTTCACACCACGATTAATACAAGAAAACGAAATAGGTTCAACTCTGCCAGTTCGTATAGAAAATTAATTTGAATGTGTTGTAACCATCATGCAACTTATTGTTTGATACCGGTATTCTAAATCGACTGTTATGACCATGATGTTCAGCACTTTCAGCTTTTACCTCCTACATAGATATGCTTCTTGCTTTAGAACCTCAGGATAAAAGCTTAAATGCTTACAACTTGATAAATTTAGAATGGATTTTTTTTTTTCTTTATAGATACATAACAATTTTCTGAAACCAAGTTGCACAAACTCTGTGCATAGATGGCTATGGTCCCATGGTTGCAACTACAAACAGTTATTGATAGCATTAACATAATCTAAATACCCTTTGTAATCAGGCATGTAGCCAGGGGGGCGAAGGGACGTCGCCTCCACAATGTCCCACCCCCAAAAAATATCCCAAAACAACAAGAACAAAAAAAGGGAGAAAATGAAAATAGAAAGAAGAGGAAAAGAGCATATTTAAGGAAAGAAAAGAAGACGGAGAAGATGAAGCAGAAATTGAAGGGGCAGAGAAGAACATCTATTTCCATGGCCGAGAATGTAGATCTAATGTTTTCAGCATTTTCACTGCAGTAGACCTTCCTCTCATCAGTCAACCTGTCCAGTGTAACAAGAGCTTAAGCAATATAATGAAATTCCTTTCAACTCTGTACATCAGGGGCAGCAATTTCGGGGGGAATCTGAAAATAATTTAGAAGAAATGATGATTTGAGGCTGGAGCACACTAACTGTAACAATTAAAAAAGTGGATTTTTTTATCTCACTCGATTGCTACAATATACTTTAACTTTAATATTAAAGAATACTTGTCAACTGGGATATATAATACGTAGGTTAGGCACACATTTTTTGTATGTGTGTACAGGACTTATTATATTGCTTAAGCTCTTGTTACACTGGACAGATTGACTGATGAGAGGAAGATCTACAGAAAGAAATCAACCGGCAAGTCACGAAAGCTAAAGTTCTGTATACAAGAAAACTGGAAAGGAACTTTAATGAAAACAACCCACGAGCTGCATGGCAGCAAATGCAAACAATGACTGGTTATAAGGACACTAATAGGAGAGTAATGGATTGTAAACAGGTTTTTGTTGATAGTCTTAGTGAATTCTATGCCCGATTCGATGTTCATGACTTTTCTACAGAGAATGATGTAATAATAGATAGGCTGTCAAATATTGTGATTGATTCAAATGAGGTAATTGTCTTTAGTGAACATGAAGTTCGAAATGTATTTGCGAAGACAAATATAAACAAAGCATCTGGTCCAGACCACATTTCTAATAAGGTTTTGAACATGTGTAGTCAACAACTTGCCTATGTTTTTACACGTATTTATCAATTGATCATGAATGCTGGTAGGATTCCTCGTCTTTGGAAATCCTCAATTGTTATTCCAGTTCCTAAGATGAAAACCCCTAGTGAACTGAATCAGTATAGACCAGTAGCCCTTACATGCAATCCTATGAAATGTTTTGAACGGTTATTGTTAAGACATCTAATAGAAACCAGGTTAATGTTTTCGACAAGACTCAGTTTGCATATCAGAACAATAGAGGTGTAGAAGACGCTGTACTTGTTTTTCTACAGGGTCTGTATCCACATTTGGATACTCCCAGGTCTTACGTTAGGTCTGTGTTCATAGATTTCTCAAGTGCCTTTAATTCGATTGTACCTCATGATAGATAAGCGTGAATGTCAAACCATGTCTAGTTAGGATTATTCATAATAAGACAGACCACAGTGGGTTAAGTGTAATAATCTGAACTCTATCATCATGTGTCTGAATCTGGGTGCTCCTCAAGGCTGTGTAATTTCACCAATTCTCTTCTCGCTCTATATTAGTGACTACCGTATACCATCACCAATGATAATTGTTCAATAATTAAGTATGCAGACGACACTGTTATAACTGGTTTCCTTCAAGGAGATTCCAGCCCATATGTTAGAGAAGTTGATCAATTTGTATTAAAACTGGTGCGATTGGCACCATCTAGTTCTGAAAGTAAAAAAGACTAAGGAAATGGTATTTGATTTTCGTCATTCCTCTCAGCCTTATGACTCGTTAGTTATCCATGATCAAAGCATTGAGCGAGTTTCTGAATATAAGTACTTGGGAACAACTGTTGATAATAAACTTAACTGGAATAGGAACACCCAAATTGTAGCAGGCAAGGCAAGTCAAGGAAACTAAAGGAGTTTCATGTGGATAATAGGATCCTAGTTCTCTTACCAATTTCTTATACAGAGTATCCTGATACATTCAATTTCTTGTGCACTTTTGGTAATCTTTCAAAACAAATTCAGAGAAAGTTAGATAGATCCAGGAAAATTGCCCAGCGGTTAATTTATTCAAATCTTCCCCCTATCAGTACTGTGTATGAAAAACGTATGTTACTTAAAGTTCACACAATAATGAATGACTCATCACATCCATTACATCATTTCTTTGGATTTAATCGCTCAGGTATTCACCTACGTGTACCGAGGAGCCAACCGCTGACGTTACAGACAATCCTTTGAACCGAATGTCATTCATATGTTTAATGCTAATGTTAAACGATGACCCTATTGAAAGTCTCTCGCCAGCCAGTTACATATTTTCCTTGTAATTCTTAACACCTGCCAATTGACCCCCTGCTCAATCTTGCCTCTGCTCTGTTTTTACGCATAATTAGTATCATAAAGCCATTTTTTTAAAATGTGCAACATAATGGACCAGTTTCGTAGTGGGTGCGGGTTGGGTGCGTGGGTCTTTGTCGGGGTGCCTGGATGCGGGTGGCTCCATTCACCATTGGGAGTGGTTGTGTTTCGGTGGGCGGGGTGTAAGTTGGGTACGTTGGTTGTTGCTAGGTTGGGCGAGCTCTAATGTATTGCCAGCCTGGTAGCGGCTATCGTCCGCAATTCGCATTCTGCCTGTTGGGATCCGATTGTTCCTGCCGGGTAGGTGGAGTGAGTCGTGTCAGCGCGCTTCGCGGGGACCTGCGCATCCGACGTGGACACGTTGCGAAACTGGTCTGTTACCTTTCAGATAGACAGTAAACAATTTACCTACCGGTACATGTGTCGTGTACAACTCGTCCCCCTTCCTTTTCCTTTTCTTTCCCCTCCCTCTATTTATATCATCTTCTCTCCTTTACCTCCTCTACCGTGTCCACCTTTCGTTCCTATCTTTCTCTCTCTCGCTCTCCCTCTCTCTATCTCTCTCTCCATCTCTCCCCCTCTCCCCTCTCTCTCTTATTACTATTTTTGCTCCTCAATCTAGTCTCCTTACGACCTTTTTCTCTCTTCTCAATCTTTAAATGTCGACTCCTTTCTTAAGTTTTCCCTATTACTATGTAATTTATACTTGTGCTTCTTGCAGAGCCCAGAGTTCCTAGAAAATAATGGAGTTGTCCCTCGATATTGGAAAGTCTGAACAAAATGTTTACATGATGTTTTAACGCTGTTTTATACGTCTCATCTTTCTAGGCGTGTAGTAACCGAGCTAGAAAATGTATAACTTTGCATTTTAGATCGCTTTTTATCATAAGTATGAGCTCGTAGAAGAAAGAAAGTGTGGATAGTACATGTAGGTTCAGAAGTTTGATAAATAGTTCTTTAAAATGCAAATTTTGTCATGATATCTATGAATAACACACATATTTATTGTATATTTACATGGGTTGATGAACTAATAATCAACCGTCTTACAAACATCAACACTTTTTGAACAGTGATGATTTCTTTTGTAAATTAATCTTAAAAGCAGTCATATATCAGCTCCTGAGAATATTTGTAAGCAGTATTATGACGGAAATTAAAAATGATATTCAATTTCGAAATGAGAAACCTCCTTGCCTGACATGTTCGAGTGGGGGAGGGATAAATGAATCGCGGTCACATTTAATATTTAATCAAGCGTGTCTATATACACCCTTAGGAATCAGTGTAAAGTTGTTTTTTCTTTTGACAGTCCTAAATTTTTTCCAGCGCATGTTTTAAATGGTAGCATTCCTACAGAAAGTTGAATACAAACTTGATTTAGAAAGGGCTGAATATTTTCTTTGTCTCGTAATTGACAAAAACCTATTGCCATTATTATTTCTTACTATTATCATTAGAAGTATTAGAAGTTTAGAAGTAGTAGCAGTAGTATCATCATAATTATCATTGACAGTGTCATTACCATCCCAATATTTCACTTTTCAACAGATTCAAAAGTTATCCATAGAAGGTTGTAATCTAGAAAGGAATAATCGAACAGCATCACGTGATCTAGCCATGTTTCTCTGTCTTCAGCCTCGTCTCACCGACTTGACGATAAAAGACTCTGACGATGAATGCAAACATCTTTACCTCCATGATGATTTCTACCACAAACTTGCTCATCAGGCTTCTTCCTCAAAGGTGATTTCTAATGTTTGTTACATTTTATTGAAGTAAATCTTCCCACTGATACTTTGATTGATGAAATTGCAAGTTGATAGTTTCTTGAACCTGGAAAAGGAAAAAAGTTTAACACAGGATGTAAGAATATGAATTTATTTATGCTTCGTTATGGTTATCTCATAGATACAAGTAACAATTATGTTAATCATATTCTATACTGCTCATTAAATCTCTTTAACATGCCTGAACCGTTTAGAAAGTGAAGATGATATCTCGTGACGAACACACATATTTATTGTACATATATACTTGTATGCCTCTGCTACAAAGTACATGTAGCCGGAGGCATTAGGTTTTTGGGTTGTCCGTCCGTACGTCCCGTTCTCGTGATCGCGTTATCTCAAGAACCGATTGATTGATTCCTGCCAAACTTGGGTCATGTATGTATCTTCCAGAGCCAATGAACTGATAACCGGTAGATTTTTCAAAGGTCACAGGGCTCCTTATGTATGCAAAAATAGCTCGTGATCGCGTTATCTCAAGAACCGATTGATGGATTCCTGCCAAACTTAAGTCATGTATGTATCTTACACTGCCAATGAACTGATTCGATTTTGGGGTCACACGGTTAAAGGTCAAAGGACTCGGGGCTCATTATGTATGCAAAAATAGCTTGTGATCGCGTTATCTCCAGAACCAATTCATGGATTACAGCCAAACTCAGGTCATGTATGTATCTTGCAGAGCGCATGAGCTGATTAGATTTTGGGGTCACGAGGTCGAAGGTCAAAAGTCACAGGGCTCATTATATATGCAAAAATAGCTTGTGATTGCATTATCATGAGAACCAATAGACAGATTACTATCAAAGACATGTATATGTATCTTGCAGAGCTAATCAACTGATTAGGTTTTAGGGTCATCAGTTCAAAGGTCATGGGGCTCATTAAGGATGCCTATATAGCTTGTGCATGCATTATCATTAAAACCGACAGATGGATTACAATCAAACTTGAATTTTAAAAATTGTTTCTGTTTTGGTTTGTAAAATTGCTCTATGGCGGAGGCATCATTTTCGACTGCACGCAGTTGAAGTTCTATCTAGTTTTTTTCTTTAAAAACTTTTATTTATCAAGTAATTCGTACATATGATAACAATAATCATAAAAATCACTGCACAATAATTATAAAAGGTAAAAACAGATGAAAAACGTCAAACAATACAGAAATAGTGGGTAACACTTTCTTTTCTACAGTGTATGTCATAGGATTATAATCAAAATACATCTTCCACAGGGGACCATTTCTTATAGTGCATTCCTTCAATCTTCTTCTGTTTTGCAATGTTAAGTTCTATGTATTTCGTGTTACTGATAAAAGATGTTAGCCCATTTAAACATGGTTTTGCGTTTTTGCATTTTGGGATATAAATATATCTTTTAAACATTTATTGTACATGTATATTAACATAGGTTGCTGAATTAATAATCAACCCTCTAATACAAACAACAATACTTTGTGTACAGTTATGATTTCCTTTGTAAATCAATTTTAAAAGCAATCATATATCAGCTCCTGAGAATAGTTGTAAGCTTAGTATTACAACGAAAATTAGAAATAATATTCAATTTTGAAATAAGAAACCTCCTTGCCTGATACATGTATGTTTGAGTAGGGGAGTGATAAATGAATCACAGTCTCATTTAATATTTAATCAAGCATGTCTATATACCCTTAGGGATCAGTGTTGAGTTGATTTTTCTTTTGACAGTCCTAAATCTTTCCCAACATATGTTTATAAGTGTTTGAAGCATTCCTACAGTTAAACAAAACTTGATTTAGAAATGACTTAATATTTCCCTGCCTATTACTGCAACATTTACTACATATGAGAAACATGTGACCATTATTTGTAGTAGTAGTAGTGTAGTAGCTAGTAGTAGTACAGTAGTAGTAGTAGTATCTTTATCATAATAAAAATAATAGTAGTAGTTCATTCTTTTATAGCGCATTTCAGGACTGAAGGTCCTCTCGAAAGGGCTTTATAATGTACAATGTACGTTTAATCCAAAAGGTGAGTTTTCAACGCTCTCTTAAAAACTTCAACATCAGTCATGGATCGTAGCGACACCGGGAGAGCGTTCCAAAGTTTTGGTCCACCACATGCAAATGCCCTATCACCAAAGGTTTTTGTGGCTCCATTATTAACAGTATCTTTACCATCGTCAAATTTCACTTTTCAACAGGTTGAAAAGTTATCTGTAGGAGGTTGTAATCTAGAAAGGAATAAACTATCAGCATCACACGAACTAGCCAAGTTTCTATGTCTTCTGCCTCGTCTAACTGACCTGTCGCTAAAGACCTCCGGCAATGAACACACACATGATGATTTCTACCAGGAACTGGCTAGTCGGGCCTCGTCCTCAAAGGTGATTTACAATGTGCTTTGACGTTATAAGAAATACATTGATCACACTGTTGCCTTGAATAATGAATAATGAAAATGTCAATCACTTTGCACCACGATTGACATGAAAACGAAATAGGTTTAACTCAGCCAGTTCGTATAGAAAACTAATTTGAATGTGTTGTTACCATAATGTGACTTTGATATTGTTTCAATTCTTAATCGATGTTCAGTATTTTCAGCTCCTACCTCGTACCTTGATATGCTCTTTGCTTTTGAACCTCAGGTTAAAAGCTTAAATGCTCACAATTTAATAAATTTACAATGGATTTTTGTTGTTCATAAATATGTAACAATTTTCTGACCAATTAGCACAAACTCTGTGTATAGACGGCTCTGGTCATAAATTTAATAAATTTACAATGGATTTTTGTTGTTCATAAATATGTAACAATTTTCTGAAACCAATTAGCACAAACTCTGTGTATAGACGGCTCTGGTCATAAAGGCAAATCCGCGCCTGCGGTTGCAACTACAAATGATTATTGATAGCGTCAACATAATCTTAATACCCTTTGTAATCAGGCATGTAGCCAGGGGGCGAAGGGGCGTCGCCTCCTCCACAATGCCCCACTCCCCAAAATTCAAGACCTTCCAGATGCCTCTTCCTAGAAAATATTTGTCCCTCGATATTGGAAGGTCTTTAACAATGTCTACATGATGTTTTAAAGCTCTCTTAAACATTTTATCTTGCAAGGTGATGTAGCAGCCAATTTAGAAAATTGTAAGCATTTTAGATCACTCTTTTTCATAAGTATGAGCTAAGAGAAGAAATAATAGGGTGTGGATTGTAGGCTTAGACTTTTGATAAATTGTTTTTTTAAATGCAAAGTTCACTACAACACGTGTAAATTTCTAGTCGTCTTCAAGGGTATTATAGACGTATCTTCTTTCTCAATATTTCAATATTACAAAATTGCTTCTATTTCCTTTGTATTTATGAGGACGTGTATTTTTATGTTGGAACTAGAATTTTTTGAAAGGTTTATTATGATTCATTTATATATTTACTTATCTTTCTACATGTATATATCTCTTCTGTCTATTTGCCAATTTATTTTCTGATAGTTGTACATGTACAAGGTAGCACACTTTTACCAATGTTGGTTTTCTATGGTGCCCTTTATGGTAACAACAATATTTATATCAATTATGATCATAAACTCATAACAGGAAAACAAAATATGGAGAAGAGAATAGAAAATAGTTCAAAAATCAATATTATGAATAACTTTGTTTACAAATGCATATTTCTCATATCTTAATCTTAATGTTTACATACAATAATCAGTCTTAACCTAGATGTCATTAATCATGACTTTTGGTCATTCTGAGAAGAGGAAGCCTTATACCGTTAAGAAACCTTTTGAATAGAGGGTCGATTTTTATTTAATGTAGACCCACACTCGGAATACCAAAGTTGTTATATTGCCCTACATGCTTACATAGAATATGTTACAAAATAATGATTGCTATTAAAAAAAGAGAAGCACATCAATTGTTCATTATACAGCATAGTACTTGCATGTACATGTACAACCTTATCCAACAAAAAACAAATAATGTGTCATTAATTTGATAACCTTCCTTTTATCCTCACTTATTACAAATTAGTTCCAGAGAGCAATATAATAATTTTGTTTGTAGTAAGTACTAATCAATCAACATAGATTCTGAAGGTCAGTGTGTGTTCGTGCGTTTGTGAAGGGGGGAGGGGGGGGGGGGGGGGGAGAGAGGGGCGGGTTGGTAACAAAATACCACTGTTTAATTGTTTAAAATATTTTTGCCTGTGTATCTTACTCTCAGAACCGTTTCTTTAACAAGAAATCAGAAGAGTTTAAACACATGGATCAAAGGGAAAAACGTGAATACATCAGACGCTTCGTTCACCCCACATTGTCAGAGAAAACAACCCGTTCAACTAGTAGAGCGTGTGAACCTCAGTCGTCATACCAAGGGTCCGTGCAGCAACAGATAGAATACTCATCAGTCGACACCCCACTAGATGTAGATGTTCCCTCAACTAGCGGAATAAATGCACAAAGTGGCCAAATACCTGACGGTAATTATCATAAGGTTAAAATAAGAAAGACCCCTTATTATATTCAGATTTTTAATTGTATAAAGCTGTGTAGAGGGAAATGTCAATAGCAGAAGAGAATAAGGATAATCTTTTATTTTTCTCTTTTTCTAATCTCTTTGTCTCTCTCTTTCTTTCTCACTTTACAGGCCCACCTGCTAGAGGTCATTTTCAACCAAAGTAAGAGAACCATAACACACACCCAAATACTTGTTGTTCGCTTTAGCAATTTCATCTTCCAATCTATTCCTAAAAAAATAAAAAATACAACCTTCTAACATTAATGAGTGAGTGACTTTCTTTTGTAATGGGCAATAAGTATGATCAACGTAATAACTTTATAATGTCTTCATTAAAGAAAAAATGTATTCATGAATCATTTTGATCATCGTTAATCCTTCTTTATTTTCATATTAGTTAGTTTAAAAACGATATACCGGTACTCATTGTACTTTTAACCCTAAAGAGGCTGGGGGGGGGGGCAATAATGCTCCCCACCCTCCATATTTTTTAGCGCTGCATCTTAACCGCTTCCATTTCCAGATTCACATTTTATTTTACTCCCGCACATTTTGATACCAAATTTGTGTAAGTCGGACCTATGGTATGGGTGTCAAATTACAATTATTGATCATGTCAAACAAAATGTGCATTTTCTCTATTTTGCTTATGTGTTAGCCTATGGAAGAATCAAAGATCATTTCAAGTTCAGTTGATCTGTGTCGTTGTTAGGAAGGTTTACACTCCCATTCCACTAAGTGAGACCTTTCTTGGGTTCATCCAATAAAAGAAAACATAACATTTTAAAAACATAAGATAAAACAATGAAATACAAAGAAAATTGAAAACGATGTATATTATTATATTTTTTGAAAACATTGTTATATTAATGTTGGAGTGTTTAAACATATCAAACATCAAATTTTCCAAACATTTTACACTGTATAACTGCAAAATAGTTATGTTTTTAACATTTTGCAAAAAGTTAGCATAAGACATAAGAAATCATTTTTTTATATCGAAACAAAATATTGACAAACATATGTTGTCTTTTTTGTCATTATACATGTACCTCATTCAGTATGTGTACCAATTTGTATGTTCACATCGCCAACCATAGCCAAGATCTTAGGGGAGGGTCATATTGCCCCCCCCCCCCCCCCCCCCCCCCCTTATTCAAAACCCTCAAAATACCTCTGCCTCATTAGGGTTAAGCTGTTGAAATTTATACTGGATGATCAAAGTATTATTATTTAATTTTAATGGTCATATTTGTCATGCTTTATAAATGGAGATGTTGAAATAAGTTCACTTTAATTATTATTATTATTATTATTATCATTATGCTTTAATATGCTTATGCTTATTCTTATTCTTATGCTATGACACATCAAGAAGGGAAAACCAAACCAAAAGGAGCAGTGGTTCCAAGGATGACAATCTGGATGGAACTCCAAGGAAGAGAAAAAAGAAGACAAACCACCAGACCTCTCTTATGGCTTCCAAATTCAAACTTTGATGTGTGCTCATTAGATCAAACGTTGAGTTTTGGGAAAGGCCAAAACAAGTTGAGAGTTTTCTTCATTCTTCTTTTTTGTTGGGTTTGGAAGAATACAACAGAAAGAACAAAGTCTGACAGAATGGCTCATTAAATGTTCTCATGGTCTAAATATGACAATAAATTTCTGAAATATCTGGACCAAATTTCATACCACATGTTTGGATACCAAATCTGTAAATGGTTCATGTGGCTTTCATCAAGACTAAGTCAAAAATTTTCTTTTTGATATGATGATCCCGAGTCCTCGCAAGAGTCGCAATACACAGTTATGTGCGACATAACTTTTCTAATCACTTGCAGTCAATTCCTTTGACTATTCAATCGTCTGACAAGCACTCAACTTTATCTGTAAGCAATTGTTGTAGGTTGACGCATATCATTACATTCCAAAAAGAAAATGAAATGTAAACAGGTACCTGGCAGGAATTAATTCCTTGAAATGCTGGAGCGTTGATATGGCAGCTAGGCTAAAGCCGGGGTAATAATAAATGCGCCTCAGATTAGAATTTTTAGATAGACGGTGCTATAGAAATGCCTATTATTATTATTATTATTATTATGTATCAAATATCTAATATACAAGATAAAGTGCAATAAACGAGTCTTTCAGTATGTACTACATATAGTGCTTTGCTGAGCGAAATTTATTTTGTGTTTTTTTTAAAGCAGGTTGGAAATGAAAGCACATTTTTAACAAGTGCAATATGGATTAATTAATGTGTTACCCAAATATATCGAAGCAGAACATAATTTGTGGCATACTAAAGAACGGTTGGTGGCAATTTTGCAGGAGCTAATCTTTAAAAAAGCATATTGTAGACATAAATAATCGTTGAATATGGTTATTTCTAATCCGTTCTCCACTGGTCAGAACAAAAGTAAAATTGTTTTTACATTAATCTGTAGATTGTGATATTCATGTTCAATTATGTCGTTAATTTGATATTTTATCAGTTGAGTCTGTTTTCTCTCATGTTCTAACTTCACATGTCGGTGCTATCTTTACAGTTATTTTTATCATTTTACTGAATAAACATGTATCATGTATAAACATTAATCATGTATAGCTTTGACTGCTGTATGTCAGAAGTATTGTGTCATTTTCATGAATTTTATATCATGGCGTTGCCTTACTATTGCATACCGGTTATTGTTTTCATTTTTTTTTAGTCCGTATATGATGTTATAATATGTTTATATTTTTGTGTGTAGATGCATGTAGTACATACATATGTAGATATGTTTCATATTGCTTTATCTGCTTCTATTTGTGTATTTTGTTGATTTGATATTTATTTACCATCTCCGATGGTCGTTCTGATGTTCTGACGTTACAAATACTTATCAATTTCCAGAAACCAGTTTTAATTTGATGATGGAAATTTAATTAGGCAGTGATTCTGTTCATTATAGTATTACATGTAGCTGTATCCATTGCTGTCCAGTCCAAAGTACAGTGTCCAGTCACTCCAGCATTAATTTCAGTCTGTATATGATGCATATGCTCATATTGCATTTAGCATTATATGCATTGCCATAGTGTTGTGAAATCTGCTTCCATTTTTATTTTTTGTTGATTTGATATTTGTTTAACATTTCTGATTGAACTCTAAATATCCTAACGTATACAACAGCGTCAGCGCAAGCATGGAGATGAGCAAGTACTTTTGTTGTTCCTGCCAGATACCATTATAGGGGGTGATTCTGTTCAGTCTAGTTTTAGCGGTATAATTGTACAGTCCAATCAACAGTGCCTAAGCATTTTTACATGTGACAATTTTCTAGGCCCTGAAACACAAAGCTTAGCAATTGGCCGTACGCGACTGGTCATTGATTTTTGCGATCGATTGCACAAAGTGATCAATGCAATCAATAGCAAAATTCAATTGTATGATCAAGTGCTACGTTTTGTGTTTTATAATACGGGGCCCTGATCACAATGACCTGTTTATTACACAAAACGTAATTTGTATTTATTTTGTTGATTTGATATCCATTTTTTCTCTCGCCTACATAGCAAAAGCGAGACACATATAAAGCGCCGTTTTTCTGGTGACGGCGGTGGCGTCAGTTAAGTTTTGGAATTTTTAATATAATTTTGAAAGTATACATTCCTCTTCCATGAAACTTGAACATTGGGGTTATAAAGTATCCCCAATCATGTGAGTAGAATTTCAGGTCACAAAGTCAAAGTCAAAGGTCATTTCAGGTCAACAAACTTAGTGGCATCAACACCAAAGGTTAAGATTTTGAATTTTTATCATAATTTGGAAATATATATTCTTTTTCCATGAAAATTGAAAATATGGGTTATCAAGTATCACCAATTATGTAATTAGTTCATATTTCATTAAAGTTATCAATCTTGGTACAAATTATGGTAAATGATTCTCCAGATGATTCTTAGTCAACATTCACTTTAAAATGCTGATTATATTCAAAGGATTTCATTTGTTAGGGCCTGCTATTAAATGGGCTCCCTGCCTATAAATAATGTCCCACCTAAATTTTTCATCATCTTGATACTGTTTATGATCTGTTAGCAAATATTGTCTTTTGTCATATTGTGTTTTCTATGATGTTTTTTCTTCTGTTACTGTATACAATGTTTAGAAATGTGACTTTCTGTAATGATATATGTTATACTTATAGCGCCAGCTATTTTGACATAATATGTTGGGATCAGAATATGATGCTATAAAGGACACCAATCTGAATTGTTTTTTTGAGCATATAAATGTATTCTTTATTATACCTCCATTCTAAAAGACATAATACATTATTAGTGAGTGAGTATTTACATGATGGTAGACATTTTCATCATTTATTAACACCCAGTATGACTGTGATTCAATTGTTGAAAACAAAACAAGGTTGCCTGTCTTTAAAGACGCTAGATTTTTATCTTTTCCTTGAAGAGTGTTTTTCGATTATTAAAGGAAGTTGAACATAACCATGACATGCCTATACAAAGCCTGCTTTTCTTGTCTCCCTTGAGTGACCTTTATACACGTGTGTCGATCAATTAATTATTACATCACGCTCATTGGCAATATCAAAGAAAGTTGGAAAGAGAGATAAAGGTACAGGAGGAAATAGCTGAGGAGAAGGAGAGAAAGAGAGTAGGAGAGAGAGAATTGAATCATGATTTTAAATTGGATATATACTCACACAAATCATATTTGTGTCCTTTCCAGGTAACTATCTACTTTTTTCTTGAAGGTTTTAGTTTTAGCAGTTTGTTATTCCAGCCACAATCATTTAGCCGAAAGTAATCTTTCAGTGGAATTTAATGAAATGATGTGGAATTTATAAAGTGAGCTTGGATGGATGCGACGAGACAATCAAATGCTTCCAATAAGTATATTTTTGAATAAGGCAGAACATAATACACGTTATCGTAAACACCGAGGACAGGAAATTAAACGAACAAGATACCAATACAACCTTGCATGGTGGCTACCTCTGTATAAAGGCCACCTAAGAAGAAATACTGTATGTGTTGTAGAACCGTATGTCTAGAATCCCCCAACTTTCATTCATTAACTCACTCGCCCCCCGGTCCCCCCCTTTTACACACACGCTCTCTTACCAAATCTCTCTCTCTGGAGTCGGGCTAACTCGGACCAGGGGACAACTCGGCCCAGCTGCAAAAACTGTCATTTTAGGTTTAGGGTTAGGTTTAGGGTTAGGGTTAGGGTTAGAGTTAGGGTTAGAGTTAGGGTAAAATGACAAAAAAATGACCGTTTTTTGCAGCTGAGTGGGCCGAGTTGTCCCCTGGTCCGAGTTAGCCCGGATCCAAACACATTTTTGCACAACAACTTCCTTCATCCTGAAAAGTATTTTTGAAAAGAAACAATTATACTAATGTAAACACTGAACTGAATTTCTGATTATGAAAAGAATTTATTTTTTGTGTTTTAACATCAAACCTACAAATATGATATACAAACTTTGAAAAATCGTACGCGGTGCCCGCTTTATTAAAATAATTATGGAGCCTCAGAAATAGATATATAGTTTACAAAAATAAGCAGTTTTATGTTAATTAAGACTTCTATGATCATGATTTATATTCCTTTTGCGAAAAAGCGGAGGCAAATTTTTATTCTTTTTATGCAAAAAATAAGTTTATATACAGCAAAACACTGTCAGAAAATTGTGGCAATCTTTTTTTAATTTGCTAGACATTATAAACATAGATTGGGGTCCATTTCGGAATACAAAGGTCAACAGTGAGTGAATTTTGTTGTTATTGAACCACGTCATTATTTTGATATGAATTTTTTTTTAAACATGCAGTAAAAAAGGTCCTTATAAAAATTGAAAAAACAACCTTTTGCTTTAGATGTTTAATAAGAAAATAATATTGGATAGTAAACAAGAAAAAGGAAAGTAAGTTGAAAGACAATCTTCTTTGCTAGAAGAACTATATAGAAACGTCGAGGCAGTGCCATGAATTAACTTTATAAATATGTGGTAGCTAGAGCAGCTTTTTTAAAATTTTATATCCGAGCTGCAACTGAGGCTATAGGCTTATAGGCTCCGGCTTATATACCCATGCATGTTGGGCGGATCGAGGGGAGCGGAGGTTTTGTACAAAGAAGGGTAGAGTTAGGGCTTCGACAATTGTCTTCCTTTTCTATTAACTTTTTATGCTTTTTTCCACATTTAATACTAAATATATAATTGAATCTCTAAAAGTTGAAGATAGGCTTAATAATATGTATCTTTTTCAAATGATTGTATATAATATAGTGTTGTTTAATATTTTGTTTACAATGTAATAATTATTCAATTTGATTTGTGGAAAAAATATTAAGTGGAAAAAATGAACAATTTGTATCTTCTGTTTTGAATGGTTTTTATTGTTGTTTTTGATACGTCCGACGCCCATGCCACACGCGTGCCTTTCTAAGATGATATCGCTCCTATATAGCTAGTATAGGCTAGGGCTTTATAACAATTAAGTAATGATTTAATTTGACTTTGAAAACTTATCTATACCGTAATTATCTATAAATTTATCTAGGTCTATGTCTATCTATCCATTTATCTATCTATCTACTTATCTACATATCTATCTATGTCCTCATAGCCTGGGCCCTGGAGGCTGTTGGATCGACAATCAAATGGAATTTCAGACAATTACCGGGCTAGATTATATCTATCATAAAAGTATAAGTGCTAAGTTTATTACGTGCTGCACTTTCAAATAATTACACCTTTGGCGTGCCATATACAAATCTTGCATCTGATCGGCTGCTGAAGTAAAAATAAAACAAGCCCTGAAAGAGTGAGGAAAACACAATTTTACCAGCAACACACGATCGACTTGAGGCTATCAAACTATTCCTGAGGTCAGTACCGATGATTCAAACTTTTCATTAGTTACATAAAATATTGCATTTCTTGGATGTGTGAGTGTTTATGCTGGTTAGCACTGAGTGGGTCAGACAAATGCCAAATGGGATTTTGCCTTTGTTAAAATGTACATGCATACCGTACGGTACACTGCGTAGGCATAGCCTTGCCATCGGGAGCGCGAGCCGAGGCCGAGCCGCGTCGCGTCGCCTGCTTTTTGGGTTAGTCTAGGCCTAATAATAATTATTAAGTACCTTAGAACTTGTGTTCGTCTCTTCCGAAAGGTCCGGTAGGAATTGTAACTGGAAGTATAATATTGCGTGACGAGAGTATAAATTTGTGTATTTCGCTAATTTCGGGGATTATGCTAGACCCTATTTGGTTTAATTTTTGGGTTGCAGATTTGAACTTAAAGACTGAGCTGGATTTGATGGCCACGTTTAGTTGAGGTAGGTCATTCCAGGGAAGAAGGATTCTGCGAATGGTGTTGATAAGCACTAAAAAGATGGTCAACTGTTTATCATTTGTCCACCTTCTTCTTGATTCTTTCCTCTGTAGATAATCTTCTAGTGGGATATCTAGTTCTGCATTAATCATCTTGTGGAGTGTAGTTATATCCTATGGATTAGGCGTCTTCTTTCTATGTTGTCCCATTTCAGTGTTGTCAGCATTTTGGTTACGCTGGACCGGGGAGTGAAGTCGCTCAACATGAACCTTGCTGCCCTTCGCCTCACTTTTTGCAGCAGATCCCTGTTTTTCTTGGTTCCGGGGTTCCATGCCGGGCCGAGCTGGCGTATTCTAAATGGGGTTGGACTATTGTCTTAAAGAGATTTTCTTTCACAGTTCTTGAGCAGAAGGAGAAATTACTTTTAAGGAAATTAAGCTTCTTTGTTGCTTTAGTTGCAGCATTGCTGGACTGCCTGTCCCATTTTAAGTTATTTTGGATGATGACTCCCAAGAACTTATTCTTTTTGACCTCTTCAAAGGGGTTACACTGTATCTATCATCTGATCTGGTAGTCAGTCTTCCCGGAATTTATTTTTCTGGAGACCCTCATTACTTTGCACTTTGATGAGCTGAATTTCATACCCCACTTGCTTGACCATTCTACCAAATTGTTAAGGTCAGTCTGGTAAGAAACTTCATCTTCAGGGTTAATGATAGGCCTGTAGATAATACAGTCATCTGCAAATAATTTCAATTCAATTTCAATTTCATTTATTTCCACAGATTCATAAAAGACAATATAAATTACAATCAAATATAAAAGCATTACAACAAAAGATGAACCTGCAGATCAAAAACCCCAGAGGTTTATCGGGGATCATCAACTGTAATAGCCTTGGGGTAATAGCTTTGGGGTTGATGTGACACACTGTATTATGTCGTTAATGTAGAGGATGAACAGATGTGGGCCGAGGACGGTCCCTTGTGTAACTCCGCTAAGAACGGGTATCCATGTTCTCCCATTCACTATGACCCTTTGGACACGGCTGGTTAAGAAGGACTTGATCCACGCAAGGGTTTCACCTCGTATACCGTAGAAACTTAACTTCTGGAGAAGGCGTCTGTGTGGAACTACATCAAAAGCTTTGCTGAAGTCCGGTATAGCTATGTCTGTAGTTTGGTACTTGTTATGATTTGAAGATAGCTCATGGAATGTAGATATCAGCTGAGTCTCACAGGATCTTGATTTCCTGAAAGCGTGCTGTTCGTCGACCAAGATACTTCTTTGGGTCACATGTCACATTCCACGGTCATATTTTGTAGTGTTTTTTGGCAGTACATCATGCAGTAGATCTTTTGGAATTAGGGGAGCAAATTATGGAATAAAGAGGGCCGAGGTATTCATGGTATTAGATATCCAAATGTGTGACTGTGGAGATCAAGACGGGAGACGTCATTATCATGATTATGGATTTATGACTTAGGTCTAGGTCTAGGTCTATGGAAATTTCTTATCATTTTGATGATCAAACTTTTCTGATCGATTCCACAACATTTATTTGACAATGCAATCGCATGACCAGAGCTCAACTTTATCTTGAAGCCTTCGGTAATGTTGGAAAATTGCAAGTTTAATGCATTTTTTAATGTTTCTGTCTTATTTTTACCTTCCTCTTCTTCGCTGCTTTTTCATTTTCTTATCCCTCTCCTGCTTTTCCTTCTTCTCCTTCTTCTCTTTACTCTCTTTCCTGTGCCCCCCCCTTATTGTTCCCATTCTTCCCATCATTCTTCTCTTCCTCCTTGACCCCTCCCCTTCTTCTCTCTTATTGTTATTGTTCTCATGTTCCTCCTGCTCCTCTTCCCGTTCCTCCTCTTCCTCCTCTTCCCCTTCCTTATCTTCCTCTTCCTTTTCTTCCTCTTCCCCTTCCTTTTCTTCCTCTTCCTTATCTTTCTCTTCCTCCTTTTCTCTCCCTCCTCTTCCTCATCTTTCTCCTCTTCCTCACCTTTCTCCTCCTCATCTCCTCCTCCTCCTCCTCATCTCCCTCTTCCTCATCTCCCTCCTCTTCCTCCTCTTCCTCTTCCTCTTCCTCCTCTTCCTCTTTCTCTTCCTCCTCTTCCTCCTCTTCCTCTTCTTCTTCATAACAGACAGAATGGAGTTCCCTCCCCCAGGAGAGCTCGAGTATGGAGCAACTCATGACTATGCCAATGAATACATTCCTCTCGGTGCTGTTGGCCCTGGTGGGCCTCGGATGATGGTGGAAGGGGGCTACAGACCAGAGGATCATGGCGCCCCACCTGTCGTTGAAGATTATGCCAACGGTAAGTTTTAACGGGAAGAAGAATACAAGGAAGACAAAGAAAAGGAGAAGGAAGAGAAGAAGAAAAGAAGATAATAATAAGAAGATATACTATGTCTCGTCTAGCCAGGGTAGCGTCGTTGGTATCAATATTGTTTTCTCTTAGGTAAGGGCCTTGCAATCAGTTAATAACCTCCAGATTTGTGGCAACCTGTAGGGAATGCAAATGACCCCTGCCCACAAAAATAAAAACAAAAACAAATAAATCAAAAAACAAAAAAGAAAAGGAAAAAACTAAAGAAGTGAAAAGGAAACAAAAGGAAGGGAGACGTAGAAGCATTAAGGTTGTCTTCGGGCATTCCCTGAAAATATTAGATTAACAAAATTTGACAGAAGGCCTGGTCAAATGTAAACAACTCCATGAAATGACCGAATGAACAATCTGAAGCAACTTCAGGTGACGTACATGTAACTCTATCTCTCAGTGAGGTATGCTTTTTATTCTTTCTTCCTTCAGGGAGCCACAGCCAGCTCCACATGGGAAACAGTGGGTTGTACCGTGAGCTGAGGAGCGTGATGAATGATGGGGGCGACAGGTTTGGGGTCTCGACGATCACTGTGGATACGCAAGAAGAACTCATCTGGGTCGGAAATCAAGGGGTGAGTGGAAGGAGATGGGTTCCCATTATTCTCATGCAAATTACAGAGATGACAAGTGCAAAGATGTCAATTCAAAGGATAGTTTTAACTTAGTAAAGGGCAAATTCGTGCTATGAGTCTCATACAACAAATAACCTTTTTCTCTCATTTATTTCACCCCAAATTCAAATTCTCTTGGTATGACCTGAGAATGATTGTATTGAGAATGACTTTGTCAGAGAGCAATATTTATAGATGTGTAATACTTTATTAAGGGCAGGCATCCAACCAACCATTCGGCCTTCATCTACAGTTATGTCAACATAGCACACAATGGAATGATTGACATATGACTTACATCTACTAGCTAACAACGTGGGTTTCTCTTACTTCATGGCCCAGCATACCTTATCTTAATCTTACGTGCTTCATTACCAAACTTTAAATATTTCTAGATTTGCACGTCGACATAGTGGACTGCTCCATGTCCGTGTCACGTCCTTTTAAGGCATTGTGATGTCCTTTTAAGGCACAGACACTGCCTTAAAAGGACGGCACATGTAGCAGTCCACTATGTCGACGTGCAAATCTAAAAGTCCCTTTTATTGCTTTGGTCGTCAACCTAGTCTGGCTTGCTTGTCAATCAAGACACAACACTGAACAGTAGTGATACAAGAAAGAAGCATTATTCAATGATCATTTTAAGAGATATTCATTTTCTAATGAAATATATGGATAAAAGTTATCTGTCCTGCAAGACACATTGCACAGAATTGCCTACAGACATATCAAAACTTCCATCTTGTTTTCATCAGAGTGAGATGCAAAAATAAACAACGAGCAAAAATCAGACAATTTCATTTTCAGAATGATTTTTGCTGAGGAGGATTTTCCTCTTTTTGTGTAAATTTGTGATCATCTAAAGGATAAGTTTGGATTTACAAACATGGTTGGTGTGTGATTTTCCATAATATAGAGGATGATTTGTCAGTGAATGTATATATTTAGTCAACTTGCCATCAGTTGCCCATATGGCAATTTTGGTTGCAAGGTCAGGCAAGTGGGCTTGTAGTACCCAGTCTACCATTTACCACATCCTCTCCTCAACTTTGGAAGGATACCATTTGGTTTGAATATTTTTCTAAACAGATTTTGGCGCTATACAAATGCTGTGAATCATCATCATCATTACCGTATGTCTCTCTACATGTATGTCATTTAACCGTTAGGGTCACGTGACATCGTACTATGGACCCCAGCTGCAAAAGTACACATCCTTCCAGGTTCACCCCACCAACCCGATCCGTGAGATATCCACCTTCCCTGGGGGCGTCCTCTCACTGTACAACAATGGCCTCCGCTGCAATGCCAGGCAAGGCATGAGAGTCTTTGATTGCAAGTAAGTATAGATGAAATATCAACATATCTGGCGTGCATATCTTTTGATATAAGTGGAACAGCATGACGATATATTCAGTCATTTTTAATCCAATTCCCTTTATACCAACCAAACTTTTAAAACTTGAGCCAATTCCTTCATCATTTCAAAACATGCAGAGTTAATAGTTTTGACTTTAAGCAACCAATATTTATTTGTACTTTCAACAGAAGGATCAATGTGCCCAGTAAATGATAAAATTTAAAAAAATCAGCTAATTCCTGCAATGTTGCTGGATTGATGACTTTGAGATCAAGAAAACTTAAGGCTTGTTCAAATATGGCGCAGTTAATCGCCTAAAAAATGCCGCCCCTGTTTTGCCATGTCATATCTGAATGAGCCTGTAATGACCTACTGGCTCTCAGGAGACAAAATTGAATACTGTAAAGCCAGAAACTTTTTGTGAATTTGGCAAGTGGTTCAGATTTGCAGAAGTTTCATGCCGGTTTGAAAAACCGGCCATTACTTTTTACAATTCTGGACGATTCCTTCCACTTTCAGGGGTGAGGACTTTCAGAACATGCAGAGCATGCTAGTCCTGAGTGACACCCGTCTGCTCCTGGGAGGTCATCAGGACCGGCTGGTAGAGGTCGATCTGGGGTCAGGGGTTCAGACGGTGACCCACCCGACGGACAAGGTGGGCGTGGCCATCATGAGACCCGATCAGAGGTTCATCTGCTGTGGGGTACCGACAGGACACGTAAGATGAGATAAAAAAATTTTCTCATTCATTTCGGTTTATTGAATCAAAATTTCATGTTAAAACAGTCGGGACACTGATACAAACAAAGATTACAAAGTTTAAAAATATAGAGAAGAACTACAAATACATCAATATGGAAAAGAATCAAAACAAGTTCAAGAAGAGAATAACAATAATAATAATGGAAACTTCAATATATTGCACATCATACATCAAATAGATCAAATTTACATACATGGATGAGTGGGGAAAAAAAAAGAAAAAAGAGAGAATGGACAAAGCATTTCATTCCCTTTTCTCATAACATTTAGATTTTGAGCATTGACAATAAAGGCTTGTTCACAAACCCCCATGTTTTTTTGATTTTTGTTCCTTCATGAATGGCAAGCAGAGATGAAAACAATTCCTGCTCACAGCAAAGGTCTTATGTGTACGGTGTACTCCTCTCTGTGAAGCATAGTACACTTAAAGCCCCACTGTACTACTTTTAGCTACATGTACTTGCTCCCTCTATATAGAAAACAATGCCTAATCGGTGACCATTGGTCCCCCATGATCCTCTTTTTCTTATGTTAATTGAGAGCTGAGTTCATGAGATGGCCACCTGTTAGTGACCTTCCTGGGTGGTCTAATCCCTAGACCAAACTAGTACAGATGGGCTTTAAATGCTTTTTCTACATGAATGGCTGCACACAAGCAAAGGTGCTACGCGTACTCCTCTCTGTGAAGCATAGTACACTTAAAGGGAGATGGTCGTCAGTTTCCGTGTGCAGTAGGTCATAACTCACTAACACCAGACTTGGTGGACACAGCATACCCGTAGGCCCATCAATAAATACCCCCCCCCCCCAGTCTCTTTGAGAGTCTTTCATTGAGGGAAATGCTATTCCATATGGATGGAATTGGGGGGATGCAAAGCATTGTATAAGTCCTGATGGTCATCAAACTGAAGGCAACATCTGCTATTGGGTAAACACCCAAATGGTGTTGAATTCCCCATGATAGCCCTCTACTATGCGTCTTTCAAAAGCCTCTGCAGAAAGCTGCTGCAGCATATGTTTAACAAGCCTTAACAATAACAATAATTGGATTACTATACCACTTTTTTAAAGGAAACAATGTACTAGATTTTATTGGTGAACAGGGGCAAGATTATCGGAAAGCATTTTTCACCCTACCGTGGAGCAAAACCAAATTGTTATAAAACATTATATCCTCTTTTCATCTTAATGACATGTATATCAGTTACTATCGCAATTTTGTTGATTAAACTTAAGCAAGAATGATTAAAAGATTTCATAAAACCAGAGAGAAGGTTGTAACCTACATTCAAACTTTTTCGGGCTGCCTTTGCAAAAGTGGATAGCATTTGTTATGATGAAATTTGTAATTCATAAAATACTTGGTTAACATTCAAAACCTCTAAAAGCATTGATTTACATGTTATTCAAGTTAAACTAATGCAAATATAGTTTTAAATTTTTAACAAAAGTAGGACCTTGCATTTATCGTTTCTACAAGCAAAAAAAAAGTCATCCTTTTGATGATCTGCAGCATTCCATACACATGCATACATGGCCCCATTGCATAAAACTTGCCATTGATGGTAACTTTGCCATCAATGGCAACTACCATGGTAACAGGGCTCAACAGCCAATCGAAATCAAGGTTTCCATGGTAGTTACCATTGATGGCAAAGTTGCATTCAATGGTGAGTTTTGTGCAACAGGGCCCTGGTATTTATTTGTCGTTGTTTCGTGTAGGTTCAACTGAGAGATCCAGCAACCATGAAGATAGAGCACACACTAGAAGCCCACAGAGGTGCCCTGTCGGACTTTGATGTCATCGGCAACCAGCTCATCACCTGCGGCTTTGGAGAAAGGTAGGTGCCTGCCCCCCCTCCCCACTACGGGAATGGAGGGACCGCGTTCATGTTCCCGAAATCTCCGGGAAAAGGGGTACTTTTCACACAACAAAGTCCGGCTCGTGATACACAAAAAAATTAGCCCGTATTGACTTTACACATTGACGTAGGGGGGTGCTTTCAAAGGGAGGAAACATGCATACGCGTACCCTAAATAACACTGAGTGAGGGGCCGGGGGTAAGTGTATGTAACCATACAGTCAAACCTGTCTTAGTGCCCCCCTCTCAGTACACTACCTGTCTTTAGTGGTCACTTGTTTTCAATAACAAGATCGAGAATGTGATCCTTTTCTACTGGGTGCGAGTCAAAAATAACAATATCAACAAAAACTAGAATTTAAATCGTCACGAGGACGATTAAGGTGGTCTGTCTTCAAGTCTTATGATAGATTATAATATTTACTTTATTGAGAAAGGGAGAAGTTATATAGACATGTAAACAATGATGATCATCATGATGATGATGATGATCGGAGTTCCGCAAGGCTCTGTCCTTGGTCCCTTGCTCTTCACACTCTACATCACCCCTCTTGGCTCTATCATACAGCGACATGGTCTTAGCGCACATTTCTATGCAGACGACACCCAGCTCTACCTAACTTTTGATCCAAAAGTTGGAGGCGCTGAGGAACGTGCAGCTGCAGCCATCAGTGCTGCCATCGAAGAGATTCGATGTTGGATGAGACGCAACTTCTTGAAGCTAAATGAAAAGAAAACCGAGTATCTCCTTTTGTCTTCACCACACATGGGAAATAAGATCACTGGTACTCCTATTCTAGTCGGTGAGGAAGCTGTATCTCCCAACAACAAGGCTAGAAATCTTGGAGTAGTCTTCGACAGAACTATGAGCATGAAGGATCACATTTCGCGTGTCTGTCAGTCTGCATTCTACCATCTCCGCAGGATTGCAGAGATCAGACACTGTCTCACCAGAAGTGCCGCGGAAAACCTCATTCATGCTCTAATAACCTCAAGGCTGGATTTCTGCAACTCTCTCCTTGTCGGCTTACCATCATCAGCCATCAAACGTCTCCAGGCGGTCCAGAATGCTGCTGCTCGCCTTCTGATGGGAATCAGGAAGTTTGACCACATCTCGCCTACACTCCATGAGCTTCATTGGCTGCCAGTGCACTGCAGAGTGCAGTATAAGATCTTGCTGCTTGCATTTAAGGCTCTACATAACTTGTCCCCTGGCTATGTATCTGCTCTCATCAGTGTACGTCAGCTACGACCAGGACTACGCTGTGCGGGACTCGTTCTTCAAGTGCCCAGTACCCGTCTAAAAACATACGGGGATAGAGCCTTCTCTTCATCTGCTCCGCATCTTTGGAACTCTCTACCTGTCCAACTTCGAAATTGTAACAACATTGATACCTTTAAATCTGAACTCAAAACCTATCTTTTCCGGCAACATTGCGAATAATATGTGACATATTGAGGGAGCCAGGCGCCTTTGAATGCTTTTGCAGATAAATGGCGCTATACAAATGCTGTTCATCATCATCATCATCATGATGATCTTGATAGTAATGGTGATGACGATGATGATGATGATGATGATCATGATGATGTTGATGATTATCATCAACAGACCATGATGACATCAGACTGACAAAAATGAGAGAACATTTAGATAGTATATAGTCACAGCTTCAACATACTCAAAAATCAACAAAAATCAAGCCGAAATAACGGCGATATTGCTCGCAAAAGACAAGATTTTGTAGAATCCAGATTTGAGAAAAAGTCATCTCCCATAAGGATTGCACGCAAAAAGTAATGGATCAAGTGATAATAGGGTAATAATAAAGTAAATATGGTTGTTTATTACATTATTTACGATTGTACGTGTTTTAATATTGAAAGGAGATGGTACAGTGAAAGGTCAAAAAGAAAAAAAAGTGAAGAAAACGAATTGTTGGAGACGCCCGGACTCGAACCAGGGACCTCGAGGTCGGAAGTCAAGTGCGTTACGGATATACCAAAACATTTCCCATAGAGATTACACGTAAACGGGAAATGGAATTCTCAAATCCCACTTTGGAAGTGAAATATGAGCATGATCCCGGCATCTGAATGAAAAATAAAGGGCACACTTATGATAGCTTATTGTCTCAGCTACAACATACTCAAAGCTCAGCGTAAATAAAGATAAAACGACGGAGATATTGCTCGCGAAAGACGAGAATGTAGAATCCAGTTTTGAGAAAAAGTCATGTCCCATAGAGAATACACGCAAAATGTGAAAAATTGACATGCCACCTTTAATCGCAAAAATACGCCATGATACCTTTGTCAAAATGAAATATTGTGTTGACTGCATTTGTAGAGAATTGTCTAAGCTAGATCATATCAAAATTTGGAAGAAAATTGATCATTGTTTACAGAGATACAGTCAATTTTCCAGAAATATGCTGACGTCATAATATGCAAATTGAAATTTTGAGTTTGGAGGCCATTATGATGACGTCATGAGTTAATTGAGGGTCAAATGAGACATGAAATCATACCTCCAACTCATAATCTATTTAAATATGAAAGAAATTGGGGGTTATCTATCAATTCTGAAGAATTAAAATGAATTTTGTATAGGCATGTTTTTGCCCATGTATTGTGGATACAGATAGCGCAGGTCGGCGCGTGCGTTCAACTTTGACAGCCGCTAATTGCAGTATTACTGGTCGGAAAAAGGTAAACAAGGTATCAAAATGCTTGGAAAAATGTAATAAATATGATAACAGAAAAAATTTGGCGATTCTATGTTGCAAAATGCCAGGACGCGCGGATACGCGCGCGCAAATTTTGAAAATGCTTAAAATGGCCTGAAACGTATGCAAAATTAATTTAGAACGAATTTGACCATTTTAAAATTTTAATGCGCGCGTACGTGTGCGTCGAGGTGCGCGCGCGGAATTTTTGACATTTTTCGTTGACCTTCGACCTGAAGTTGGTGTATACCAAATATGGTTGATTTTTGATGACTTGTTATCGAGATATGATAATGACCTGATTTTTACAAAATGGCGCCTGGATGACGTCACGATGACCCCATGAACTTGAAAAAGTTAATTAGACTTGAAATCATAGGGCTTGATGACTGACAGAAATTCAAAGGAAATTGACCATGTCGATTTCGAGTAAACGTGTGCACAAAAAAGTGTACGGAAGAAATAAAAATAAAGAAATAAAGAAAGAATAAAGAAAGAAAATTCTAGCGAAATCAATAGGTGATCTGTCATCGACAGACCACCTAATAAACAATACAATGTAATTGATATTAATTTATTATTAACCACTTGACCGCTGAAGGCTTTTTTCACACTGTACCACTGTGTGCTAAGGCATTTTGGGACGCACAGAAATCTGAACATACAACTCACATCTCTGATTTTATTTTTTGTGAAAGAGTGCAATCTACTGTTCATATTCTAAAGTTGTATAGTCAGGTGCTAACGGCAACGTAGGGGTTGGTATAGCGCAGTGCTAAAAATTAGAATGTGGAGAGGACGTAGCACGTAATAGCACGTGCTTAGCGGTCAAGTGGCTAATTATACTTTTATGCATTGTAACTTACATATTTTCACTCAATCTGTTGAATTTGTGCCCCGTCTTTGTCTTGGTGTACAGGTTAGGAAGCCTGAGTGTGGATAGGTTCCTCATGGTGTTTGACCTTCGAACTATGCGACCCATGGCTCCTCTCCACGTGCCGCTGGAACCCATCTTCCTGCGTTGCATGGCTACCTACTCAAACCGGATCATCATCATGGATCAGGTAGGTTCAGATAAAAACAAAGTCTGGAATAGTGGCGGATTCAGGATCCTCTGGCCACAAGGAACATTTCCAAAGTTCTCTTTCAAGCAACCCCCCCCCCCCCCCACCAAAAGGGTCATCAGTGATTGGTGTGAGGTGCCTTTACTACATAGCTCTTTCACTCTTTCACAGAATAAAGAAGAGTTGTCTCTTCTCATAACAGAAATGTCATTTGTCATCACAATAGAACACCATACAAGTACGTGCTATTGATTTTGCTTCAGTAGCTGTGTTTATGGAACACCTCTGTCACGACACTGGTGAAAAATTGCAATTGAAATTGTTTTTTCCAGGGTAAATTTTAGTAATTCAAATAAAAGATAAATGATTTGCAGACTATCATAGCATAATTGTTAAGGACACTGGTAATAACATAAGAGTGTTTTTATATATACCAGTACTGTGAAATTAGGGAATGATCAGACTGAATTTACAGGAATTCATTCAATCTCGCTGACAATCGCATGCTCTGCACAGATAAATGCGTATACGTGTCTATGAAGGTTTGGTCCAAACTTTCAGCTTTTCTTGTCATGCTTAGAATTTTGAGGGAATTTGAAGAGCAATCCTTTTCCAGGAAATATTTCTACTGTGATATTCTTCCAAACAGCCATACAAAGAATTGAAGAAAAAAAAAAAGGGGTGACAAATTGTCTCTCATTCTTTCAAGAACTCAACCCTTCTCTGTAAGCCATGCTCCTTCCTCCTTGAATTCCAACAAAAAATAGGCTGCCTATTTCAAGCACGACACTGTATAGTGAGACAGTTCGAAATTTCAATTTCCAGTCATAAATATCTTGGTAACGCGGTGAGTGATTGGCTTGTAAAAGTCATGGAATTCCTGACTGACCTACAATGATCGCATTTTTTTTTACTAGAAGCAAAGTAACCCACTATAAACTTTAAACCCTTCTTCTTTCTCAGAGCGGTCAATTCCAGATCCTTGACCCCGGCGGGCTAGTGACCCCTGAAATGATGGTCCTCTATCAGGTCAGCATGGCCGGAGATATGGTGATGGACTTTGACGTGTCCAGTAACAGTAGCTGTGTGGTGTTTGGTGACTCTGGAGGTAAGTTTGGTGTATTGCCGTTTGGTCTACAACCAGTTCGTCTACTACCCAGTTGGTCTATTCCCATATGGTCTACTCCTAGCCCGTCTATGATCCACATGGTCAAATATATCTTGTTCGTTTCTACGACACATCTCCCAGCGACAATGTTCTTTCATCAATATCCTACACTAACCACTTTCACAAACATCAATCCTGGACCAAACAATATACCAGTACCTAACCCTAACCACTGTTATAACCCCAACCTAAAACCCAATTACAACCATAACCATACCCCTATACAGAGCTGCCAACAATTTTTAGAAGTAAATACAACAATACAAATTTTCCTCAATAAAAATATGATTTTCAAAAAAAAAATCCGAAAATTTGAACGTGCTTGTGTATTTTGTGTGTGTGTGCCATTTTCAATGGCAATATGCCAAATCTCTCCTGAAAAGTGTCCTACAAGCATCTCACATCAGCAATTTGGGAATGTTCATTGATTTATTGAACACACCAGTCATTATGAAATCATGCATATTCAACCAATGGTCCATAAAGAATACATTTACATGCCGCTATCATTCATGACAAACTCTTGCATATTCAACAAAATGTTTGTAAAACAGGCTCATGCATAATTCTTCAAAATGACGACGAACACAGCCTAACAAAAGAAAGTATTTATTGATCAGAAATAACTTTTTTTTGGAAAAGAATGGGATTTTTGTTCAGTTGGGGTTGGCAGCTCTGCCTATACCATTGACGAATTGAAGCATGTAGCAAATGTTGTGTCACTCTTATTTCAATCAATATCCTGTTTTAATGTATGCTTTTCTATGATCCATGTATTTCACCTAGGTTGCTGCCATTTGTGGTCGAGCAGTGACGAGGAGGTGACGTTTAATACCTTTTCCACCGAAACAGAGTTTGCTGAGCCTGTAAGTAAACATTTTCCTGTTGCCTTTTTTGAAAGGTTGATAACATAAATTATGAGTGGAATTTCAGTGATCCTTTTTTTGTTCATGATTGAGAAACTGAATTGTAGGTGAACTTTTCAGGGCTCTTAATCCTATGACATAATTAGATTTTCATGTTGCCTTTATGGATTGTTGATAACATGGATTATGAGTGGAGTTTCAGCGATCCTTTTGTTCATGATGGAGAAACTGAATTGTAGGTGAACTTTTCAGGGCTCTTTTTCCTATGAAAGAATTAAATTTTCATGTTGCCTTCATGGATTGTTGATGGATTGATGGATTATTTCCTATGAAATAATACCATGATGTAATCCTGAAAGCTTTACCTACAATATGTTAATAATTGTGTGAAATGGTAACATGCTATATTCTTTCCTGTGATAAATAATTGTTTCTGTTCAGCTTGAATTTAAATCTCATTAGGGAACATTGTGATTTTTGTCTGTGGAATTATTAAGTTCACATTAAAACAAAAGAAAATAGACAAAATTGACTTTTGCATATCAGACAATGAAAATTCAACTTTTGCACTGGTCGTAACTTCCTTTTTTCAAAGTATTTTCTTCAGTCCCAAAAGAGAATATTAAAGTCATGCTTGACTGGACTCTTTTGCTCCTTCTCTTCCTCCACCTTCTCCTTCTCTTGTCCTTCTTTTCTTGTTGCTCTTTTTGTTCTGTGTGTACTTTATGTTCTCCTTCTTTTCTTCTCCTCTTTTTTCTCCTTCTTCTCCTCCTTCTCTTCTCCTTTCCCTCGCTTTCTTTTCCCTCCTCGCCCTCCTCTTCTTCCCCCTCCTCCTCCTCTTGTTCCCCCACCTCCTCCTCCCCTTTCCCTCCCTCTTTCCCCTTCTCCTTCTTCTCTTCCTTTATCTTCTCCTCTTCCTCCTTCTCCTCCCCTTTCACTCCCTCTCTTTTCCCTCCCTCCCTCCATCCCTCCCTCCCTCCCTCCCCTCTCTCTCTCTCTCTCTTTCCCCTCCTTCATCCATACAGGTGGTACCCCTGCATGCTTTCCCATTCAGTGATGAGCTGTCATCGTTCTCCACCATACCCATGCCCTACTGTGAGGAGGAGCCCCTACTGTCAGACTGGCCGGCAGAACTATGTAGAGTCAGCATGAGGTAATACAAGGGGAATCAGTGACAAATGACAAGTTTTGTTATAAGCTACTGAAATCCTTGCTTCTGATTGGTTATCAGCAGATTTGTCACTGATTTTTGTAATTTGTCATTGAAAAAGGGCTTTGTGAAACGCCCACCTGCAACAGAGTACCGAAGCTCTGACATCATAACAATCTATATTTAGAATTGAATATGACAAAACTTGTCATCAGTGACAAATGACAAGTTTTGTTAAAAGCTACTGAAATCCTTGCTTCTGATTGGTTATCAACACATTCGTCACTGATTTTTGTCATTTGTCTCTGAGAAAAGGTTTTGTGAAACGGGGCCCTGAAGTCACCTGCAATAGAGTATCGAAGCTGTGACATCATACAAATCTATTTTTTAGAATTGAATATGACCATCTGAATAAACAGAGTTCAATAGGAAATAACAGTGATTTTCCATTGAAATCTATTGATTCGGATGGTCATATCGCAGCCAATACTTGACATATTCAATTGGTTTTCAACATTTGGACATTATTTTTAATGCTCTGTTGGAAAATGAAGTTCAAATTTGGAAACTATAAAAATGTTTTTTTGATGACGTCACACTTGACCACTCTATGTGCAGCATGCTACAGTGAAGCCTGCTTTTGCCACCATCTGTTTATAAAATTCAAGAAAAGATTTTCTCTTAAACACTACATCAATTTTTTTTTTGGCATATGGAATCTTTCCAATATTAACTGAATGAGATCATTTGCAGCAGCAGCAAAACAAAACAAATTGGTACGGGCAGTGGGCTTTGCATTTCTGTAGCTGATAACACACAGATCTAAAGTGAATACCCCTCAGGGAGTTTGTTGTGCATAGGTATTTGTTTGCCAGCCGTTGATGTGTAATATGATTTTTATTTTGGCAAAGTTTTGTTTGTGTTTGTGTGATTGTTGAGATGGTTTACTGTGTCATGTAAGCAAAAGACATTCTTCACTTCATGAACTATCGTTCAGCCAACCTCCACCCGTTAATCCAGATATCCTACGCAGCATGAAGCTTGTCTGGTTCGTTGGCTATGCCCCAAACACTTCCCTTTTCATATTACAGGGGCTGTAGCATAACCAATCGGGTATAACACAACTACGGATGATGCGACCACAATAGGCTTACATATTCATCTGCGTGCAACATACGCAAAACCGAGGAAAAGGCAACCTCCTCCCATTGAGATCCTATGCAGCAAGGATCTGGTCCAGTTTATTGGCTACGCTCCAAATGCATCTTTTCAGAAACTTTTCCTCTATGTAGTACATATCTTTTCAGATTTTTCTCCTCCTCTTTAATTGTTGCTCAGGCTACCCCCACCCATCAACCTTGAGGTTCTACGTAGCAAGTAACTTGCTTTATTTTATTCAGCTATTCCTCAAACACAGAATAACAGAAAACATTTGTCTACGATCAGTACATGTAATAATAATAATTGGATATTTATATAGCGCACATATCCGCCCTGCAAGGTGCTCAAAGCGCTCTAACGTTACCCCGGCTCTGCTAGGCTACCAATTTCGGTGCTCACAGCATTCAAGGAATTCCTTCCTACCGGGCCCCATTCACTTCACCTGAGTATAGTGTGGCAAATGTAGATCAATGTCTTGTCCGGCGACGTATCCACTCCTCCACGACACCTCTGCACATACATGTGCATTTATATCGATAAACATATAAACTTCTTTTATCCTCCTGCTGTTCAGGCAACCTCCTCCCGTCGATCCGGAGATCCTACGGAGCATGAAACTTGTCCAGTTCATCGGCTACGCCCCCAACACAGGGGGAAGACGTAGGAACCAGGTAGCTTACAGGGACGTCGCAGGAGGGTCCAAGAAAGGGTCCAGCAAAGATAAGGTGCCAGAGAGCCCCTCGGGCAGAAGTAAGTGAAACACCAGCAGGACATTACCCCACCCCCCCCCCCCACAAGTAACTCCCAAGGAAGTGGAGATGTTGCACATAGTTTTAGAATGAATCTGATTGCCATGGTAATGATGTCGATAAAATTCTTTCAGGCTTGTTAAACGAGACTTTTAATGGACAAGCCCCAAGCAATATGTATTGACTGTTGACTGATATTCCTTTAGATTGCATCAATATTTGTAAGCATGTAATTCATTGATTTAGCAGGACAACTAGCTTATTAAATTGTCCAACGTTAAACAAAAATAAAATGTCAGAGATTGTGCCAGTAGGTGTGCCACTCTACAGCTTTTTTAGCAACATTCAACTTTTCATTAAAAACATTAAAAACAAGAGATACATGTATCAATGCTCATACTAGAATTGCCAAATTGTTTTTGAGGAATGTACATGTTTATGACAGTGTACAGTATGCTAACTTCAAATTCAGAATTTCCCTCCTTCGATTCTATTTCAGACTTTTTAATTCAATTCAATACAGTTTCGGTGTATTAATATCAAAATATACAATGGTGATCATGGTACCTAAGCCTTACCTTGGTTTGCATCCTCTGTAAAATATAACATTGCATGAAAAATTCTAAATCTGTTGTTTCATACACATCTTTCTGTTGTTGTTCTAAACTCCAGAGAATCCCATATTCATTTAATGATTATCATTATGATTATTGTTATCTATGTCGCAGTGGAGGACCCAATGATGTTGTTGTTGTTGTTTGTATTGTTGGCGTTCAGTCAAAATTGACTATTTACGCCTGTCTGTTAGATAGGAGTAATATTGTCTATGTCCGGCAAATCATTGGTCGTTGAGAAAACTGTGCGCCTGTGCTTTCGCTTGTCAACTGCGGGGAAAGTATCATCCCGGCCAACCCTGCTGCGTACGTTGAGCGAGCTTCTCAATCACCAGTGATGTTTATGGCTCCTAAGCCTCATGAAAAGGTGGAGATCAATTATTCCAATAAATGATTATTGTTATTATGATTATTATACAGTAGGCTTGCGGGTGCACCATTTGTGAGAGAGAGAGAGAAGATTGAGGAGTCCTGAAAAGAACTGTTTGTGTAGTCTTGAAAAAGACTGTTGGTTATCTTTCTTAGCTTATAGTTCTAAGGAGAACTATAGCGTTTGGAGAGGATGACCATGCAATCTGACACTTACAAGCAGCATATTATGATTATTGTTGTTATCTCTCTCGCAGCCGAGGACCCAATGATGGTCATGGTGCCCAAGCCTTACAGGAAGGTGGAGATCAAGTATTCCAAACTCGGCATTGATGACTTTGACTTCAGGCATTACAACCGGACCAACTTTGCCGGACTCGAACCTCACATTCCAAACGCCTACTGCAACTCTATGTTACAAGTAAGCTCAAGGGGGCGTTTCACAAAACTTGTCATCAGTGACAAATGACATTTGTTGTTATAAGCCACTAAAATCCTTGCTTCTGATTGGTTATCAGCAGATTTGTCACTAATTTTTGTCATTTGTCATTGAAAAAAGGCTTTGTGAAACGGGCCCCAGATCTCTACCTTTAAAGCCACACTGTACTACTTATAGCTACTTGCGCCCTCTATATAGCAAACAATGCTGAATCGGTGACCATTGGTCCCCCATGATCCCCTTTTTCTCATGTTAATTGAGAGCTGATTTGATGAAATAACCACCAGATAATCTCGCTCCCTCTGCCAGATTGTATTGTCATGGAATAGATATACTAAAGGTTCCAAAACATTCCAAATGCCTACTGCAACTCCATGTTACAATTAAGCTCAGATCTCTACTTTTAAAGCCCCACTGCACTACTTATAGCTACTTGTGCCCTCTATATAGCAAACGATGCCTAATTGTTACGGCTAAATATTGTTTTATTCAAAGAAAAACAAAAAGAAACATTACTCCAGAGTCATTGCTTTGAATTTGTATTATTTCAACTGTTGTTAGATTCTTGCTTAGTGTAGTTTTGTATTTGAATAAACCTGTTGACAGGGTTGGCAAATATATATATTTTTTTTCTTTTTTTTTAATTGAAAAAAAAACAAACAAGTGAGTGATTTAAATCAGTGGTTTTAATAATAATAATAATAATAATATTTAGTTTTTATATAGCGCTTAATACAAATGTCTCTAAGCGCTTTACAAATATACTATTACCCCGGTCATTAAGCAAATATTGGGTTATTTGAATCGCCAATTTCGTTCAAGAAAATCACGATTTGAATATGAGATTCTTTTGCAAACCCTGCCGATTGGTCAGCAACATCTTTTCAGGAAATGTGCAGATTTTTTACTGGAAGGAAAAACCTCAAAACCCATCATCCATTGTCATCAAATTCATAAATTGAAAAAAAACAATGGACCTCTCGGTGGAACAGTGCCACAATGTTTGTGGATTGCTGAGTAGGGCCATCCAGCCATTAACCTGTAATAGTATGTCTACATATTTTGTAATGTTCGGATTATTCTACTTCTTTTTGTATGGAAATTAATTCAAATCAAATCAAATTAACTTTCCTTTTGTTCAGGTGCTGTACTTTGTGGAGCCTCTGCGCTGTGCCCTGGAAACCCACACATGCAGCAAGGAGTTCTGCCTAGCCTGTGAAATGAGCTTCCTCTTCTACATGTTTGACTTGTCAAAGGGACAAACCTGCCAGGTAAGGCAGATCTCTCGCAAGGTTTCCAGGGCTGGTAGTAAATGCAATAAAATCAGGTGTATTTTATTATTGTTAGTGTTAGGGTTCCACGATATCCTTGAAAATGACTTTACATTTTTTTCTGATTCAGGGAAGAGTCAGAACATGCCGGCAGGCCTGATAATTACCAGATTTAAATCGGTTTTCCGATTTTTTTTTTTCCTGATTTTTAATTTTTTCCCGATTTTGTTTCTTCTTTTTTTCATTTTTTTTTCTTTCTTTTTTTCCCAAGATTTTTTTTTCTTCCGGATTTTATCCCGATTCTGCTGATTTTGCCGATTTCCCCCCTATTTTCCCCTATTTTTCCCCATTTTTTTCCAATTTTCTTACTCAAAAAGGAGGAACGTTATTAGATGCCTCTAATTCTCAACAATCGCATGTTTGATTATCAAGATATTTATGATTGGAATTTGAAATGTCAAAAACTGTTCTCCCCAACGGTTTCTATTACACTACAGTCTACTGGGGAAAATGAGTATGGTAAAACTAGTCACTCAAAGACTTTTACTGTTTTGAAGCACTTCATGATGATTTTGAAGCGCAATTTTTTTAGGGCTTCAATATTACACTATATCACAGACACTGATAACACGTAGGGCTATGCATCACAGCTCAGATTTAAAAAGACTGGAAACATTGTTAAACAATACCTTTAACATATTTCTTTGTTGAGCAGGCTAGTAACTTCCTTCGAGCATTCCGTACCATTCCAGAGGTGTCCGCTCTGGAACTCTTACTGGGGGATGCTGAGGAGTCCACAGGCAAGGCCAACTTCCCTCGTCTTATCCAGAGCTGGAACAGATTCGTATTGGCCCAGGTCCTACAGGTAAATCACTTCATTGTTTCTTGATATCCACACAAAGCCAATAAAGGAGTACTATCTATCATAAATACTGTAAATTTCTGTGTAACAGACGCACATTTTGTTTCCGCCGGAAAAATTCAAAAGTCGGGGTGCGTATTATACACAGGTACAGGATATTTTGAGTCCTCAAAATGCTACTGTGTCTCAATATAAATCCCATAATGCGAATAAAGAATAGGATCTGCTATATGAAGTTAACCTACGTTCCTAATTTGAAGGAGAGAGAGTTTTTGTTTTCTTCTTAAAAATAGGGGTGCGTCTTTAATATACACTGAAATTTACGGTACCATTGTTTTCGGTATGAAAATACTCCTTTTACATGTATTCTTTCACAGAAGCTTTTTTATTTATTTCTTATTGGTGTAAGTGAATCATAATTCTGCAAAGCAATCTTAATTTTTATCTTAATTTTCTTCCAGGGCTGTTTTTAGAGCTTTGCACAGCTAAAGTGCTCACTGCAGTGGTGTATAGAGGCAAACCCAATCTGTCTTATATCAACTTCACATTAACTATGAAAGATAATACCCGACTAATATTACCTCTTGGTATCACTTATCTCCTAAATACACTTGAAAAATAAATGATACATTTTCTTTGCTTGCATTTTAGACAATTTTGAAGTGACAAAACACAATGACAACGTGAAGATAAATATATATACATTTTACAAATTTCCGAGATTTTGGGAGCTAGTGCTCCTGCAAGTGAATCCTGGATCTACCAATGCAATACTTCTTTTTAATTTTATTTCCCTTATCACTTTTGAAGTAGGTTTAACTTCATTCAATTCTCATGTGGAATTCCCTCCCTTCTGATGTAATTTCCAGCACTAATGTTACTTCATTTAAAACCAAACTCAATGTTCAATAATAACTACCTATAGGCCAAATAAACATGTAATTTCATCTCTCCTCCCTAAGTTTTCTTATTTCACCTTTTGTGGAATTCCCTTCCCTGTACCTGTATTTTTAGTGCTTAATGTTTCAATGTTTTTTTTTTAAAACTAAGTTTGTTTTGTATCTCATGTTATTCTATGTATATTTCTTTATGTATTGGGTGCCTCATTAATCAAGCCTTGACCATTTACACTGTATCAATAATGTTCATACACCCATGATTTGTATACTTTTTAAAAATTTTAAATGGTATAATAAAACTATTTAAAAATTGAAAAATGTATTCACCAGGAGACTTCCGATCCAGCCACAGGAGAGGACGAAGAAGAAGGAGCGAGCGAGGAGGAGAAGAAGAAGGAGAAGCCTTTGGCCCACCTTGGAGAGACGGTCTCACGCCTGTTTGAGGCCAAGGTGGACAACGCCAATGTGTGCAAGGTGTGCAGCAAGGAGACGGTCCGAGAGGCCTCCACCATGGTCGTCACGCTCGCCTACCCAGAAGCCATTGCGGCAGGTAAAGATGACGGACAGAGTGTGTCTTGAATATTCATGTTATTTGTTTTCGCGATGCAGTCGCTTTGTCTTTGTGATGCAACAGGGAAACGGTGCGAGAGGCGTCGACTTTGGTTATCAGACAGATTCACACCACACTCTTCTGTATGATGGCTCTTTCTGTTCTCCTGAAGATACAGCAGCTTGGGCTGGTGTGTCTGCGGTACTGGTGAGTGTACGTGTGTAGGATACGAGTTCTGCCATTTGACTGTGGATTTGAATTTCCTGTTCGACGCTTGAACGAGGTGTTCTTTTCCTGAATATTATCATGGATTCACTCAAAAGATCGAGTACCCGAGGAGGAGATCCTTTGACTGCAAACAGATTTTTAAAAACGTTTTTTATGCACATCTTTATTTTGGACTTAAAAATGGTAGGTTCGAAATGCAGTAAGAGTGATTGGGTGTTTGTGACGTTTTGCGCTAAAATTATGCTGCGGTGTCTTGCGTTCCGGAAAGACCCCCAATTGTTACGGACAAATATGGAAAATGTTCCTGACAGCCATCCTATAGGGTTAGCATCTCTGCAAATGGCTCTCCATAACTTTTAAGTCCAACTTAAGTTAAGTTCGACTTAGGATCTTTGTGAAACACCCCCCAGGTTTCTGAACCATATACCAGAGATGCCAACCAGTACGATTAAATCGTATTTAGTACGATAAAAAGAGTGAAACAAGAAACCCTCTACCACCTAGGATCGAGGCCAGCTCAGTAAACTTCATCCACCTCAATCTGCATCTTCTTGCCACTGAAATCTCACATCCACCGCCAATGTTGATTGTATCCCCATGATATGATATGTATATTAACTCTGAAACAATCAATATCACAATGCATGCTGGTATTGACCTGGCTTATTCACACTGCCGCATCTTTGTGTGTTTTCTCACGTTCCAGCTGCTCAAGGCAAGGAGGTGAAACAACAGAGCTTTGTTGAGGTGCTACAGGGCAGTATGAACATAGAGCAGTCCACACAGGCCTGGTGTGACGACTGCCAACGATATCAGCCATCTGTAAGTAGTCACAAAGACAAACCGAGCTCCACAATATTTAGATACCTGTTTGAATTTATATACACCTGCCAGGGCATTGAGGTCAGCCAGTGATCCTCTCCGTCTCACATATTCAGTTACCCACACATTAGCCGGTGATAGGACATTAAATACTGTATCTGCCTCAAAATACTGGAATGATCTACCACTTAGAATTAAGTTTGTATTTGTAAGACGTTATATGTATTTATGTAACTTTGATTTTTATTCACAGTAAGCGCTTTGGGCCATAAGGGAAAAGCATGGTATAAGTAACTTAGAATTAGGCAGTCTATCATCAGTTATTACCTTCAGAAAGGCCTTAAGAACACATCTTTTTTTGCATTTTGTAGTTGTAAGACGTATTCATGTAATTTTGATTCACTGTAAGTGCTTTGGGCCTTATGGGAAAAGCATGGTATAAGTAATAATAATAATAATAATAAATAATATACTTCATGTATATGAAGACATCTTTTTGTCTTTTGTCAGGATTGCGAGGAAGGCATGAACCACTATACCATGAATCTTCCGCATAATACTGATTATAGTACACACATTTTAAAGGCACACTGTCCTACTTGTAGCTACTTGCTCTCTCTACAGGGAATAATTTTCCTGGTATCGCATCGCAATTTGCTATGCATTTTTGCATGACTGCTATACAAAATATCTTTTGTGTAGCAGTTTTCTTCCATAGAAATGTACAGAATTTCATTTTAAATATTCATCCATCGGCTGAAATTGCTAATCAAAAAATTTGAGGAAAATTATTCCCTGCTCTATATAGAAAACTTCCCCTGTTGGTCCCCCATGATCCTCTTTTTCTTATGTTAAATGAGAGCTGAGTTAATGAGATAGCTACCTGTCACAGTGACCTTGCTGGCTCGCTGGGTGGTCTAATACCTTCTAGCTGAAGTAGTAAAGCCTGCCTTTAAGCTTCAGTTTCATGTAAATCCCTATTTGTAGTTTCTTACCGTCAGAAATGAGGACAAGAAAACGATCAAGAAAAAAAAACACAGTTTCTTTCTTTTCCTCTTTATCGCTCTGTGGACTTGTAGTAGTATAAAATAACAATACTACTCCTGCCTGAATTCCATTTGCAGCAGGCTAGTTCATGATTTGAAGCAGATTCAACTTTGATTCCGACCAAAGAAGGCTTAAATGCACTCAAATTCTGGTTGTTAGTATTCTTCCATGTACATGTATATCAGTATTTAGAACTTAAATCAGGAAGATGATGTTTGTTAGTAAAGATTTCAATTTCTAGCATTAGGCCTAAACAAAAAAGATGTTTTATTGCCCTTTAGGTGCCACAACATGGGTCGGACGGTCGGAAATCTTTAAAAAAAAAAAACTCCCTCTTATGGCTGATATATTTCAGTCCTTAACACATTTTTATGCCTCCGCTACAAAGTAGCCGGAGGCATTATGTTTTCTGGTTGTCCGTCCGTCCGTACGTCCGTCCGTACGTCCGTACGTCCGTCCGTACGTCCCGTTCTCGTGATCGCGTTATCTCAAGAACCAATTGATGGATTCTCTCTAAACTTGGATCATGTATGTATCTTGCAGAGCCAATGAACTGATTAGATTTTGGGGTCACGAGGTCGAAGGTCAAAGGTCACAGGGCTCATTATGTATTCAAAAATAGCTTGTGATCGCAATATCTCAAGAACCGATCAATGGATTCCTGCCAAACTTGGGTCATATATGTATCTAACAGAGCCAATGAACTGATTAGATTTTGGGGTCACGAGGTCGGAGGTCAAAGGTCACAGGGCTCATTATGTATACAAAAATAGCTTGTGATCGCGTTATCTCAAGAACCGATCGATGGATTCGTGCCAAACTTGGGTCATGTATGTATCTAACAGAGCCAATGGACTGATTAGATTTTGGGGTCACGAGGTCGAAGGTCACAGGGCTCATTATGTCTACAAAAATAGCTCGTGATCGCGTTATCTCAAGAACCGGTCAATGGATTCCTGCCAAACTTGGGTCATGTATGTATCTAACAGAGCCAATGAACTGATTATATTTTGGGGTCACGAGGTCAAAGGTCACAGGGCTCATTATGTATGCACAAATAGCTTGTGATCGCATTATAATGAGAACCAATAGACAGATTACTATCAAACTCAAGACATGTATATATGTATCTTGCAGAGCCAATTAACTGATTAGATTTTAGGGTCATCAGGTCAAAGGTCATGGGGCTCATTATGTATGACTATAAATAGCTTGTGAATGCATTATTATTAAAACCGACAGATGGATTACAATCAAACTTGAATTTTAAAAATTGCTTCCGTTTTGGTTTGTAAAGTTGCTCTATGGCGGAGGCATCATTTTTGACTGCGCGCAGTCAAAATTCCATCTAGTTTTTTTATAAACGGTAAAAAAAAAAAAAAAATTGTTAAAAAGCCGACCGTCGATTTAAAAAATTTTGGTTGCAAAGGGCAATACGTTTTTTTAAAAGGCCTAATTGCCATTTCTTCAAAATTGAGATCGCAGGAAGAACGCATAGTGTGTGTTGGGCTTTAATGATCAGAGATGTTTACTTTTTTTTCTTTCCACCAGATGCAAGTCCGTAGCTACAAGAGACTGCCAGACGTCATCACAATCAACTGTAATTTAGAAACACAGTCGGATGAAAACTTCTGGAGGAGACAAGAGCAGGTAAATGAAGAATTTATAAATTACATCTTTAACTGAAATCAGTATCCGTTTTGCCTCATCAAATCTGTGAACTAGAAACACAGTCAGATAAGAACTGCTGGAGGAGAAAAGAACAGTTGTATGAAGAATATATAAATTACATCTTTAACTGAAAGCAGTATCTGTTCTTCCTGCTCAAATTGGCACCACTTGTTCTTTTGGAACTGTAATCTAGGTACACAGTCAAATAAGAAGTTCTAGAGGAGAAAAGAACAGGTGTATTAGAAGAAAATATAAATCATAATGTATATCTTCAACATAAAGCAGTATCGGTTTTGATTTCTCAAATTGGCACCAACTTTTCCCCTAAACCACAATTTTGAAATACAGGCAAATCACTATGAACATGACGGACAAAGAAAGAGGACAAAATATACAGTCCCTCCTTCTACCCTCAACAATTGCTGTGGTTGACAAAGGAACATCCCTTCACTGCTATTATGTAAAAATGTGTAGAACAGGTGTCACATGCATATTCACCTGTTCTACACATTTTTACATAATAGCAGTGAAAGGATGTTCCTTTGTCTACCACAGCAATTGTTGAGGGTAGAATGAGGAACTGTATGTTTTGTCCTCTTTCTTTGTCCGTCATGTTCATAGTGAATGTTTTGTGAAGTTTTGGAAAAGACAAGAACAAGTGAATGAACAATATATAGATCATGTCTTTGGCCTATTGGAGTAGAATTTTCTAAAGGTGCAAAGGAATCAGTATTGCCTCCTCGAATTGGCAACGATGTAACTGTCACCTATAAAAACATTCAGATCAATACTTCAAGCTTGCCTGCCTGAAAATAACATTCTAAAATTTGGGGGCTTTTTCGCCCTGAGCCCCCATGTATTTTTTTCACTGTCTGGAAGAGGCACGAACATGTGAAAACAAAATATATAAAATGCAAAAGTACTAAACTGAATGTAAATTCTGATCGGCCTAAATAAAAAGGAATAAAACAATAAATGAATTGGAAAAATAAAGCCTATTTAGTGCAAAAATTTGGTTTCTCAATGTGGTAAACCCGTTTGTGTGAATGTGGCGTGAAACATGACTACGATAAGTATTGTACTAAAATGTCCCTTTTTCACAGTTGGCCGGAGTAAATTACGACCACCAGAAAGAATCGGCGCAGAGCCAAGTCAAGGCGTGTCGCTACGCATTGAACTGTACGAGGGCTGATTGTCGCTTCAGGCACGACCCACCGAGTACAGAGTGAGTGTGCATCAAATCAAGTTCATTAATATGCATGTACTGTACAGTGCGTCCCAGAAAAAAACGTAACCTATATTTATTTCAGTTTTATCATAACTTAATCACAATTATAATTGATAAATGACACATATTTGTAAAGCTTAGATCCTCCTCTTTCATTTGATGCAACTCAATTCTCATAAGATGCATATTTCATGCATGAATGATTAAAATGAATTTGAGGAAAGGGTACCAAAAAGTCATTTGGCAACGGTATTTGAATTTTAAAGAGAAAATCACATTTCTACAAAGTTCATTTTCTGCCCTTTCATATGACACCTCAATCAGGAAAAATGAGCCAGGAATAACAAAGTTCTGTTTGTTTATACTGTAAGTAATGCTTGCATTTCCATCAATTTATTAAACAAATTTGTTCCACTGGCTGTCTGCCCTAACAACAAAGAAGACGAAAGACTTCATGTATGGCTGATCTTCAACGAAAAGGAGTTTGTTGTTTGTTGCTATTAACTGTGATTAAGTTATGATGACATTGATAATTCTTGGTTTTGTTTTTTCTGGGACGCACTGTATACATGTAATTATGATTTGCGAGGTTGGTGGTCTGGTGGATACATCACCAGTCTGTGGACCACGTTGTTTGTAGTTCGGGTCCCGCCACGACACCAATGTCCTTTGGCAAAGCAAAATTAATCTACATTTGCCAAAGAAAGAATACAGCATAATTCCAATAATACCAGCAGATGGGGGATCTGTTTTGTTTTTTAAAATTCATTTGTTAATTGTTTTATTAAGTATTTGCCGTCACCTGTGCCTGGGAGGCAAAAAGTAAAATGTATCATTTTAACCCTCCGGTCTGTCCGCGGGGTATTTCAGGCTACTGCATGCTGCAACCACCTTCACATATCCGCTCGTTGTGTATTTTAAGCCCCACTGCACTAGTTTGGCCAGGAGGGATTAGACCTCCCTGAATGGTCACTGACAGGTGGTTATCTCATCAAATGAGCTCTCAATTAACATAAGAAAAAAGGCATCATGGGGGACCAATGATCACCAATTAGGCATTGTTTGCTATATAGAAGGCGCAAGTAGCTATAATTAGTGCAGTGGGGCTTTAAGAGCCTGTCGGTGTTTCCCCTTTCGTTCGACAGTAATATCTCTGCAGCCTTTCACAGTGCTTCCTTGTGGTGGAATGGAATGTAGTTTTTATTATAAAATCAAATACTAATGATAATTTTTTATTTTTGTCATGTATTTGGAATGCAGGCCAGAGGTTGAGATGAAATCTTGGCTACCTCTTTACATCAAGGTCAGAGTTTCACAAGATCGGAAGGTTGACATTCACGAACTCAAAATAGAGGTCAGTTTAACTATGATCATTTTTATCAAGAGCTGCAGAATACCCCTCCGCACAAGTAATCCTCACCCTACACCCGACCCTGACTCTCATCCTAATCGTGTCAAGTGCTAGTGCTTGACTGTGTTTTTTCTTATGCATATGAAAGCTCATAACTCCAAGCAGTGCATGTGTTCATTTTCAAGTAATCCACACAAATACAAGCACTGCCTTTTAGTGAATTTCTCACTTTCCTTTAAAATTTGACTTCATTCATCAAAACATTCTGCTTAAATATCTTGTAACCTAAAATGTGTTTATTACTTATCGGCATTTGATATAGTATAATTACAAATGTTTCCATTTTTAACGTTATATATTTAATTTGAAAAAAGCTGTCCTCTGTTTCTTTGAGTGGACTTCCTCAGACAAAAATGCCCTTGAAAACACTATGATTTAGAGACGAATTTTGTGTTATATTTGAACCGTCAATTCCCACAGGTTAGACCTTTTGAATTTGATTTTCCTATTCTTGTTTCTGCCAAGATCATTTTAAAAACAAAAATTTGTCCCAAGAATTTGGTGATTTTTTTTTCCCAACAAGGAAACAGGGTTAATTTGATTATGAATCAATCTTGTTATCTCCTACTTGTTTTTGCTTAGTATAGTCTCAAAATAAAAATGTCTCAATTTTTTTTGTTGAATTTTTTTTTCCAACATGGAAACAGGGTTGATTAATTTATCAATCAGTTTTCCTCTTGTTATTATTTCTGCCAAAATCAGTTTTACAAATAGATTTCAATTCAATTCAATTCAATTTTTTATTTCATTCAGTTAAAAAGACAAACATTTCATATAACAAGCAGCTACATAACATAGAATACATATTAAGAACATATTTGACAAGGACATAAAATAAACTGAATAGGTTGCAACCTGAAAGGAAACATAATCCTTATGTAAATGTTGACCCTTTTTTTATAATAAAATATTTATCAAAGAGTTCTCTGGATTTTTTCCCGTCCAACAGGGAGATAGGGTTGATGATATTGACGCTGAAGGCTACGTGACCTACTACCTCCATGCTAGCGTATGTCACGTCCGTGACCCCAGGTCAGGGGGCAACCTGGTCGCCCACGTCAACGTCGGAAAGACCTACCACAAAAGGAAAGAGGTGTGATTAAAGCTCAAAGTTCAAAGTATTTATTGTAGTCTGTAGGGCATGGCTCGACAACTAACAGGCACCCAGGGGTGTGTTTCACAAAACTTGTCATCAGTGAAAAATTTCAGTTTATGTTATAAGCTACTGAAATTCTTTCTTCTGATTGGTTGATCACCAGATTTATCACTGATGTTGTAATTGGTCATTGAAAAAAGGCCTTGTGAAACACCCTCCAGGACCGATTAGTGTCCAAAATCTTACTCCAGACCCTCCAAATTTCATTTTTCACGTAGGGAATATATACAGACTCCAGAAAGATTGGTGTGGACCCTCTTCCAAAAATGTTTATGCAGAGCCCTGTGTAAGGCATATAGAAATATAACTGATGATATTGATGATGAGGATGATGATTATGATGATGATGATGGTGTTGATGATAGTGATGATAGTGATGATATTGATGATGATGATGATATTGATGAAGATGAAGACGATATTGATAATGATGATGATGATATTGGTGAAGATGATGGTGGTGATGATGATATTATTGATGATGATGATGATGATATTGATGATGATGGTGTTGATGATGATGGTGATGATGATGATAATATTGATGATGATGATAATATTGATGATGATAATATTGATGATGATGATAATATTGATGATGATGATAATATTGATGATGATAATATTGATGATGATGATAATATTGATGATGATAATATTGATGATGATAATATTGATGGTGATGATATTATTGATGATGATGATAATATTGATGATGATAATATTGATGATGATGATAATATTGATGATGATGATAATATTGATGATGATGATAATATTGATGATGATGATAATATTGATGATGATGATAATATTGATGATGATAATATTGATGATGATGATAATATTGATGATGATGATAATATTGATGATGATAATATTGATGGTGATGATAATATTGATGGTGATGATAATATTGATGATGATGGTGTTAATGAAAGTGATGATATTGATGATGATAATATTGATGATGATGATGATGATAATATTGATGATGATGATATTGATGATAATATTGATGATGATGATGATGATAATATTGATGATGAAGATATTGATGATAATATTGATGATGATGATATTGATAATGATGATGATGATATCGATGATGATGTTGATGATAGTGATGATATTGATGATGATGATATTGATGATCATGGTATTGATGATGCTAAGAACATGTATATAGTATGATCATAGTATGATACTGATAATTGCACTGATAGCCAGTGAGCAATATCTAGAACCTGTGATTATATGTCTTTGATACATGTATGTTTTTGTCCTTTTTTGCAGGGTGTAACCCATATGCAGTGGTATATCTTCAATGATTTCTCCATCCAACCTATTGATAGGTTCGATGCTACTCAATTCAATCTGGACTGGAAGGTCCCCTGTGTTCTTTACTACATGAGGAATGACGCTACAAACCATTATGACATCACAAGTAAGATATCTCTCTCTCTCTCAATCCATTTGAAGTCATAAACTTAAACAAAAGAAAATTCATAATTCTTATTTTTTGTCAAATTTCATTCAGACTTTCGCAAGTCTACTTGTCTGATTTTCCTGTTTTCCTATTGAGTAGTTTGCTATAAAGGTTGGATTTTACTTTAAAGGTATACACCAGTTTTGGAAACGCCCCCCTCTAAAAAATGGAAGCTCTTATTACCAATCATGTGAAAGAATATGTTTTGACTAATACGTGATGATACAAATTTTGCCGGAAAACTGCCCACTAATTGATGTACAGTGTATTTGGTAAATTATCATATCTATCCTGCATGGATAGATATCACATATATTTCCCATATTCATCTTTCTGTGTACAGTGCTTGTAACTTTACCAAGACTGGGCCAAATTTCTTATCATTTTGATGATTCAAGAACCTTGCAGTACACACCAATACGTAAATGCTTGATGATCAACCTTTTCTGAGCGATTCCACAACGTTTCTTTCACAATGCAATCGCATGACCAGAACTCAACTTTATCTTTAAATCACATACATGTACCGGTATACTTTCCTATGCTCCCTTCCAGTAAACAACCCCATCGTATCAAGCTGTCTTCAGCCTAGTGGTATCTCCAAGGCGTCAGGGTTCAAGCCTCACATGACGTTCACACCCCTAGGGTCAGAGGAGACCATCGGGGAAGGGTTCCTGGTCGGCCTGGATGCTGAGTTTGTCTCCCTCAATCAGGTAAAGCGTCGGTACTCAATTTATAATAATAATAATAATAATATTCCGCTTTTAAATAGCACTTAATACAAATACGATGTCTCTGAGATATGTGATAAAGTTCATCTTATGTAATATAATTTTAATAAGACGTATACACAGACATAATTTGATGATAATAATGATGACAACAATAGTGGTGGTGATGATGATGTTGTTGATGATGATGATGATGATGATGATGATGATGATGATGATGAAGATGATGATGATGATGATGATGATGATGATGATGATGATGAAGATGATGATGATGATGAAGATGATGATGATGATGATGATGATCATGAAGATGATGATGATGATGATGGTGATGGTGATGATGATGATGGTGATGATGATGATGAAGAAGAAGAAGATAGTGATGATGATGATGATGATGAAGATAGTGATGATGATGATGATGATGATGATGATGAAGATAGTGATGATGATGATGATGAAGATAGTGATGATGATGATGATGATGATGATAGTGATGATGATGATGATGAAGATAGTGATGATGATGATGATGACGATGAAGATAGTGATAATGAAGATAGTGATGATGATGATGATGATGATAGTGATGATGATGATGATGATGATGATGAAGATAGTGATAATGATGATGATGATGATGATGATGAAGATAGTGATGATGATGATGATGATGAAGATAGTGATGATGATGATGATGATGATGATGATAATAGTGATGATGATGATGATGATGAAGATAGTGATGATGATGATGATGATGAAGATAGTGATGATGAAGATAGTGATGATGATGATGATGATAGTGATGATGTTGATGATGATGATGATGATGAAGATAGTGATGATGATGATGATGATGATGAAAATAGTGATGATGATGATGATTATGATGATGATGAAGATAGTGATGATGATGATGATGATGATGAAGATGGTGATGATGATGATGATGATGATGAAGATAGTGATGTTGATGATGATGATGTGATGTTGATGATGATGATGATGATGATAGTGATGATGATGATGATGATGAGGTTGATAGTGATGATGATGATGGTGATGATGACGATAGTGATGATGATGATGATGATGTTGAGGTTGATGATGATGATGATGATGATGATGATGATGATCACCATAATGTAGAAAGTTATGCCCTGCTTTCACACAGGGGAAAAATTCTTTAAAGCTGATTAGTTTAAAGAGCTTTGAACTAAACAGCTTTTGATATGATGAATTTTACCCCTGTGTGGATAGGCTGATGGTAGTAAACTCCTCATTCTTCCCCATCACTTTATTGTTTTGCATCTCATAAACTACTTAGTACTATTTATTTCCATTGCAGTTTTTAATGACAATGATAATAATGTGTCTTGCCAAAGGACGTTAGTTCATCCCCTTATTAAATAAAGAATTTGATTTTGCGCCACCAGGAAGAGGCTGAGATTCGGAGCGATGGAACACGATCTACGATCAAGCCCAGTCAGATGGCCGTGGCTAGGATTACCTGCGTGAGAGGGCAAGGTGAGCTAGAGGGGGAGCCCTTCATCGATGACTATATCTCCACACAGGAACAGGTGAGGGATACGGAGCAATACATTTTTGTTTCCATTAATTCTGCTTGGAACCCTTATCTGATGGACTAAATTTAAAAATGTTACAAATGACTTTTAATATTGTTTGCAATTGGTGGACTAGTTGACACTGTTCTCCGGGATTTTTTAAACAAATGAGGAGGTTGGTGGTCCATAAATCTTAAAACTGAATATACCCTCCTAAACCTAGACTAAATTTAGTCCGCTTTGAGAAATGAAGAGCACAGTTCCAAAAGGTACCACTTCCATTTTTATTAATTTTAATTTTTTTTTTTTTTTTTTTGCATTAATGTTCACATTTCCAGCAGCCTCTTACACTGCACTTCCAAAAAGCTGGATTTCGAAAGTTACTATATCCATTTAAGTTGTGCATTGTAACTTGCATACAATATGCAAGATTTTCGGTTCCAAAAAAAGTACTACATCCAATTTCGGTTCCAAGAGGTACAGGTACTACACCCACAAAAATAAAAAAATAAAAAATTCATAAAAAATATTTGCGCTGACTTCGATTTATTAAAAGAGTTTTATAATTGTGTATCATACAATAGTATAATCAGCCGAAGTATCATTCCAAACTGACATTGCTAACTATGATAATTAAAAAATTGTGTTCTTCTCATAACTTGGATTTATGGATGCAGTACCTTTTGGAAGCGAGCTCTTCAAAAATGAGCCACTGAATTTGCCCTAAACTACTGTTTTATTCGTTTACAGGTGGTGGACTATCTGACGCGGTTCTCAGGCATCAAGCCTGGTGATCTCGACGCTACGATCTCCTCAAAGCACCTCACTACCCTGAAGGCCACGTACCTCAAGCTTCGCTACCTCTTGGACATGGGAGCCATCTTCGTCGGTCACGGATTGCGCAAAGATTTCAGGGTCATCAACCTTCTGGTGAGTCTTTAGTAGTTACAGACATTGTTTAATAATAATAATAACAGTGGGTTCTTGTACAGCGCTCATGTCTGTCAGACTTGACACTCCTGGCGCTCCTGTTTGAATAGTATTCAGTTGCTTCCATTTGGGATAGATGTCCCCTCAGATATACTTACGGTACATAAGTTTAATTGCCCTGCGAGGACAGAACTAGGCGTTGTAGCTTGCGCCTGTAATCCAGCTAACAGTGGAAGTTACAAACTGATTCAGCCGAGGACGCAGGTTCGAAACTGAGTAAAAGTCGGTCCCCAGACGTAAATAATCTGATCGATACACGTTTGTAAAAACCCAGATACACACACACAGGACAGAAATTCAACGAATCTGGTTCCTTTTGTTTCTTATGTTACAAATAGAGCGACATGAAGAAGTTTCCACAAAGTTTCAATAACATGCTACTATTTATTGTATCGTTCCTTGCAGGTGGACCATCGCCAGGTTGTCGATACAGCAGCGCTCTACAATCTACCCAAGCAGAGAATCGTCTCCCTCAAATTCCTTGCATGGTATTTCCTTGGTGAGTTACTGCCATCATCCTCTCGAAAGCTCCGTTCACATATGATGCAACACTGCAACGTTTTTAAAGTTTTTACACTGATGTTAAAGTGCAATACACATCACATTTATGTATCTTAAAGCCTGTCTGCACTAGTTTGGCCAGGAGGGATTATACCTCCCTGCAAGGTCACTGACAAGTGGTTATCTCATCAAATCAGCTCTCAATTAACATAAGAAAAAGGGGATCATGAGGGACCAAAAGGCACCAATTAGGCATTGTTTGCTATATAGAGGGCGCAAATATGCTATAATTGCATATATTCATGTACAATACAGGTTTAAATGTATTTGGGAGATATGAATTGATATCAAATTGCTTGTATATGTTTCTCAAAGTAACTTGATGTATTCCAGAACAAAAGAATACATTAGAAATAAAAACAATAAAATACAAAAGAAAATAAATATTTGAAAAACGCATCAAATTTGCATAAATTATCATTATTAATTACATCAAAATAACTATTTTGTGTTAGAAAAGAAGTTTCATATGAATTATGAGTTTCAATTAGCATTTAAAAAGTGGAGTCTGACAATTTTTGTAATGATTCTAGTTCCCTGTATATTTCCAGATTTGATATTCATGAATGCGTATTCATAATTTATGCAAATTAACCTATGCATTTTCAAATATCATAAAAATAAGGTAACCTCATTGATTAGAGATGAAGGAAACATTTATTCATTACATTTTCAACATTCTTCAAAAGTCTACAGACAAATTTGTAGAGTTTTCTGTAAAATGCATAAAATTAGCATTTTGCATAATTAATTATGCTATAACGACAAAAAATTGCATATTAGGAAAAAACTAATTATTCCATCTTGTTCCTTACGTAAATATCTACAAACATGCACATTTTCGTGTTCATCGGACTTTCGACGGCCGAGATCATAGGTGGGGGCCTCCCAGGCCCCCCCCCCCCCCCCCCCCCCCCCCCCCAGTCACGGGGTGCTCAAAATAGCCCAGTACAGTAAGGGTTAAAACACAGAATTATTAAAGGGATTGGGTATCTTTGTCTCAGATTCAAAACAAAATCCTGGATTTAGCTCATGCTGTGATCATAATTATAAAAATTTAGGTCAGTCAGGAATCCCATGACATTTACAAGCTAATCACCTGTCTGATTATCAAGATATTTATGATTGGAATTCAAAATTTCAAAAAACATTTTTTTATAACTCTACAGTCTCTTGGGGAACATGAGTATGGTAAAACCGGTCACTCAAAGATTTTAAATTTTTTGAGGCACTTCATGATCATTTTGAAGCGCAATATTTTAAGGGTTTAATATAACACCATATCACAGATGTTGATAACACGTAGCGCCATGCATTTCAGATTTGACATTGTTAAAGATAAAGACCAGGGGCGGTATTCTGAACATTGTTGTAAGTATTGTGTTATCTTTTGTTGTATCTTCCAGAGATAACACAGCGCTAATATTGTTGTAAGTTGGTATTCTGAACATTGTTTTATCCCTGTGTTATCTCTTGAAGGACTGCCTCTATCTTATCTTTGACCACTGTTGACACACCCATTTTTATGGACCCTACCAATCAAAATCTATTTTATATAAGCATGATAAGTAGGTCAACCAATAGGAGTACTTTATGCTACATCTTCGCGCATACTAATCTTTGGCGTAATTAGTTATTTGAGTGCTTATTATATATGCGCGTCCTCATATGCGCTGAGCATGTGGCACATGGATCATAAAGACAAGTCACGCTTTCAAGAGACATCACAGAGTTGAGAGCATTAAAATCGTCATATCCTAGCATGTAATTTCTTAGAAATTTCTCATCTTTGATGTCTCCAGTCAACACACAACCTTTTTCTAACTTGTCTATTGGCACTAAGTTGGTTCTGGGCAAGAAAGAATGCCGCTATTATATCACCACGAAAGATACAACAACCCCCTACCTGTTGTAAGTATTATTGTAAATACCATGCAAGATAAGATAAGATAAAAGATACAACAACTTTCAGAATACCAACTATCTCGACATATTATCTCTCGTGCGCATATGCAAATGAGGATTAAACGCCACTTTATTAATAATACGCACAATTACAAGCGCACCAAATTATGAGCGCAGGCGCGGCCAATGAGATGAGAGAAAAGATACAACAAAAGATAACACAAAAGTCACAACAATGTTCAGAATACCAACTTTATCTTATCTTCAAAGATACAACAATATTAGAGATAACACAGGGTTCAGAATACCGCCCCAGTTATGGTCATGCGATTGCATTGTGAAAGAAACGTTGTGGATTTGATCAGAAAAGGTTCATCATCTGGCATACATGTATAAGTATTGGTGTGTACTGCAAGGTTCTGGAATCATCAAAATGATAAGAAATTTGGCCCAGTCTTGGTAAAGTTACAAGCACTGTACACATAAAGATGTATACGGGACTACGCGACACGTGCCCGATATCTATCAGGTCCAAATATAAATATAAATAATAATTTACCAAATATATCAATAAGTAGGTTTCTCAGCAAAAGTTGTATCATCATGTACTAGTCAAAACATATTCTTTCACATGATTGGTAATAAGAGCTTCCATTTCATTTTTTATTTAAAAAACAATCAAATGTGATATTTTGCGGCGATTTAGCACGTCACATCTGAATGAGCCTTAACAAGGTTAAAGAGAAGGTTGGGTTTGATAAAGCTGGAGATTAATTTGTAAAAACTTTCTCATTCTTTTTCTGTCAGTTTGGAAGAATATCATAAATGAAATGTCCCCTGTAAATTATTGCTCTTCAAATGCCCTCATATTTGATATAAGACAATAAGCAATTCAAAAGTTTGGACCAAACTTTCATGCCACATGTGTGTAGTCCCATGCACTAATTACTGTGTATGTGGTTTACAGCAAGATTGTGTAATTTACATTTCAGTTTGAACATTCCAAAACCTCTGCATATACATCAATTCTTGTCAGCTACAAAACCACCATTTCCCAATTGCATCCAGACATTTTCTGTTCAGAATCATATTTCATAATAAATATTCCAGTTGATACCAGTTGAAACCAGTAAGGATTTCCAACTGGTATCTACTGGTTTGAACTGGTCTCAACTGGTCTCATTTTCAAATCAACTGGAAATATCAACTGGTAAATCTACTGGTTTTCAACTGGTAAATTAACTAGTCCCAGTTACACTGTAGCTGTGTTTCAATTTCCATATTAAAAACCAGTTGAATGTACTGGTTTCAACTGGTTTTAACTGGTTCCAGTTGACCAGTTGCCTACTGGTTTCAACTGGTTTTTCGACCTGGGTATATATATACTCTACTTTATCTTTAAAATCATTCTGCTTTGACATGTCTTTCTCAGGAACGAACATCCAGTCAGAAACCCACGACAGCATTGAAGATGCGTACACTGCCATGCGGCTCTACAAGAAGTATCTGGTCCTGAAGGCAGCCACAGAGGATGAGAAAGAATGGGAGACGGAGCTCAAGAAGATGTACGAAGAAGGGAGGAAACACAAGTGGAAAGTACCCGGAACGGAATGAAAGGATGCGTAACGAGGAGAAGGAAGATGGGACCGTGATGGAGTTAGCGGAAAACCAGATTGATGGAGCCTGGAAAAGAACGAACGAATGTGTAGATATGGCGGAAGGAATGAGAAGGGAGGAGGAGGAATGGGAAGAAAGATGGGAGGATAAAGTTACAAAGGGAGGAAAAACTTTTTCTTGAAACAGAAATGAACAAATGTCTCAAGATGCTCAAAAGGAAAATGGAGGAGAAGGAAGAAGCAGAAGAAGAGGAGTGGAAAGTACTTGGAACACAATGGCACTATGTCTCATGATCGATAGAAGGAAAAGGGAGAGGGGGTTCACAGAAAAAAAAAAAACATGTAGACATTTTCTTGAAACAAATGTCTCAAGATGCTCAAAAGGAAAATGGAGGAGAAGGAAGAAGGAGAAGAAGAGGAGTGGAAAGTACTTGGAACACAATGGCACTATGTCTCATGATCGATAGAAGGAAAAGGGAGAGGGGGTTCACACTAATGGAAAGTTTGTAGAAGAGAATGATAACATTTTGAATGATGGATAGAGGGAGAAGGAACGAAGGTAGAAGGAATACAGTGATGTAGATGGAGAAAATACAAGTGGAAAGTACTTGGAACACAATGGCACTATGTCTAATGATTGATAGAAGGAAAAGGGAGAGGGGGATCACACTAATGGAAAGTTTGTAGAATAGAATGATAACATTTTGAATGATGGATAGAAGGAGAAGGAAGTTAGTCTGATTTTGTCGTAGGTGGAGAAAACACAAGTGGAAGTTAGTCTGATTTTGTCGTAGGTGGAGAAAACACAAGTGGAAGTTAATAGAATGATACGATGTCTGAAGATGGACAAAAGGAGCAGGAAGATGGAGAAAAAGAAACAGAGAGAGGGAGAGTGGAAAATGGAATGAAGTGATTTTTTGGAGAGAAAGATTTGAAAAGGGGAGAAGAGAGATTCAATGAGAGTAAGAAAGAAGAGAAGATCTACCTGAGGGAGAGAGGGAGGGAGAGAGAGATAGATTGAGAAAGAGAGAGTGAGAGAAAGAAGAGAGATAGAAGAGAGAGAAAGAGAAGGTCTAGATGAGAAACAGTGTCAATTGTCTTCACATTACCTGAGAGAGAGAGAGAGAGAGAGAGAGAGAAAGAAACTAAGAAAGAGAAACTGAGAAAGAGAGAAAGAAGAGAGAGAGAGAGAAAGAAGAGAAGGTCTACATGAGAAACAGTGTCAATTGTCTTCACATTACCTGAGAGAGAGAGAGAGAGAGAGAGAAAGAAACTAAGAAAGAGAAACTGAGAAAGAGAGAGAGAGAGAGAGAGAGAGAGAGAAAGAAGAGAGAGAGAGAGAGAGAGAGAGAAAGAAGAGAAGGTCTACATGAAAAACAGTGTCAATTGTCTTCACATTACCTGAGAGAGAGAGAGAGAGAGAGAAACTGAGAAAGAAAGAGACAAAGAAGAGAGAGAGAGAAAGAAGAGAGAGAGAGGAGAGAGAGAGAGAGAGAGAGAGAGAGAAAAACTGATAAAGAAGATAGAGGGGGGAGAGTGAGAGAGAGAGAGAGAGAGAGAAAGGGGGAGGATAGAGAAACAGAGGGAGAGAGAGAGAGAAAGGGGGAGGATAGAGAAACAGAGGGAGAGAGGGAGAGTGAAATAGAGAGGAAAGAATAGACAGGGGGAACAGATAGAGCGAGCAATATAGAAAGAGAAAAAAAGAGAAGATAAAATTCTAAAAGAGATCTGTTGACAAAAGACTTCACGCTAGCCCAGCGAGAGAGAGAGAGGAAGAGAGGAACGCTCTATAAATGGTCCCATTGATCGCACTATTGTGAATAATACCTGCCAATAAAAGTTGATTGTCATTGATTGAATTGAAGTGCAAACGCATGACCGAGGATCAGTCACGTATTGCCTATTTATACAACTGTGCAAACAATAACGCCCTTTCCGTCATGGACTGTTGATTCAGATGAAGCATTTAGTCCCAGTTGACTGCCTGTGTAACCAAGCATCTCTGTATACCCTTTGTTAAGTTCATTCCAGTCAGGATTTATTATTGTAAGGCAAATCTGGGATTTTTCTCTCTTTTGCTCAAATTCTTTCGAGGTTAAAAAGTAACGTTATTGAATAAAATATTTGTGCATGGACAGACATGCTTTAAAAAAAAAATTGTGAATTTGTATTGAAGAATAGTGACTTTAAACTTGTCATCATGTGGATTTAACATTATATGCTACCCAAATAATTTCCCTGTACCACACAGTATTTTTCATGGGATAGATATATTAAGCGGGACTGCACTACTTGAAGGTAATTGCGCCCTAGATATAGCTAACAATGCCTGAGTGGTGACCATTGGTCCCCCATAATCCCCTTTTTTTGTATGATAATTGAGAGCTGATTTGATGAGATAACCACCTGTCAGTGACCTTGCAGGGAGGTCTAATCCCTCCTGGCCAAACTAGTGCAGACAGGCTTTAAAGGCTTCAAGACTGTTTCCAGTGCAGGATAAATCTATACCAGTGAAAAAAGAAATATGCAAATGAGTATGAATAGATATTAGGTACCAGTAGATGTACTGCTAGTTAAAGTTATCTTTCAGGTGTTAAGTGTTCAGAACTTTTCTCTCTCCCACAAAATAATCACGGTCATCTAAAACGGGCAATTTAATATGAATACATGCAATGAACATCTGCTCATATAGGTTGTACAATGTATACCTATTAAACTGAAGCCATATATTTATGGTGTACAATGTACCGAAAGACGGCCTAATTTATCAAATCTGTTCAATAAAGAGTGGGAAAATTTACTTGCATTTGAATTTCACTGCAATTTCACATCTTTTTCTGTGAAAATACTGTTTGGGGGATTTTTTAAATATTTTTTATATGGGGTTAAATTGTCCTAGGGGTTAGGTACTGTAGTTATCCAGAGGAAGGGGAGGAGGAAGAGGGGGGGGGGGATACTTGTCCAGATATGAAATATGAATGTTGTAATGCTCATGGGAACTTCTCTTCCTTCCAGTTTGCTATTTGTTCTTAGTGCAGAGGGCAATTTTGTTTATCCGTCGGCTAAACATGTATGCTAAACCCGACTATTGACAAGTTTACCCTGTAATATCACGGATATGCTTTGTTTGTACAATGCTCATGAACATTCTTGCACCATTGAAATTCCATGTGCAGTTTTAGCCTCCTTTACATGTATGTGATTTTGCCATGTACATGTGCATGTATATATTGTATAGCATTTAGGTGTTATGTGTTCTCTTTGAAGTAAAATAAATAAGACTGGCATTTGGATGTATCTCTCTCTCTGAATTGTATTTTTTTTCTCATTAATTAGGTAGCTTACCGTAATGTGTAACGCAAAAGGCTTATTGATTTAGTAATGTTAGTGAATTGAAAACTTTGATGATGAAAGTTTAGGAAATTCTAAGCCTCATGTTTGTACTAATTAGGCCTAAAAAAAAAGAAAGATGTTGTATTGCACTTAAGTGCCAAAACATGGGTCGGTCGGTCGGTCGGTCGGTCGGTCGGTCGGTCAGAAATACGATTTAAAAAAAAAAATGTAAGTATTTGTTTACGCCCTCTGGGCTGATATTTCTCAGTTTTGAATGCTTTAATACATTTTTTTTTCTAAAAACGGTTACATAAAAAGAATTTAAAAAAAAAGCCAACCAGAGATTTCAAGATCTTTGGGTCAGTCGCAAAGGGCAATACAACATCTTTTTTTTAAAGGCCTTATGGAGGGCTACAATTTTCAACCATTGGACATTCTTCACTGTGGATGCCACAATAATTCGCAAAGCTCAACGGTACATTTGTCTTTGAATACCGATAAGAAAAGAAGATTATGGAATTCAGAAAAAAAGAGTTACAAGAAAAGAGAGAAGGTGAGATGATGAAGTAAGAAAGGAAGTAAAAGTGACGGGGATAAAGGAGAAGATTAGAGAGAGAGAGAGAGAGAGAGAGCAGTCCAAGGAGGAAAGATGAAGATGAATTGATAAGATGGGCGACAAAGAGAAAGAAAAGAAGGCCTATTGCCTCAGATTCTGAAACATAATCTTGGATTTGCTGCAATCATGCTGCAATCATACATGTAATTACCTTAAGGTCAGTCAGGAATCCCATGACTTTTACAAGCCGATCGCCCGTCTGATTATCAAGATATTTATGATTGGAAATCAAAATTTTATATTTCGTTTTCTAACAGGTTTTATAACACTGCAGTCTATTGGGGAAAATGAGTATGGTAAAATCGGCACTCAAAGATTTTTACTTTGTTGAAGCACTTCACGATCATTTTGAAGCGCAATTTTTTTACGGCTTCGATATTACACCCCCAAAGAGGGGGAGGGGGAGGGGGAGGAGATGATGATGATGATGATGATGATGATGATGATGGGAACACAAGAATATACCTAAAGAAAGAAATACAGTGCAATTAATTTTTCAAATAATGATGAAAAGGAAAACTAAAAGATCTTGGGAAGAGCGGAGTGAATGATACACGAAAACTGATGAAAACAAGAAGAGTGAGAACAAAAAACAAGTCAAATCAGCCAAGTGCGTAATAGCAGATAAACTCAAGAGAAAACATTACACGATAAATTCAGAAGAACTGATTTTATTCAGATTTTGTATTCATCAGTGATTTTGATCTACACATACAGTATGTATGAAATATGACACGGCAAATGATGGGACAACATGATTAGGTTATAGAAAAAGGCGAGTTTCAGTCCTGACTCAATAAATATCACTACAGATTATGTCATGTACATAGAAAGATAAAATTTCAGTCAACATTTTAAACAAAAAAGAAATTAATGTCTAACTTATATAAGCAGCATGACTTTGGATTACTTTATTTTTGGTACTACACGTAACATTTTCAGATCCAAAACAAGAATTGAATTTATTCAGATTTTATATTCATCAGCGATTTGATATAATAAATAGGACACAGCAACTTATGTGACAACATAATTGTGTAATAGAAAAAGATGCATTTTAGTTGCGAATCAATAAATATTTCTGCAGATTATGTCGTTTAATTAGAAATATAAAATTTCAGTCAACATCAAAAAAAGAAAAGAAATTAATTTGTCTGAATTTGTCACATAATTTTGGTTTACCATATTTTTCGTTCTAGCCATGTCTGCCCTAAATAGCAACAGCTTATGTACATGTATGCAATCTGCATTCTGACTATTGAAGTAAATTTACTCTTCGTAAGAGATGAATTGTAACGAGGCACTTTACAAAGATGTATGCATTCAATTTGATTACAATACCAAAATAGCCTATTGCATTGTAATTGGATACCAAACCACAATCTGAGTATCGATCAAGGTTGAGTGCCTGTTTGAGACCATCTGTTCCATACGCACCTGTGGTAACATTAGCTGGTATGTTTCTCCAAGGAAGAAATCAATTTGCTATCCTCTTACAATCGCAACACTCTGATTTTCATACAGACTTTCACAATTCACATCATCAACCCATCGATTCTCGATACCGGCTGGCTCCAGTATTAAGCCTATGGCAATCAAACAATTCGGAAGTCAACTGGTTAATATAAGTGGAATCAAATACCATCCATTTCCCCTAGATCGTTCAATGAACCTTATGGTAAATTATAATTGAACATGTGACTATCAAAAGCCACATGGTATTAAAGTCAGTATCCATGTGCACTTCATTGCAATTTGCAGACACCAGAATTAGTTGACACAAGAATTAGTTGAATTACCGATGAACGTGTGTCTGTGTGTGCACATAACAATTACACAAAGTACTATGTAAAGTGCTTTGAAATTTAGAACTAAGCGATATACAGATATGAATATCATTATTCTTATCTTCATTTTTGATCCAACACAGATTTCCTGGTTGATTTTCACAATGAAAATAAATAACAACTCTTACTTTATACATCAGAGAAAACAATAAAATGCAGTTAAAAATGGAATGAATGCCTGCAGCTTACGGTAACTAAAAAAACAAAACACAAAATCAAATGGATGGAAGAATGGTACGTGTTGCTGATTTCTATTTTAAATGAATTCCTTATCAGAAGGACATAAACTAAAACACATTGCACATACACACCCACACACACACACACATCTAGGCTAACATTTTAAAAAAAAGAAGAAACCTACACCATCAATGATCAACTTCAGAGTCAATGCCAAAAAATCAACTTCTTAACAAAATTGCAAACTTTACAGTATGTTTACTTGGAATACAATATAACGGCAGGCTAAACATCTCGATGTAAACGGATATCTGAGTACATAATAGAGTACAAATAATGCGGGCGGAACAAACATACAATCACATAGTACATGTAAGAGCACTTTCATGAACACTACATAACATGTGCACCTGGTAGTTCTTGCACCTTCATTGTAATGGAACAAAAAAAAAGAAGATGTCCATGTCTAGATGCTGAAAAGGCTTTGAAAAGTAGCAGAATAGAAGTAGAAGTACATGTATATATACATAAGAAGGATATGAAGACGTGTGACTTGAAGCCTTTTTCGCTTTCTTCCTTGCACCTAATATTGATGGAAGTAAATGAGATACGCCCACCGTATACGGTGCTAAATGATAACACATTTGAAGACTTGCTAGTACTCAAAGTATGAATGAGCTTCAAAAATTACTCCTACAAAGGGATACTGCAATTTTAATATGTTCTCAGTAAACAATAAACCGTTGTTGAGTAGTCTTGGTGAGTTAATACACGCGTACCCACTCGCAGATATCAATGATGGTTATGATCAACGAAAGTTTCGTGCTGCAAGATGCTAGTAATTGAATCTCAAATGACAACTGAACCAATTTTGTGATGATTTTGGAAAGCTTCTTGTTGTTCAATCTCTGTTGTTTACAAATCACCAAAGTTTCAGGTTGCAAACATTTCTGTTTTTACACTGTGCACAGATTTAATGTCTTATTACAATACCTGATCAAGTATATTTGTAAAAGGAATCATTCACAGCTCAAAAACATGATCAATCGTTACTAAAAATATTGTCAAAATCCAATTATCTAATATGTGTTTAGAAACATAATCATACATTCACCAATATACCGACAAGTTTTTCAATCTGCATTGACATGATTATACCAATAATTTATAAAATCTATCATTAATATAATCACATGATCAGGCTTCAATCTGCATTGAAATGATTAATACAATAATTCATAAATCCATCATTGATAGGATAATCACATGATCAGGCTTCAATCTGCATTGAAGAGATAATACAATAATTCATAAATCCATCATTGATAGGATAATCACATGATCAGGCTTCAATCTGCATTGACATGATTAATACAATAATTCATAAATCCATCATTAATAGGATAATCACATGATCAGGCTTCAATCTGCATTGAAGAGATAATACAATAATTCATAAATCCATCATTGATAGCTAAGGATAATCACATGATCAGGCTTCAATCTGCATTGAAGAGATAATACAATAATTCATAAATCCATCATTAATAGGATAATCACATGATCAGGCTTCAATCTGCATTGAAATGATTAATACAATAATTCATAAATCCATCATTAATAGGATAATCACATGATCAGGCTTCAATCTGCATTGAAAAGATAATACAATACTTCATAAATCTATCATTAATATGATAATCACATGATTGTTCAAAAAAATGGAGATTGTCAAAGTTATCCATCTGTTGTTATAGTAACTGGCTACATTAAATTGACCTTTCACCTGCCGAGAGCTAGAATGCTGTTGATTACATGTTACAGCACTTAAACATAGAAATAATGCCTTTCTAGCGCTCATCATATACATTTATAGTTTACCAATCACCAAAACTTGTTATACATCCTTATACATCCTTAAGCCTATTAATATAAATGTGTTCTTCTAGAAATATTCATTGAAACACTTGTTCAGCAGACTAATTGACCACCTTGTATGTGCTTGCTCTTAATATAAAGGTTCCATGTCCATATACTAATATAACTTCAATGTTGACTTCTACAAATGGACATTTATGTACAAATATACGCTTAGTGAACAGTAAATCAACTTGTTGAGTGGACTAGTTGACCCAATGGGTATGTCAGAGCTGCCAACCTTGTACGACCCCAAAAAAAGAATTTCAAGCAAAAAAAAGCAATTTATTAAAACGAAACTTACAACTATGCACGACAAACTTCCAATGCAGAAATGTTCATTCCTCAAAAACAAAAGATTTTTTTTTAATTATCAAAAAAAATGTACTACCGTATTTGAAGGAAAAAACGGAGTAGTTGGCAGCTCTGGTATGTGCTTGCATTGAAGAAGGAACGCACAGAACCCAGGTCGGACCCAGGTCGGACCCAGGTCGGACCGTACACGCCATTTTATGGTATCCTGTATTGTTTTTCATACAAAATCCTTTACCGTCCACCTACAGGATGCCAGGTGAAGTTTGATTGAGGTTTGTTCTATACATTCTAACAAATCATTTATTTCTTGGATGATTGGTAGACTTTAATTGTTTGATCTTGCATATATTATACAAAAAAATCATTTGCTCAAAGCCAGAAGGGCAATAAACTAATTGCAAAAGTAAACACGCCCTTCTGGCCATCTCGCTCTCATCAGGGGGGCGTTTCACAAAACTTGTCATCAGTGACAAATGACAGTTTTTGTTATAAGCTACTGAAATCCTTGCTTCTGATTGGTTATCAGTAGATTTGTCACTGATTTTTGTCATTTGTCATTGACAAAAGGCTTTGTGAAACGGGCCCCAGATTTCAAATGCACTGTATCCTTCATTGTTCAAATTTTTCAGAAGACTATCACAAATATTTGTTGGCTCAACATTAAACGGAATTTGCATAAACATGATTTAGCACAATTGATCTCAATTACATGATATGATTGCAAGAATTAATTTATATAATGCTGTAAAAAATATATATAATCTGAGCAACATGAATAGATATTGGAGACTTACGTGAACTGCTACTTTGATCAAGTAAGAACAAATTTCTTGATCTGCGTTATTGATGTAGATGTAATTATGATGCAAGTTATTGTTGTGATAACATCGGAAAACCCTGGTATTGAAAATGAAATCAGATTCAGGGTTTGTAGAAAACTGACTTGTTTTTTTTCAGAGAGAGAAAGAATAAAAAGGAGAGACATAGAGATAAATATCTTTCTGGAGAACCCGTCTCTACTCTAAATATACATAAACCCTATATATCCCAAAGCTGCTTTATATGGACATGTTTATACACAATGTATCCTTTCCATAGATGTTTCATTATGTTACATCTCAGCTGCCTAAGCTTGCAAAGCTGGATGGACTAATAATAATAATATATAAAGCTACGTGTCACAGTTTTTGATGATTAACTTACTCTGTTCACATTGATGTATATTTCAGATGTATTGTAATTTGCAGGTTTATATGTAATTTTTTGTTTTGTTTAATATGTGATTGTTTATCAATGTATTTTTTTTGTTATAGCTCTTAGAGATTTCGGTGGTAGGCGATTTATAAGCACCATTTTTATTATTATTATTGTTATTAGTTTCAAATGCACTGGGCAGATTCGATCAACAGCAGAGCTGTGTCATTTCGCTGCTCCCTCTCCTCTACTTCATTCTCCAGATCATAATGCCGGCAGCTAGGGCTGCTATGCCGATGGGGACCAGCCATTTCATGAGGTCCCCTTTGTTACCTCCCTTGGGCTTGGCGGCGCCGGGACCTCCATTCTTGAGTCCATTGTCTCCACCAGCATATACAGTGTGCTTGCCTGGAGAGAGGAAGGGAGTGAGAGAGGGGGAGAGGGAGGGAGTGAGAGAGGGGGAGAGGGAGGAAATGAGAGTGGGAGAGGGAGGGAGAGAGTGGGAGAGGGAGGGAGTGAGAGAGTGGAAGAGGGAGTGAGAGAGGGGGAGAGGGAGGAAATGAGAGTGGGAGAGGGGGGAGTGAGAGAGGGGGAGAGGGAGGGAGTGAGAGAGTGGAAGAGGGAGTGAGAGAGGGGGAGAGGGAGGAAATGAGAGTGGGAGAGGGGAGAGTGAGAGAGGGGGAGAGGGAGGAAATGAGAGTGGGAGAGGGAGGGAGTGAGAGAGGGGGAGAGGGAGGGAGTGAGAGAGTGGGAGAGGGAGGGAGTGAGAGAGGGGGAGAGGGAGGAAATGAGAGTGGGAGAGGGAGGGAGAGAGAGAGTGGGAGAGGGAGGGAGTGAGAGTGGGAGAGGGAGGGAGTGAGAGAGGGGGAGAGGGAGGGAGTGAGAGTGGGAGAGGGAGGAAATGAGAGGGGGAGAGGGAGGGAGTGAGAGAGGGGGAGAGGGAGGGAGTGAGAGAGGGGGAGAGGGAGGAAATGAGAGTGGGAGAGGGAGGGAGAGAGTGGGAGAGGGAGGGAGTGAGAGAGGGGGAGAGGGAGGAAATGAGAGTGGGAGAGGGGGGAGTGAGAGAGGGGGAGAGGGAGGAAATGAGAGTGGGAGAGGGAGGGAGTGAGAGAGGGGGAGAGGGAGGGAGTGAGAGAGGGGGAGAGGGAGGGAGTGAGAGAGTGGGAGAGGGAGGGAGTGAGAGAGTGGAAGAGGGAGTGAGAGAGGGGGAGAGGGAGGAAATGAGAGTGGGAGAGGGAGGGAGTGAGAGAGTGGAAGAGGGAGTGAGAGAGGGGGAGAGGGAGGGAGTGAGAGAGTGAGAGAGGGGGGGAGGGAGTGAGAGAGTGGGAGAGGGAGGGAGTGAGAGAGGGGGAGAGGGAGGAAATGAGAGTGGGAGAGGGAGGGAGTGAGAGAGGGGGAGAGGGAGGGAGTGAGAGAGTGGGAGAGGGAGGGAGTGAGAGAGGGGGAGAGGGAGGAAATGAGAGTGGGAGAGGGAGGGAGAGAGAGAGTGGGAGAGGGAGGGAGTGAGAGTGGGAGAGGGAGGGAGTGAGAGAGGGGGAGAGGGAGGGAGTGAGAGTGGGAGAGGGAGGAAATGAGAGGGGGAGAGGGAGGGAGTGAGAGAGGGGGAGAGGGAGGAAATGAGAGTGGGAGAGGGAGGGAGTGAGAGAGGGGGAGAGGGAGGGAGTGAGAGAGGGGGAGAGGGAGGGAGTGAGAGAGTGGGAGAGGGAGGGAGTGAGAGAGGGGGAGAGGGAGGGAGTGAGAGAGTGGGAGAGGGAGGGAGTGAGAGAGGGGGAGAGGGAGGAAATGAGAGTGGGAGAGGGAGGGAGTGAGAGAAGGAGAGAGGGAGGGAGGGAGAGAGGGGAGAAGGAGGGAGTGAGAGAGGGGAGAGGGAGGGAGGGATGGAAAGAGTGAGGGAGAAGATGAGGGAGAGGGTGAGGGAGAGAGGGAGGGAGGGAGACAGGGGTGCATAGAGAGGAGATACAAGATCGACAGTTAGGTGGGATAGATTGGGGGAGAGATAGCAAAAGAGGGAGGGAGGAAAAGAGAGAGATAGAATGAGAGAGGGGGGGGGGGGGGAGAAGGATGATGAGGGGGAAGAGAGGGAGATGGGGGAGAGAGATAAAGAGAGAATGAGAATGAAATTGGGAAGAAGGATTAAAGAAAGGGAAGAGAGTAAGATGAAAAAAGTCAAATAAATCAAAAAGAAGGAAAAAAGTACAGTGTATTTTTACTTTGTTTAAGAGCTTTCAAAACTATATGATGCTATCAAGAAAAGATAAAAGCATATAAATTGATGATGATATTTCACCCGAAAACATTACTATCAATCCATGTAATATAATATTACAAATGTGCAACAGTATTTTGTTGAAATACATTTGTACAATGAATTTTTGCAAACATTTTCTTCTGTGCTTTGTTTTATTACTGTTATGAGTTCATATTCCTGATTGTTATAATTGCGATTTGACGTTACTAAACAGGGCCTCATGGAAGACCACTACTATTGTCGAAAATGTGCTACCCTGTATCAATGTCAGAAATTAAATAAAAATAAAAATAAATATTTCACAAAGCTACAGTTGTACCGTAATCAAAATCACTTTAATGAGGTGCAGAACTTACCATTTGTTATCTGTGCATGAGACGGTTTCCAGACATCTTTCTTCGGACTGTTCTTCGCCTTCATTTCGTCCAGAAACTCGTCCCAATTAGGGGGCTCGAACGGGAGCAAGATCTGCATGTGGTTCCAGAACCTAAACATGGAAGATAAATCGGGGGAATAATATTGAGCATCTGATCGTACATAGAGTTATGCCTTGCGCACATCTTAAAGGCATCGTTTAACAACGTTAAATCTGAGATGTATGGCCCTATGTGTTATCAGTGTCTGTGATATGGCGTAATATTGAAGCCCGAAAAAAATTGAGCTTCAAAATGATTATGAAGTGCCTCAAAAAAGTAAAAATGTTTGAGTGACCGGTTTTACCATACTCATTTTTCCCAATAGACTAAAGTGTTATAAAAACCGTTTAAAAAAAGAAAAACAAAATTTGATTTACAATCATAAATATCTTGGTAATCAGACAGGCGATCGGCTTGTAAAAGTCATGGGATTCTTGACTGACCTAAAGCTTTATAATTATGATTGCAGCATGAGCTAAATCCAGAATTTTGTTTCAGAATCTGTGGTAATGTTACAGAGTCACTTTAAGATCCGACTACGATGACAGTACGTCCATATCCTTTCTTTCCAACAAGTCATCCATCCATCCGTAACAAAATCCATCTATCCATCCATCTTTTCATTTATCAACATCCTTCCTTCTTTTTTCCAACAAGTCATCCATCCAGCCATAACAAAATCCATTTATCCATCCATCCACATATTTATCTATCCATCCATCCACATATTCATCTATCCATCCGTCTTTTCATCTATCAACATCCTTCCTTCTTTTTTTCCAACAAGTCATCCATCCAGCCATAACTAAATCCATCTATCCATCCATCCACATATTCATCTATCCATCTGTCTTTTCATCTATCAACATCCTTCCTTCTTTCTTTCCAACAAGTCATCCATCCAGCCATAACTAAATCCATCTATCCATCTATCCATATATTCATCTATCTGTCCACCCATCTGTAGAAGTGTCTTAGTCGAGTGGTTTAAGCACTTGACTTGAAATTCAAAGGTCGTGGTTCGATCCCTGATACGGCACTAGTGTCCTTTGGCAAGGCACTTATATTCATTTGCCACACTCGACCCAGGTGAGGTAAATGGCTACCTGGCAGGAATTAATTCCTTGAAATGCTAGAGCGCTGTAATGGCAGGTAGGCTAAAGCCGGGTAATAATCAATGCGCCTCGGAATAGAATTTCTAGATAGACGGCATTATAGAAATGCCTATGATTATTATTAATATTACCCATCCATCCTTCCTTCCATCCATATATCCATCCATCCATCCTTCCTTCAATCTTTTTTTCTGCCCAGCCTCCCTCCATCTATCCCTCCGTCCATCCATCCATTCTTCTGTCCATCTACCCAGTTTCTATCTATCTAATCATCAATCCATCCATATTCCTTCTGACATGCATCCTTACTTCCATCCATCCATCCATCAACATATTCTTCTATCTGTCCACCCATCCATCCCTCCTTCAATCTATTTTTTTGCCCAGCCATCCTCCATCTATCCCTCCATCCATCCATCCTTCTGTCCATCTACCCATCTAATCATAAGCTATCTATCTAATCATCAATCCATCCATATTCATTCTGACATGCCTCCTTCCTTCCATCCATCTATCTATCCATCCATCCATCCACATATTCATCTATCTGTCCATCCATCCACATATTCATCTACATGTATCTGTCCACCCATTCATCCTTCCTTCAATCTATTTTTTGCCCAGCCATCCTCTATCTATCCCTCCGTCCATCCATTCTTCTGTCCATCTTTCCATTTCCTATCTATCTCATCATCAATCCATCCATATTCATTCTGACATGCATTCTTCCTTCCATCCATCTATCCATCCAACCATCCATCCACATATTCATCTATCTGTCCACCCATCCATCCTTCCTTCAATTTATTTTTTTGCCCAGCCATCCTCCATCTATCCCTCCATCCATCCTTCTGTCCGTCTACCCATCTATTCATAACCCATCTATCTAATCATCAATCCATCCATATTCGTTCTGACATGCCTCCTTCCTTCCTTTCATCCATCTATCCATCCATCCATCCATCCATCCACCCACCCATCCCTCCTTCAATCTATTTTTTGCCCAGCCATCCTCCATCTATCCCTCCATCCATCCTTCTGTCCATCTACCCATCTATTCATAACCAAACTACATGTATCTAATCATCAATCCATCCATATTAATTCTGACATGCATCCTTCCATCCCTCCATCTATCCATCCATCCATCCACATATTCATCTATCTGTCCACCCATCCATCCTTCCTTCAATATATATTTTTGCCCAGCCATCCTCTATCTATCCCTCCATCCATTCTTCTGTCCATCTACCCATTTTCTATCTATCTAATCATCAATCCATCCATATTCCTTCTGACATGCATCCTTACTTCCATCCATCTATCCATCCATCCATCCATCCACATATTCATCCATCTGTCCACCCACCCATCCATCCTTCCTTCAATTTATTTTTGCCCAGCCATCCTCCATCTATCCCTCCATCCATCCATTCTTCTGTCCATCTACCCATCTATTCATAACCCATCTATCTAATCATCAATCCATCCATATTCATTCTGACATGCCTCCTTCCTTCCTTTCATCCATCTATCCATCCATCCATCCATCCATCCATCCACATATTCATCCATCTGTCCACCCATCCATCCTTCCTTCAATTTATTTTTTTTCCCAGCCATCCTCCATCTATCCCTCCATCCATCCTTCTGTCCGTCTACCCATCTATTCATAACCCATCTATCTAATCATCAATCCATCCATATTCGTTCTGACATGCCTCCTTCCTTCCTTTCATCCATCTATCCATCCATCCATCCATCCATCCATCCACATATTCATCTATCTGTCCACCCATCCATCCTTCCTTCAATCTTTTTTTTACCCAGCCATCCTCTATCAATCCCTCCATCTATTCTTCTGTCCATCTACCCATCTACCTATCTATTCATGTCCTATCTATCTCATCATCAATCCATCCATATTTATTCTGACATGCATCCTTCCTTTCATCCCTCTATCCACAGGTCCCTCTATCCTCCATTCACTTCTCTTCTACTGCATATACTTACAGGTAATGGAATGTGTCGGGAGTCCTTGAGATTTGGTTGTTGAATCCAATGTACAGGTCGTCCCAGAAGAGCCCCTTCAACACTGTCTGTCTGTGAACTCCGATTCTATTCTTGATCTGGTAAGGAGGCGATGAAAGAAAAAGACTTCACATCCAACCATAATATTGTAATAATAATAACAATATGTCTTGTTTACCCAGCACCTAATACATCTACCATATCTTTTAAGGCAATAATACTAACATCAGTGACCCGGCCGTTGGATTTCAGGCTTACTCGCACAAAATGTTTGCATTTTCTCCACCCCCTGGGGAGCATTCCAGCTAGGCCCCGTTTAAACGACGCTCAAACTGCTGAACAAACAACACTGAATTTTGCATCTTATCATGAACCTATTGAACACCTGGGTGGAGACAAGCAACATAGAAATAACGCCTCTCTCAAGAAAATAATCATTACCATATACATCATTCAAATAACGGACTCTCAACCAACAATTCCCAAATAAAAAAATTAAATTATTCAGATGGTCGTATCTCAGCCAATACTTAACATATTCAATTGGCTTTCAAAATTTTGGAAATTATTTTTGATACTCTTTCTGAAAATGAAAACTAAAAATTGAGAAATTCTAGAAATAGAGTTGTATAGTGTCACAGCTTCGGGTTCTCTATACCTAACTATTAAAGTAATGTAATTTAGCCCTCAGGCTGCCAATTAGGTTTTATTTCTGTTTCAAATTCAATTACCTCAAGGTAATTATGCTCTCTGCTTGGTCTCTCAGTAGGGAACGTGGCTTCTAGACCACTGAAATCAATCAAGAAGTTATAGCCTCCGTCTATATCCTTGAAGTCATCATCCGTCTCTATCATCTACAAATGGAATAGATAGAAAGAGAGAGAGAGAGAGAGAGAGAGAGAGAGAGAGAGGACAGAGCGAGAGAGAGAGAGAGAGAGAGAGAGAGAGAGACAGGGAGACATAGAGAAAAAGTGTTAGAGAGAGATGACAGAAAAAAGAAAAGAAAAGGGATTTAAGATCATCATCATCATCATCATCATCACCATCATCATCATCACTATCACATACGTGTCAACATTTGAAATTAAGAATGAGGAATTTTTAGCAAGGTATGCCTTCAAAAATAAGAATCGCACTTGCAGCGGCAGTGTGACTGGCAATACGCTGTAAATCTGTACCAAAAAGCGAATACAAATTCGCTGCTTGATCATGCAGCCATTCAAGGCACGTAATACATGTACGTGAACTCTCAAATCGCAGCACATGATAAAATAAGCTTAGTTTGGCTTTAGAGCATCCACAAAAAAAAACAATTAAAAAAAATCAATTAAAAAAATATTTAAAAACTCAGAATATTCTGATTTATTTGGAAGGGTTGGCAGGTATGCTATTACCCTCATCATCTTCACTATCATCATCACTATTTTCCTGAATAACTGGAAACCCTCTGTCGGCTCACACACACATAAGTACAATGTAAACATGTGCATGTGAGCACTCATCTGCTTATTAAACAAGCAATTGAGAGTGCTCAGTAGGCCTGTCTTCACTATCTCGAGATTGCCAAATATCCAGCTTTTTGAACTATCCCGATCGCAAACTATCCAGCTAATTAGCATCTTCATCAGACCGAAGTAGCAATTAGAAGGATATTTGGTCAGGTTTGTCATCCCAAGATATCTTGGGATAGTTTGCAAAATATCCCACTATTTGGCAAAATATCCAGCTATTTGTCCTGTGCGTCTTCACTAGACCGAAGATTTGCAATATGCGCTAACGCTGAGCAAAATATCTCGAGCTAATTTCTCAAGGTCGAGTTTCAAGTTTCGAGGTCGAATCTTGAGATAGTGAAGACGCGATTTGTTACTTCGGGATTATTTCCCAAATCAGAAATAGCGGGCTATTTGGCAATCTCGAGATGATGAAGACGCGCCTAGTTTAAAAGCAATCAACATTGCTTGTATGAGTCTGAAAAAGGGCTCAAACATGTTCAGCTCGTCCGCACAAGACGTAATCAAACTGGGCAAAATAAAAGCATTTCCGACAGTGTAAATGAATGGGGAATAGGGATGGAAAAAAAATATGTGGCTGAATATAAGGCGGCTTTTTGTTAGTATTCTCACTTTGATATCTCAATCACCATTGTCACAAACACCACCGTTGTTGTCAATGTAAGAAACAAAAACAATTTGTTGTTGTTGTTGTTTATCTTTTGGGTATATATATATATGCTTGTACAATGTACTTATTCTGTAAATCTTCAATCTGATCTTGTCATACTCTCTTCTTATCCTAATTTCAAAGTTCAGTTTTTTGTAGGTGGCAGCACCAATAAGGCATTTCCTTTCTAGCTGCCTCCTAATTCACATAAATACTCACATTCTTTTTTTTTCTCTATGCTTTTGTCCAGATCACCTTATATTGTACTATTATCTTATGTAATGTTTGCTTATTTTTACTATATATATATATCTTGTGGTTTTGTATGTTTTTGTATCTAAATGTTTTTTATGATGAATGGAATAAATTTGATTATCTATCTATCTAAATGTATCTATGTAATAAATCATCATGAAACATGTATGAATGAACAAAGTGATCATCATCATGAATGAACTAAGTCAAAGTTTAGCCGAACATATCAAGAATCATAGTAGAACTCACCCTCACGACCAAGTTATAGCTGTGGAATTTAGCCCACTTGTAGTAGACCTTGATCCACTCAGGATACGCGAAGATCTCATGCTCAATAGACTCGTTCACCCCGTTGAGGTACTTCTCAAAGTCCCAGCTTTTAAAGACAAAACAAAAGATACATTTTTAGCATTACACAAGTATGCTTGGAATATTTAGAACTTGGGAAATATATTTTTTATACTATTTGCATTGAGGACTTTAATATCGCCAACCAGTAAAATTGGAAGATCACATATATTTTTAGCCTTACAAAAGTGAGCTTTAAATTATTGTTAAACAATGCCTTTAATACAAAAACATACGTTGGAAATCATGGTTCTGGGTTTCAGTCGTGACGACTCGTGAAATATGCTGATCAGCTCGTAGGATATACCCTTATATTCCTCTCAAGGCCATTCAATATTATATAAATATCACATTGATTATGCCAAAATATAATGATTTTGTTCCATGTTTGCTGATTAATACATCTCCCAAATGTTGAGGGAAATTAATATACTTTACTATGCTTATTATTACCAGGGCTGTAGCTGAGCTGCCAAGACAAGGAGGTAAGGCAGTTGAGGAATTTATTTCTACCGGGTACCCATTTACTTCACCTGGGTAAAGAGTGGCAAATTTAGATTGATGTCATGCCAAAGGACATTAATGCCGTGGCGGGACTTGAATGTATCCACGAGAACCACGACGCCTCGACTACAAATATGAAGTAAAATGTACTCACCTATCCTTGAAGACTTTTGTGCCTGGTGGCGACTCTTGTATGTAATTACTGCATCATGAAAAAAAGGAGCAAAATAAATGTGAATGGATAACTACAGTCAAACCTGCTTTAGTGACCACCTGTCTACAAAGGCCACATTTGTTGATTCCCTTGCAAATAGTTTCTCATTGAATCATGTACTAATTTAAAGGAGCCTGTCTACAAAGGCCACTCTCTGTGTTTCCCTTGGGTGGTCGCTATAGACAGGTTTAACTGAATAAATCAATATATTGCAGTTTCGTAGCTAATTGAGAGGCATTTTATGTGACATATATGATAATAAACACACAAATGTTCTTAGCTGGCTCTGAATATACACTGTAACTCTGATCATAGATAATGTAGATTTTAACAAAGAAATGCACATTGTGATTTGCTAGAGCATATTTCAAACCGACATAATAAAGACCAATCTTCTACATTATTTGGGAGAAAAAATAAAGAAAAGGGGGAAAAGAAAGAAAGGGAAACATTATTTGGACGACAAAGTAGAAAAAGGGAAACTTTCTTTTGAAGAGAAAATAAAGGGAAGAAAAAAACTTTATTCCAGAGAGAAAATAAGAAAGGGAGACAGTATATGGAAGAGAAAATAAAGAAAGGGAAACATCATTTGGGAGAGAAAATAAAGAAAGGGTAGCCTGTGGACAGATGGACGAGGACACGTCTCATTCAACCATACATGTACGGGAAGTTGCTGACCAGTCCCTTGAAGAGGTGAGTCACACACACGTCTTTGTAATGTATGTGGTGGAATTAATAATCAGTCTTTGAAGAATTTTCTTTCCTTGCACAGCCCTAGGGGAGATCGGAATGCGATAACGCTCTACCAAAGGAGGTCTGGTAGAGATGTACATTGTATGCATGACATTGTGTATATGCATGTATTTATTATGATTGATAGGTTCGTTCATTGAGCCGTCTTACCTCATGGCAAAGCTAACCTTTTCCAACAGAGGTTTTGTCTAGGATTCATAATTGGGGCTTTTAGATTTGCACAAAGACAATATGGATTGCTACGGTCGACGTCCTTTTAATGCATGCCTTGAATGGACGTCACACGTATCAGTCTACGCAAATCTAAAAGTCCCTAATGTCATTTAAAGGTTGACTATACATGCCTTCATCTAAAAATTTATTCAAAATTTGGACCAAATTTGAATGCGTGTGTGTTTGTAGTCCTGTATGTGAAGTACTTTTTTTGTTGTACAATATATGATTTTTAGCAGGATTTTAGTAAATGGATTTTGATGACAGAAAACATCTGACAATACCCTATTATTTTAGAGAGAAAACAAAGAAAGGTAAAATACTAGGGGAGAGAAAAAAAGAAAGGGAAATATAATTTAAGAGAGAGAATAAAGAGGGAAACATTTTTGGGAGAGGAAATAAAGAAAGGGAATTATTATTTAAGAGAGATAATAAAGAAAGGGAAATCTCATTTTGGAGAGAAAATAAAGAAATGGAAAATAATATTTAAGAAAGAGAATAAAGAAAGGGAATCATTATTTGGGAGAGAAAATTAAGAAAGGGAAGTATTATTTAAGCAATTATGAGAAAAGATAAAGAGAGAGAACAATAATTTTGGAGAAAAAATAAAGAAATGGAAAACAATATTTAGGAGAGAGAATAAAGAAAGGGAACATTTTTTTTGGTGAGAAAATAGACAAAGGGAGACATTATTGAAGAGAGAGAATAAAGAAAGGGTGATATCATTTAAGAGAGAGAATACAGAAAGGGAACAATCATTTTGGAGAAAAAATAAAGGAAGGAAAGAGGTCTTTAAAGATTGCTGACTGGCCCCTTTACAAGATGAGTCACACACATCTTTGTAATTTATGTGGTGGAATAGATAATAATCTACACGGAAGTTTTTATTTTTTTTCTTGCACAGTCCCAGCAGAGACTTTAATGGGAAAGCACTCACACTAATACTCGGCGTTCCCGTCCTCTAATGCAGTCAACCCGTCCAGTTCACTACTTTACAATCATTTTTGTTTGTAGTCGATGCCCGTTCTCTACATGAAGACCTAATGGTCCCCACGCGCGTGCTCATTCAATTTCTCCTTTTTTCACTTCTTATGTTATTCTTCGCTTATTATTCTGTGATTTTTTTAATCTTTTGTTGTGTCATTCTTTGTTTTCTTTCTATCATTTTCCCTCTCTGTTTTTCCATCTTTCATCTTCTCTCCTATCTTTCCCATTATCTATTCTTTATCAATTTCTCTTTCTGTCTTTCCTCATGTTATTGTTTGTAATTGTTATCATTCTATCCTTTTTTTTCTTTCCATCTTTCCTCAAATTATTCTTTGTTTCTTCTTTCTATCACCTTTTTTTCATGTAATTCTTTGTTTTTATCTTTCTATCATTTTCTCTCTCTGTTTTTCTTATGTTTTTCTCAGTTTTTCCATCTTTCATCTTCTCTTCTTTCTTTCCATTATCCATTCTTTATCATTTTCTCAATCTGTCTTTCCTTATGTTATTCTTTGTTTCTTCTTTCTATCACCCTCTCTTATGTTATTCTTTGTTTTTATCATTCTATCACTTTCTCTTTCAGTCTGTCCTAAGGCTATTCTTTGTTTCTTCCTTCTATCACATTCTCTTATATTATTCTTGTTTCCTTCTATCACATTCTCTTATGATATTCTTTGTTTTTATCATTCTATCACTTTCTCTTTGGTCTTTCCTTATGTTATAATTAGTTTCTTCCTTCTATCATCTTCTCTTATGTTATTTTTGCTTCTATCATTCTATCACTTCTCTTTCTGTCTTTCCTTATGTTATTATTAGTTTCTTCCTTCTATCATCTTCTCTTATGTTATTCTTTGTTTTTATCATTCTATCACTTTCTCTTTCTGTCTTTCCTTATGTTATTCTTTGTTTTTATCATTCTATCACTTTCTCTTTCTGTCTTTCCTTATGTTATTCTTTGTTTCTTCCTTCTATCATCTTCTCTTATGATATTCTTTGTTTTTGTCATTCTATCACTTTCTCTTTCTGTCTTTCCTTATGTTATTCTTTGTTTTTATCATTTTATCACTTTCTCTTTCTGTCTTTCCTTATGTTATTCTTTGTTTCTTCCTTCTATCATCTTCTCTTATGATATTCTTTGTTTTTATCATTTTATCACTTTCTCTTTTGTCTTTCCTTATGTTATAATTAGTTTCTTCCTTCTATCATCTTCTCTTATGTTATTTTTTGCTTCTATCATTCTATCACTTTCTCTTTCTATCTTTCCTTATGTTATTCTTTGTTTTTATCATTCTATCACTTTCTCTTTTGTCTTTCCTTTAATGTTATTATTAGTTTCTTCCTTCTATCATCTTCTCTTATGATATTCTTTGTTTTTATCATTTTATCACTTTCTCTTTCTGTCTTTCCTTATGTTATAATTAGTTTCTTCCTTCTATCATCTTCTCTTATGTCATTCTTTGCTTTTATGATTCTATCACTTTCTCTTTCTATCTTTTCTTATGTTATTCTTTGTTTCTTCGTTCTATCACATTCTCTTATGTTATTCTTTGATTTGATGACGGGTACTCGTTTTCTGACGAACCTCAAATCGTGGATGAATGCGTTCTCAAATTTCGCTTGACAACGTGAGACGACTCGACGCATGCGCAAATCGCTGAAATGATGCCTCATCTTTGACGTCGTCTATGTGAACGAGACAAACGAAAAGGCCCTATTAATAAAGAAGGTCTAGTACAGAGGTACATCGTATACATGAACAGGACATTGTGTGTATATATATATATATATATATATATATATATATATATATATATATATATATATATATTCATACTTTCGTTGAGCCATCTTGCTTCACGGCAAGGCCAACATTTTTCCATACAGAGATGTTTTCTAGGATTCATAATATCACAATAAAAGGTTGCACTATACATGCCTTCATCCATTTCCACCAAATCTAGAAATGAGTTCAAAATTTGGACCAAATTTGAATTCTACATATGTGTCTGTACATACAGACATCCACACATATCATTATCTGTGTGCAGTATTTTCTGTTGAACTGTATTTGATTTTGAGCAGGATTTTGGTACATGTATTTTTATGACAGAAACATCCGACCATAACCAAATAATCGGCCTTTCCAAATTCAACTCAAAGCATGTATATCTTTGTTACCTTTTCTCTCTTTAAAAAAATAAATAATTGCATGACAATTATCATACCCAGCATAATAAGAGGACATTTGACCTAAAGGCATTGTTTATCAATGTTAAACCTGAGATGCATGACCCTATGTTTTATTAGTGTCTGTGATATGGTTTAATATTGAAGCCCTACAAAAATTGTGCTTCAAAATGATCAAGAAGTGCCTCAAAAAAGTAAAAACTCTCTGAGTGACTGGTTTTACCATACTCATTTTTCCCGATAGACTTTAACCAGAACTCAATTTTTCTTTAAATTTGCAAATGGGCTTCCAGATGTGTACACAATAGACCATAATTGACATAAGCACATTTGTGAAGAATAGCTAGACTGCAAATAAGTGCTTTGAGTAATGTATTTGGCAATTGAAAAGATAAAAAGTTGATATCCAAGCTTGAAAGCATGATAATTATGCTACTTACACATCAAAAGCTACCAGCCTTTTTTGCTTCATAAAGAAAATAAAGAAAGGGAACTATTACTTAAGGGAGAGAGAAAATAAAGAAAGCAAAACATCATTTAGGAGAGAAAATAGAGAAAGGGAGATATTATAAATGAGAGAGAATAAAGAGAGGGAAAAGATATTTTGGAGAGAAAATAGAAAGAGAGATATCATTTAAGAGAGAGAATAAAGAAAGAGAAACATCATTTAGGAGAGAAAATAGAAAAAGGGAGATATCATTAAAAGAGAGAATATAAAAAAAAAATCAGAAAAAAATTATTTTGGAGAGAAAATAAAAAAAAGGGAAACATTGTTTAAGAGAGAGAATAAAGAGAGAGAATAAAGAAAGGGAACAATCATTTTGGAGAGAAAATAAAGAAATGGAAAACAA